AACCCTAACCCTAACCCTAACCCTAACCCTAACCCTAACCCTAACCCTAACCCTAACCCTAACCCTAACCCTAACCCTAACCCTAACCCTAACCCACGTCGTCAATCGCACGGACATGTGCTTTGTTCGTAGGGTCCAACCACATTCTGTTAGAAAGACACTATCACATGGCGAGTACTAAGATGGAAGAACAACAAGATGAAAATTCAAGCGCAACCTGGATCCTTTGGAGATATCATCACCTTCGTTAAAGGAGCATAAGCAGAGTTTGTAACTACAGTCATTTTTTTCTCATGTGGCTAACCTGAGCATGAAGAACACATCTTTCGAAAACCCCAGCAGCAACCCAAGGCAAAGTAGATCCCAAGCGCTACTCTATTGCATCGGAAGAGGCACGGCGCTCGCTTCGCATTGCAAGCAGAATAGGGGAGGACTATACAACACAAGGTGATCGGGCGTGCCTTATGGCTTTTAATAAGGTCTCCGAACGCCTACCAAGCTTAAGGCTCTTCGCCACGCCTCCAAACGGCTACCGAACAGGGGACAGGCCTACGGCTTCTCGTTACACCTCCGAACAGCTACCGAATGGAGGGCTAGCTTAAAGGTTTTCGCGACGCTTCTTAGCAGGCACGGAACAGGGGGCTAGCTTACAGCTTTTTATAGTGCCTTCTTAACAGTTACTAAATTCTTTGCTACACCTCCGAACGGGGCTGAAGGGGGGCTAGCTTACGGTTTTACGATATGGTACGTATTTTCGAAAAATCTGTAGAAGCGGAGAAAATCTCATAAACCTATAACTCTGAGGATGCATCTAATAAAACATTTCTTCTTAAATAATGTACTTGATAAAAACGCTTAGAACTTTACGCATAACCTAGTTGCCTAATCCGGGTTGCGCTGAGTTGATACAATATCCCGAACAAGTTCGGGCAAAATCCCGTGATATATGTCGCATGTAACGTGAATGCTAAAGATAGCAGCATGTAAAGCTTTATATAATGTAAAGTGGTGATATATTAGCGCTTGCTCCTCGAAGCTCCTTAAGAGCCGCGTGCTCCTTATACTAACACGATCATAATAGCTACCTTCACTTTGAAATCGTAAACAGACATTGTTTATTATGTTGAATTTTCTTTAAATCCCGGGTTATACTATAAACACTATCTCGCCAAATACCAATCCTTCCCGAACACTAATCCCTCTGGATACCAAGGTCTATCTATACAACCAAGGACATATCACGAGATAGGAATGGCCAACCTAATCAACCGGTTTGGTAACCAGAAGAAAGACTACTTAGTTGTTTGCCATAATCTGAAATCTGTGGTCGGTGGACAAATATCTAGTTGACGAGTCGGTTTATTGGGTTGACTTTGTTGATAACACTAACTACATGCAACATTGTTTTCTTAATCCCCCTTCACATAGCCCTTCCTCCTCTTCCCCTCCCTTCCTTCTTGCCGTTTGATTCTGCTAGACTTGTCTACTAGCACGTAGAACGCTGCCATTAGCAGTGGATGGCGCCGAATCTGTTCTTGGTGGCCTCCCACCAGGCCGACTCGACGTGGCCCTTGTTGCAAAAGTCGGTCACGCCGAACCTCCACACCAGTATGCCGTTTTCGTTCTTGCAGGACTGGGTGCCGCCGTAGACCTCGCAGGCGTGCGAGTGGTGGAGGTTGTCCCATAGGCCGCCGCAGATGCCGGGGATGTCGGTCACACCCTCCGCGGCGACGAGGTAAGAGTTACCGCTCGTGGTTTTGGTCTGGGTGCATTTGGTGGCGGCGTGAGCGGCGGAGACGAGGCAGGCCACGAGGCTGAGGGTAGACATGAACTGCATGGTGGGTGGTTGATTTGCGTGTTGTCTTAAAAAGAGTTGAATATTATGGATGGAGTGGGAATGTTGTTAAGTTGTCTCGAAAGAGTTGAGATGATGATTGTGGTGGGAATAGTGCTGTCTTTATAATAGCTGTGGAAGCTGGTATATTGTATAAGACTGTGAGTAAAGGGAACCTGTTGTCTCTGATATTACACTTCCTACGACGTGCCAACACGAGATACTTATACTGCAGCGTACATGGAATCCGTAACGGAGAAATGCGAGGATTCAAATCCTATACTATATTCTAACTAATCATCAGATAGGATTATCGGTAAAACTATACGCATTGTCTTTCGCACCAGACCTTTTCTGTTTCGGGCTTGGGCACACATGTTCATCATGTTCATAAGGCTATCCTGACATAGCAAGTTCTGGTCCAGAATTGAATAGCGGACTACTGTGCCACGAAAATCATAAGAGCCCACACACTACGGATCCGTAGAGATGGGCCAGCTATCTCTCAAAACGTGTTAATCAACACATTAAAACACTATATTATGGACTTTTGCTAAGCGCTAATATAGACTCTCTCTATCCTTCGCATACCCAAGGCCCCTCCGCCAGAACCTTACTTGTCTAGCGTCTCCACCGCCCGTATTCGTTACCCCTATTGTGGAAAAGTACCCCGCCGTGTATGGATGCCGATCCCGAGAAGTACAGTAGAGCGGAGATGTTGCCCGTGCTCATATATCATAATATATTTAGATCAGGCGGGTTCTCTTTAGCGTAGAAAAGTCCCGTTCTACCATTATGAACCGCGGTCTGTATTCGTGGGGTGGATCTTCCGCCAGCGGAGCGGAGTCTATTTAACTTAGGTAAATTAAGCTATTCCGTGCGGCACAGCTTTATATTGACTAAACACTTCCTACTTCTCCCCGTACTATGTAAACTGCGCCGTTCTTCCGCCGCTGGATAATGCCTGCCATCATATTTAGCCTTTATTCGATTTTGCGAGGGTTTTTGAAAACCTGTTTGTCCTGTAGGTTGCCCGCTCGGTCCAGGATCGGGAGAGTGTTGTCTGACACCACTTCGGCTACTACAATATACTGCATACTAGCCCTCTATGACACCCACTCTGTATACGACATCCATCACGGGCACTATCTGACATCCTCCCAGCTCTCGCCGTACGTAGCCGTGCATTATAACTTTCAGTTTATGTTGAACCACTGTCTGAACTGGTCCTTCGGGTCGTAGTGGTGCTTGATAGACTGTAGCTTAGATAGGCTACTTCCATACACAACCTGCAGGTCCTCATCCCCATGAGCAAAATTAATATAACTAAACAATGTTAATGAAATAACAGCAAAAGGGAAACAATGAAAGCTAGTGGAGGGAACATACGTCGAAGTTTGCGCCAAGCCATCTGTGGCTCGCCATAGATCCCGTGCTGCGTTTCCAAATGACTGAGCCTCACTATCTAGTGATGTGTCATTGTACCAAGGTATGGCCACTGCGTTAAAATTCACGTTTCGGTATGGAAAAGAGGCCGAATTAGGATCCACCGACCTGGCCTTGGTGAGGGAGTATGCCTCAAGAAGAACAACGCTGTTTTCGGCAGTAGGCTTCTTTTGAAACTCCACATACTCGTTCCATGTCTCACGCCAAGTTTTGGGGACCATGTTTTGGAACCCTGCGCCGTAGGATGGTTTACGGCCCCCAAAAGAACAGAATGCATCACCTCCGGCGTTCCACTGGTTATATGGTATAACTGCTGTATTGTCTGTTTCCGGACCGATGGCATACAGACTAGCAAATGCGGCGCGTCCTGATGTTACATTACCCTTGTACAAGAATGGCGTGGTAACAATAGCCGGCTCGTTCGCAGGCAGTCCTCCTGAAATGAAGTACATGAAAATGTTCATATCGGATTGGAGTTCTAGGTCTTGGATGGCCTGGACGACCTCTTCTAACTTATCGGGGCTAAATACCAAGGAACCTGTCCATGCCTCCATGTCCTTCTCTGTAGCAGGGTACGACTTTACTACCGCAGACGTTACTATACCGAGATTTGGCCCGGCGCCTCGAAGGCCCCAGAACAGATCCGGATAGGAGGACGCAGTAACATCGCGAAGCTGTCCATCAGCGGTGACGACGCGTAGTGAGAGGATGTTATCAACGCCGAAGCCATACAAACCCATCAAATTACCATACCCACCGCCGAGAATAGCGCCAAGAGTACCCGCGCAGTTGCAATTGCCAGTCTCAATTAGGGCTCCTGCGGCATAGCTGTGGGCGATCGTATTACTTATGTTGGAGCCTCCCCCAATGGTAGCCTGAGTTTTGTCCGCGTTGAAGGTAACCTGGTTCAAACGTGCCAGATTGACTAACACACCATTCGGGCCTAAGTCGAAAGTTGTTGCCCATCCACTGCCCCCGTTTTGAGCCAAGAAAGGGATGTCTTTCGAAGTGCAGTATTTCACCTATTTTTTCGTGCGAGGTTGTAAGCACATGTCATTTTGCTTCATGTGGCACTGCATCTCCACACAAAGTGAGAATAGGTCAAGGAAGAGGGGTTTTGTACCGTGATCGCAACATCCGACTCGGTCTCAACATTAACCACAACAGCGGGATGCGGCGCGTTGAAGGAGCTCCATCGTGGCGGCGCTTCCGTGGATATGAGGTCATGACGCGACAGATGTGGTGCCAATTCAGTGCGTAGTCGCTGTGCAACTGAGCCGGCGTCAACTGCTGCGGCTGACGTTAAGCTCGCCGAAGCGAAGAGCGAGGAGAACAGAATAACGAACATCATTATGCAGAGAGTTGGTAGTATTACAAGAGAATCTTTAAGTTTCCTAGATGTAAAGGCTACGGTCTAAGGTTAGGTATTTATTATCTGCCCTTTGCACCCTATGTGTAAGAGTTTCAGAAACTTATATTCCCATTAGATGGCAGGAATGTTCAAGAGCTTACAAAAAACTAAGAGTCAGGAGATTGCCACCAAAAGCCTCCTCGCTTCTACAAGGTAAGCAGCTGAATCGATTTGTCGGTAGTGCCTAAGCCAGTATGTCCATACATCAAAATATCGCGGTCAAAAGAAGAAAACGATATAGTCACTGTATAATTTACCTAATATATCCAATACAAATATACAATACGCTTGAAATATTGGTTGTTTATATTTCTCGTTCCAACGTCTCCTTTTGGATGCTAAATTGGTGCTAATTGGCACTACGAACCGACAACGCTACAGATGGGAGATGCGTACCTACCTCAGGTACGTACCTAGGTACATACATTAAGCAACCCAAAAGGCTGATTAAGGTAATAAATACCGAAATTGCAACCTCTCGGATGCGATACTTGAAAGTTCCCCTTAATCACATTCCGCCACCACACCACCTACCTAGCTCCCCTATCTGTGAGACATCAAATTACAGCTATTACGATCCCCTTAGTTTGCGTTCTATCGCGGCTGTCCTCCATCTAGCAATAAGCTGTACTACCTAGGATATCCCCGTCATTAATGTCAGTGAGATTCTTCCAGATCTACACCGGACCTGTACAGCGCACTGACATGAGGCTCAACATTGAACACCGTAGTTGTCAGCGGTTATGTCAAATAACGTTTTTTCGAATTAATCGTAAAACACCAATAAAACGCAGTAATAACCTCTATTTGATTGATTGTTATTTAGCAAATAACCCAAATAACCCGCCCGGGAGGTTAATCCGAGAAAACTCGAGGGGTGTTAACGATCTTGACGCTATTCTAAAAGGTGTTGAAAGCCTTAAAGCCACCAATTCTGGCGTTTTCTACTCTCTCATCTACCACAATTCCCTTGTCACACGGTCAGAGTGCTAAGGAAGCGTTGGTGCAATATAATGACCAACAGGACTATTAGGATTACTGAGGATGAGGTTATTGGTATGATGTATTACAAGGACATGCACGTCTCAGGCAGTTGCACCAACATCGGGGATCAACCGGTGATTAGGATATAAGCTCCGTACCTTAGATTATTTACAAATAGTAATATACATCATCCTTATCCTCCTCTAATAAATCAAACCTATCTAGACGTGTACGTCGATCCCGCTCAAGTGAATACAGTGATGATATGACCGAATCGATAGCAACCCTATTTCCTTCATGCCAAGGGTGGATTCCTCAAAAGGCTGTAGCATCTTTTTGAATCCGTCAAGCCAACGTCACTCTTCTGGCAGGATATTGTGCCCTGCAGGAATCCGGGTATCACAGTTACCAAGGCGGCTTCGCGTGTAATAAAATCTGTTAATGGAATCATGGAAGCGCAGGAAACTGCGCACCTCATTTAACACTACATTCCATCTAGCATCGTCATGTATTTTAAGAGGGCATCCCGAATAGGCATCCTTTTCCAGTTCCGCCTCAGAATCGTAAATAGGAGCTCCAAGAATGGAATTTGTAATCCTCCTTGGGTTCTTCGGCATTACCAGGTAGGTAATTATCAAGCTGGCTTGCTGCAATCCGACGATCTCGTTGAGTTTTCAATGACCCTTCGCGGCGAACCTCCCGCGTGAAGGCATCGCGGCGTTGGGCAGTCAGTCCATCGTACGTAATGGTTCATTTTGTGGGCTTTGTGGATGAAAGCTGTCCCGATAACTCTCACTCTATTCTATTCAGTAAGTAGAAAAGAAGTTGCGACGATAGTTAAGATATGGCCCCGGCAGCACAGGCGACGAGAAGCAACCATCTTTTCAACTTATAAGGTTAAGCCATTCTTTATATTTTGTATGGGGAACCTACCGCCAGCGTTATCTGGGGTAAAAATGTCAGGGGTATGAGGCATTAGTGCGGATTGGGCCTTATGACCCACTAGGATAGTGTATATGAGGAGTACGCTGCTCCCTCGCAGGTGCTTCGAAAGGCAAACGTTAATAGATCACTACTACACACTGCATACTTGACATTCTACGTGCTACTGCTTCTAGTATTCACTCTATGTACGACATACATCACGGGATTTTTGACAAAAAAATCCAAGCTTTTCCCGAATGCCGTACTGATCAATAACTTACAGCAGGCGCACCACAAGATTCTCACCAATATGGCTGCCCGCAACCCGCCGTAGGGCGATTAACCTAGTGCGTAACTGCCAGTTTCCACCCACAAAGTGAGCAACAACACCGAGTACACCCGTTTTGCTAGGGGTCTCCCATATATCAAAGGAAAGATGGATTTTCGAAAAGGCGTCATCTCGCAGTTGTCGTATAATGGCTGTTCGGGCAGATTTGAAAATATCCTCGGGCCATCGCACCATTGTGTGAGATGAGATCCGGGCCGGGTCACCGTTCAGGTTTCGGTTGAAAAAACCTAGTAGGTGGTGAGCCTGATTTCTAACACAGGTACGGAAGGGAATATCATCAAGGGTAATATACTCGATTAGCAGCTTTTTATACGCCGAAAGCGCGCTGCGTACGGGATTCTTATTGGAGTGTTCCTACACCTTTTCGAACACTGACGATACTTGGGGTTCAGGGCCTAAAGGGGGACTAGGTAATTACGATGATTTTTAGCCTACTGTTTTTGAATGGGTGCGCTTTAGGTGGTATTTGGCACTCGTGGAGGGACCTTCGAAGGTCTTGGTCCTACCTCCTTAATCACCCAGGTAACAGTAATTGCTAGACCTTGTTGCCCTTCATCTCAACAACACGGCCATCTTCTTCGCGTTTCTCGGTGATAGGTATAACATACTAGCCAAGGGCGAGGATCTCAAAGTCAGCGGCAGAAGATAACCATGCGCTGACGATGTATTCGGTGAATTGGATCTTAACGAGAGGGAGACCTTGCCATGTAGCGCTTAGTGGGATGAAAGTAGCAGCGCAAGCAAATCCTTAACGAAAAGGTATGCGTGTTACAGCAGCCCTTGCGGATAACCTGAAAAGCGGTAAGCATTATGAAAAAGAGCTGTGGCAAAGATATTATAAAAAGGGGTTGTCGAAATAGTAGCTATTCAAAAGTTCAAACACTCCAAGGGGGAACTGAGTTTGATTGGGAAATTATCGCAAAAACAACGCCGTAATTATAGACTAGCAATGACGCCTTATGTACACTACGTGACAGAAATATAGTACATTCAAAACTCTGCTAATAGATAAAATCAATGGGCACACCGAAGCCGTACTCCAAGCCATCTTTTAGGGTTTAAAACGCCATTCAAGGGGTTAAAACACCATGCCGGGGATACTATAATGAATTTAAGGTGGCGCGGATAACCTCAAAGTCGCTACCATTGCAGCTGATAATCTTGACAAATCTCCTACTGAAAAGGGTTGGTAGGTAGGTAATTAGCAGATATTGTTAATCAAAATAAAGGCGTTATTTTAACTAGTCAAATGACGGAAAAGCCTTATTTACAATGGTTACCTCAATTAAATTAACTAATTGAATTAAATATTATTTTAATTGTAGCGATTGCTGGTAGATATAGGCATAAACATCAATATGATTCTGCCATTAATCTGTCCGCCTATCTATATTTGCTCACGATCCGAAAGGGGTATTAAACCACGTGTATACCCATCGGGTTTATACGACCCGAACGTATACGACGACTGGCTTGTGGACTGCGGAGGCGAGTTGAAATGAACCCATATAGGTCGCAACGTGGGAAGACAGGCCGATACCACAGCAATCGCCAATTCTATGTTAGTCCAAAAGAAAACCGGTGACGTGTAGTCTGCAAGTACTCATTAATAGTCAGTTTTCAAAGCGGTATCTGCGCGGACGTACATGTCTCATCATTGTAATGGTAGATAAACTCCGCAGCAATTTGGACTAACGTGGCAAGCCGGGTAATGCTGATTGCGCAGACACTATGAGGACGGGTTAGAAACATACCTACCTAATGCTCACTCGAAAGCCTGATATGGGACGGCGTTCTTACGTTGCACCAAGCAAAAACATTCCGAGCAGCCCTAGCCTGGCTTTCAAGGGCAGCTGAAGCCTCAAAACCATGGGAACCGGCATGAGTAAGATCCCGATATCGACAATCAGATCGGTGGCGACGACAGAAAGCCACATCGGGATGGAGTTGATGCAATTTTTGCCATAGAACGGTTCTATGAGAGGTGTGATGGGATAGCATGTGAATAAATTGGCGAAGAAGTAAGAAATCGTCCATGCTGCGACAATTCCGAGCATTCCGTACACAGCCCAACGGAAAGGGCGAACGGTGTTGAATATGCCCTTGTAGAAGATGAGGATCGACGCTTTCACTAGCCCCAGGCCGATAACGCTCAGGATATTGACGGCGAATTTCGTCTAAATCATAACGTGGTCAGACCCGCAGTTTCTCTTCAAAAATTGTTGACGCAGTCCAGGCCTTCTTTTATACTCGCCTTTTCATAAACAAGGAAACGTGGGTCATCTAGGATAGGCTGGCCATCCGGTCCAACAACTTGATGCTGGCCTAGTTGCCCATTACTAGCAGCTGTTGAAAATAAGTCTTAGCAACCGAGCTCGGGACGGGCCTTGCTGGATTTGAAAACTGACCATATACCTGTAAGGCGGAGCAGACAATACCAAAAGCCAACGCTCCTAAGCATAGATAATCATCCAGCCGTAACGCAGTACATTTAAGCTTTCTTGCCCACATTCTCAGTCCGACGAAAATTGAAGGTACAATGATGAAGGCGATTGCCAGACCCATCAACAGTTCTTTAGTGTAAGCCATCGTGATACTTTCCGACAACGCGTAATTACGGAAGGGCGTGGTATTGGAAAGAAGCGTGAAACCGTGAAAAGATATACATTCCACCTTAAACGTTAAACTATAAGGTCAATCTTCGTCAAAGCCTCGTTTGTCTTTGCTCATAGACTTACTACGGTGCTATACCTTACGTAGTTGAAAGCCTTATCCGGCTATAGGTATACAGGATGGCGTTGCCCATATGTGTGGAACGCTGTTATTTTTGGCCCCTAAGACAGATCCTGCGGGTTTCGCCCGAACTTGTTCGGGATATTATCTTTCGTTCTCTACATTAGAAAGCTCGTTTGCGTAACACTACATCCCCAATGTTATTGGTTTAGCAGAGTTTCCCTATTTTTACAACTTTTCGAAAATACGTACTATGATAAAGCGTATCTCGTTTCCAAATCCATTTCGCATTTCACCATTATAATATCGTGGCTTGAGGAGGAACGCGGGCCAAGTGAAAGTTCGGGCTCTTGTACTACCGGAAAGGTGACCTCACGTTCTTGACATTTACCTGATATAAATGAGGCTTTATATGCATATGGGGGGTAAGAAAGTGATATTAATTCAATAGTTTAAGGGAGGGTATACGAAGTTAAGCCAATCGAACTTATGTGGACCAAAAAGCAAAACGATGTCGACTTAAGGAGTTAACGTTGCTATCTCCACCTATAAGAACTACCTCACAGGCGGAACCGTGATACGACTAGTAAACATGCAAGCCTCTCACATGAATAAAAAGCGTCATGCAGCTTTAATTCCTCAAATACTGCGCCTTCCATGTCTCGGATATGTACTGAAAAGAGCAGAAGCGTCATCTCTTGCCACCAAACTGCTTTTTACTGCATGTGTTCTGCGCCGACCTAGCTATCAAACGCAAAATATCTCCCTTTACGAGAAGCCATATCATATAGTACGCAGATGCCTATATTTGGTTAAGTATTACATATCCTCTCTCTAGCGCTTCTAATTCCGAGCTGTTAATAAGGTGTAGGTGGTTACATAGCATATTATAACCAACTCTTCGGAACACTACCTGTGTATTACAAACACCTTACCCCGGCCAGCTTGGCATTCCTGCCAGGCTTCTTCTCCTCATTTTAGGGTACCCTCACCGAACCCGAGTACGGTTCCGGGTTGATCTACGCCGCTAAACTCATGCATATATCTTTATCCTGATGTTAGATAGGCCTTTACATCGGTGGAACAAAGACGGAGTGGATGGATAGTCTTCGACCGGGCATAAGCAGATGACACCAGACTGTTTATAGTAAGCTGAGGCAGAACATGCTCGAGCTCGATTTGCCGAAGTATACATAGGCCGTGTTGGCTAGACGCACATAAGTCGCACTTTTCATACTATACTTGCATGAGGGCGGTAACAAAAATAGTATTGACTACGCATTTCCAAGACATCCCGGTCTCATCCCACCATCAAAACCTCGGGCTAGCCTGAGTCCGTGCAGACCAACTGTTATGCACGCGGTCATCAGCATCGGCGTCTTCCTCTTAAGGAAGAATTCCAACATTGGATCTCGCCGACCAAGAGTTGTGTACAAGATCATCTGCTTCAGTCCCTGCCTCCCTGGAAGCAATGGCTCTAGCAGACCAGGAGTTCTTGACAAGGTCATCCGCGTCAGTGTCGCGGTTCTTCAGCGCAGGGCTGTCGTTGCCTAGATAGTTCTTATTAGATCCTCTCTCGGTAGTATACAGCTATGGGAGTCATAAACTTGCCTTTGGGCATGGGAACAGCGAGGCCCACGCCGAAAAGGATTGTAAGGAAGATTAAACGCATGTTTCTCAAATAGTGTTGATTTCTTAAAGGTATAATGCAAATCAACTTTGTCACATAATTTCAAAGACCCAAGGTGGGCATCATTTTGCATTTTAATATTTTCCAGTTGAAGGTAGATATGCGTATTTTAACGCCGGGAGCAGCGAAGCTGTCGCCCTCTCATAGGGCATACGTCGTGCATGCACATTAGTGGAGTATTATAATTCATATCCGTCGTCGTTGGATGAGAGGCTCCTATTCTATGAGTGTTACCACACTGGCTAAGTCACTTTATGGATGTGTGTATACCTACCTATTTTGTATATAAGATGCCTAACTCGTTACGTGTTCGTCCGTGTGTAACACTTTACAGTGAACATTTTTATGGGGCGCATCGTTAAGGAAGAAACGTTTCATTGGATACATCCTTAAGATTGGTGGTCTAGTAGATATTCCCTACCTACTTCCACAGCTTTTTCGAAATATGTACTATTTCCAAGGCTGTGTCTGAAAGCCATGATCCATTTCGCATTTCGCCATTGCATATATCCTGGCTTGAAGAGCCATAAAAGAGCCGTAGGTAGGAGAGTCGTATGTAAGAAAGCTGTAAGTAAGAAAGTTGTAACCAGGGCGCGCTAAGTGGAAGTTCGGGCTCTTATGCTACCCGAAGGGTGGCCTCTTGTTAACATGGTATTCGAATAGATCCGATTCCGACTTACTACCTTGGGTACATAAATCACTCGTTCACATCCAATCTTGGGGTTCTTTCCCATTAGCCCATAGGTACGCGGCGTATGCAGTGTAGGGATAAGTAAAGGGATGAAGGTTGTTGGGTTCACCCCTATTCTCCACCCAATGTAATTGGCTTAGGATCTTAGATATGTGTTGACTTCGGAGAGGTATTCGGCACTTGCATGTCCATCTGATCAATTCTGTTTAGTCCATCATTGCTTTGATTTCTTGTTAATGTCTGCTTGGTTCTTGATGATATACTTAAAATAACCGAATTAGTTCCCGTGCTTTCAATTTCAGTTCACATCCGGGAAGCCCTAGCATAATATGGGATCGAGGACCTCCGACGACAATGAGCAAGGCGAGTCTCTGTTACCGCCAAACCAGGAGGGCCACAACTTACTCAGTGGGCCATATCGACTAAGTGCCAGATACCAATGGATCAGCACGGCATGCGCAGTTGTGGTTTCACTTATCGTTGGATACATTCTTGGGCTTAGCCATGTAAAAGAGAGGAGCAGAGCTCAATATGGACTTCCAAGTAAGTCTCTTGAGCTCAACTGGAGAATTAACACTGAATTTTTGATAAGTGCCTCCAGGTTCTATCCACATCACCTGGGAACATAACTTAACTTTCACACAAAAGCCTTCACCGGCATCCGAAGCCGCATGGGCCTCCATCATTCCTGCCGGGCGAGGCTTCGTACATCATCCCCAGTTAGCACCGTTCATTTCCAACATTGCGACTTTCCACCAACTTCATTGTCTAGTAAGCTAAGAGTGTAAACCTTTAATTTGTTTCGTGTTCGATTAATGGTCATTTAGCATGCCATTGTCGTTGCATACTACGAAGCCCTCGAAAGCCCGCCCTTGACAAACCTTAGTAGCATTCCCGAGTTTGAGAATAGTACTTCCACACGCATAGCTCCGTTCCATATACGGCATTGCTTTGACTATATCAGACAGGCGCTCATGTGTGCGGCAGATACGAACCTTGAGGTACTGGACCATGAGACGCACCTCACCAATGGATGGGGCCAGCCTAAGCAATGTCGAGATTATGAACATGTCTTTACTTGGGCAGAGCGGTATGCCAACTCTTCCGATACGGGAATTGTCACATAGTCTTCTTCGATAGTTGCGATAATTGTGTTAGATGTACTTCGTTTAATAACTTCTTGACTGGTATTAATTTCTGTTCGAAGTACAGTGGGGTTAATCCTTATATATCAGCTCAGCCATCCCTTTTAAATTGGGAATAGTCTGTCATATTAACCATCCTTTGCCTCGCCCAATGATCGAGCGCATACCAATCGACGCACTCATTGTCTGTATACACTCTTGAAGTCGGCACTCCATCTCTCCAGAAGAAAGTTCCCAGAGTGGTATCACCTCGACACATGGCAGATTCTCTCCAGTATTCAAGGCAGTGGTCTGTTTGCGGTCAGCAACGTTTATAAGGTTCCTTTAAAAGTCACTATACCGATGTGTGCATCTTCCTTCTGGCGGTCTACTTCCGTCAAGTTTGGGTAGTAAAGATTAAGGTTCAGATGGCGCCTCACGCGTTTCTTAGAAACAGAGTGGTGTTAGCAAAAAGAAGTTTACCTATTGCATAGCAAAGAATGTCTGTGTTCAGGACGTACAATACAATGTAATTCGTGGTATACTGCCATCTCGGCAATGTATCCAGAGCCATCTTTAAACGCGATCGTGCTGTCGCCCTCGCTAAAACGCGCAAGCTCGCTATCGGAAACTTTTATAGTGATGGCTAAGGATAACGCAATAAGTACATATGGCATATCTTTCATGGCTACACCTACGCGCTATGATATCTCGCCATGCTTGGTCGAACTCTGGCCGAGGCTTGCCAGTAAAGGGGTTAGGTCCGTCAATATCTCGCCAAAGGCGCTTCTTCTCGTACCGAATAGCGCTAGTAGCTGGAGCTATCGGGTCACACAAGATGATTAATGCCATAAATCTCAGGAGCTCATGCTAGGGCCGAGCCTGACGGCATGGACTTACAATATGTCAATTGAGGCCGCACACAATCCGACGATTTCAGATGTGCGCGGTGCATCCAGGACGCGAGCCAGAGACCGGCGAAGGTAACATTTGAGACAACGAGAAGTGCAATGATCATAATTTGGACCTTCTGATGGTTCTGGTGGTAGATCGATGGACCACTATTGAGTTCCTCATGCTCCGAGTCATCCTCTTTTCCAGTAGAGTATAGCCGGTGATAGCTCTGTGACGACGCCATATTGAAAGGAGTTGAAAGCAATAAGTGAGTAGAAGAGAAACTGCCAGTTCAGGCAACGCCTTGGGGTCAAATGATTAAGGCACAAAAAAATCAGGAACTTCCCGAAGAGCGGGCAATCGCAAGCTGCACCTGCACCGCCTCAGTGAGTGAAAAGATTGGCAGCAATTGGATGCGAGAGTCATGTCCCCCTGTTCGACGATACATAGGAGCCCTTAGATACTTTACAAATGCATGTCAAGCGTGTAGGATGCGATCAGGCCAACAATGCCGGTGGTGGCCCGCAATATTCGGGCCCGAGGGGTGTTTGTAAGATCGATAAGAACAATCGGGATGCTTTGCCACATGTAACACAACTAGGGTATATAACAAGAGGTTTCAGTACAAAATACTTTCGCCCTTCTTGTATGAGAACAATTATACGTCAACTTATAATATAGACAAGCGCACGTTACATGTTCAAGTAAAGCATACTTCCAGAACTGACCTTAAGACGACCAAGATGGCTGGAGTCCCAAATAGTCCCGCGACCGTCCTAATCACGGGAGCGAACCGAGGTGAGTTGGCTCACGACCAAACTTCGTCCTTTCTCCTCTACTTGATGGTTGTCCTAACTCGGCTATGTGTTTGTCTATCTAGGCCTAGGCAGAGCTTTGCTCACTCGGTTTCTGCTTAAACCCAACACCACTGTTATCGCTACTGTGCGTCGTCCCGAACATCCTACGAGCCAATCCTTGTCTGAACTCCCCCGCGGCGAAGGCAGCAAGCTGATCACTGTCAAAATCGATTCTGTATCGGATACGGATGCGCAGGATGCCGTCAAGCTTATCCAGACGAAACATGGGATCGATAGGTTAGACGTCGTCGTTGCCAATGCAGGCTACGGCACGGTATATGGGGATCTATCGGAGGTCAAGCCACACGAAGTTCGAGATCTTGTCGACATAAACACTATAGGTATAAGAATAAGATTGTTCGTGGCGGAAAATTTCATCGGAAGCAGGCTGACGTGAATTTCTTAGGCCCCTTACGCCTTTTTCAAGCTGTCCGGTCGCTTCTTGAAGCAGGCAACCGGCCTCGGTTTGTGCTGATGGGTACACCGATCGCCAGTATTGCGGCCATGGAGAATTCGCCTTTCGCGATGTTTGCGTATGGCGCGAGCAAAGCTGCCGCACACTACCTCACGAGAAAGATTCATTGCGAAAGCCCAGCTCTAATCTCTTTTGTCGTAGACCCCGGGTAAGAAAGAGTTCGTCCTCCCATACTTGGCATGTCTCATTCACTATAACCCTTTTTGAAGGTTCATGCAAACGGACACGGGGAACACAGGGGCGCGGCATTTCGGATACGAGCAAGCGTTCATGCCACTCGACACGGCTGCCGATTTTGTATTCGACCAGGTCAGTCTTGCATGTCTACTGGGTTGGGTTCTAGTAACGAATTACTGACATTGTGCAGATTGAGAAGGCATCGCGGGAGAAAACCTCAGGCAAGTTCGTCACGATTGACGAGACGCGAGAGTTCAATGAGTGGTAGTTCGTGATAAATTGTGGAATGCTTAGACCATGTGTACGGTTCGCCTTTCGAAACTAGTTCTCTAACTATCCGCTCTTTTCTGCTAGAATCAGCACAGCTGGCCACGAAAGCTTCCTCTGTGCATTGTGTTCGCCCATTGCTCGGGCTAGCTGTTCAAACAGTCCATCCATCGTATTATCCGGTTCAGTTAATTCGTTTGGCTTCGGAAAGCTTGCCCTTACGAACTTTCTCAGCATTTCCACATCCCAACTAACTTCCCAGAAGGCAAGGTCTTGCTCTGTGCTAACTGCTTCCTCCGGTCCAACATTGCAAACTGGTTCCACAGGAAAGTCGCACGCACGACGAGTAAAGAATGAGAGTCTAGCATGCGTGTTCCATTTGTGACGGCGTATATCCGACCATGTATCTGAGGCAAAAGGGATGTAATCCAGCCAGCTGAACTTCCCATCAGCAGCGCGCTTCCAACTCTTCCTCCGAGCCTCCCCGCCACCACTGACTATAGGGCGGAAATTGTGGTCCATGATGGAATCTAGGATTTCTTGACATCTAGGCGCAAATCCTGCCTCGGTGAAGAATGGCGGGCCGTAAAACCAGACTGCGAGGGTGCCACCAGGACGTAGCAGGGTGGAGATGTTGTCTAATGCTGTCTGCGTATCCATCAACGGGAATGTCTCGGCACAAGTGACAAGATCAAAAGAACCAGGCAAGTGGTGCTGTAGAAGGTCCTCTCCCGAAGATAGGGTGTAGGAGAGACGCCCAGAAGGCAAAGTTAAGTATTTCCGTTGTGCGAAAGTCAAGCTAATGGGATCATTGTCGCTAGCGACGACGTGGCCGAATTGTTTGGTCAGAGGCCATATGGCAGAGCCAGAACCCGTACCAATATCTAGTGCAGCTAAACGAGGCTGGGAATGGCTGGCATGATAGTCATATATGCGCTGGAATATCTTCTCATCGTAGACAGGCCGTGTGGCGATATATTCGTCCCAGTAAGTTGGTTCGATGTTGCGCAACGTCCAAAACAGGGGGTTTTCTTTCTCAGTGACCTCCATTGAATCCAGCAGTGTGTGTAACCACAGCAGGTCGATCGTCTAACTTTTGAGGATATACTATGTACAAGTGGATCTTCCAGCAGCTCAGCGAGCTGTTTGTTTGTCTGGTGGTCCATGACTTATATTGTGACGTGACGTTCCTTTTAATTACTCCATTAGGAAGTATCGATTCGGCCTAGATTACCGTGCAGCTGGAACTCTAATGCGGGGGCAGGGGTGATTAGGTAGGGGTGGCTATAAGGGCTTTAAATAAACATTATATTACATATCATAGTACATGTAAGCCACACGAGACGTGTCTCCCTGCCTCTGCATACATGGTAGGGGTACCTTACCTACCTCCTATATGATGTAGGCATGCATGTACATGTACATGTATTAAGTACGGAGGTACCTGTCTTTATATCCAAACCTCTTAATGCCCTTTTTGTTTTTAGTCCTACCGTCTTACCTATCTCTAGGTATATTTTCAGTCCACTTGACCGCCCCTTTGATTCCCCTCGTCCTCCTTCGTATCCCGTCCCTCCTCATATGTTATAACGGTTTCCATCCCATCTCTCTCCCTAACCATGGCCCACTTGGCTGCAGATTACATCGTTGTTGGTGGTGGCCTGACTGGATGCCTTATAGCTTCACGTCTTAGCCAAAGCGACAGGAAGCCCGAGGTTATTCTACTGGAAGCAGGCCCAGATCCATATGGTAATGCTGCCGCCGCCGGCTTTTTGAGCGGCTTGTCGCTCCTTGGCGGCGAGTTGGATTACGCTTATCAAAGTGAACCCGTCGCCAACACAGCCCACCGTATACACAGTCTCAACTCTGGCAAGGCCCTGGGTGGGGGCAGCATTCTCAACTTTGGCGGCTGGTTGCGTGCCGATGCACTGGATTACGACGAATGGGCTGATGTCGTTGGGGACAAACGCTGGAGCTACGAAGGCTTCAAGCCTTGGTTCCGCAAATCGGAGCATTTTTACGACGCCAGCGCGGATGCCGACCAGCATGGTTTCGATGGCCCCATGGACGTCATTTCCGTCTCTGCTTCATTATCCGGAGCACGCAAGTACTTACTTCGCGAGCCTGTAAAGACAGCATGGTCTGAACTTGGAGTATCGCTAAATCTACAAAAGGACAATGGCACAATCACGGGCTTGGCGGAGATGTACGAGAACTCGCGAAATGGCATGCGACAACCATCATATACAGCGTACCCCCTCAACGACGTGAAAGTTTTCACCGAAACTATCGTACACCGAATCACCTTTTCCGGGTCCACAGCTACTGGCGTAGAGCTGGCCGATGGTCGCAAAGCTACGGCGCGGAAAGAGGTCATTATCTGCGCCGGCGCTTACCGTACTCCGCAGATCCTCATGCTTTCAGGAATTGGCCCATCTACTACTCTTAGTGAACAAGGTATCCCCGTAGTATACAACTCCCCTCATGTTGGCCAGAATCTTCACGACCACTTTGCCATATACCTCGCATTCCGTCTGCGTGACCCTTCTGCCGGGTACGCACTGGGAAGCGCTGCCTGGCAGGATCCAGCTCTATTCAAAAGTCTTCCGTGGGATTGGGTTGTCAGCCAACCACTGCCAGCGGAAATCATCACGAAGCATGAATCGAAAGCCGAAAAGCAAAAGCGAAACCTTTACGAAGTGATCACTCTCTACGTGCCACCCGGCATACCGGGAATCCCGATTGATGGCACCCACATCGCTACCTCGACGATGCTGCTTCTTCCCACCTCCCGTGGTACCGTATCGATCCAGTCCAGCGATCCAAAGGATCCCCCACGCATACAACCCAACTATTTCTCTACGCCACTAGACCGAGACGCCCTCATCCATGGAACCCGCCAGACATTGAAGGCCATACTCACAGCCGGTCCCATGAAGTCCATCGTCGAGAGCGAGACTCCACCTTCCGGGGAGGGTCTAGACGGCTTGACACCCCTTACTGCCGATGCTAGTGACGAAGCGATAGAAGACAGAATTCGGCGCACCGGAATGCAGCATCACCACTCCGGGGGAACAGCCGCTATGGGAAAGGTGGTCGATGTGGAGGGCAAGGTGTTCGGTATCAATAGATTACGGGTTGCGGACGCCAGCGTCATTCCGATACCCTTGGGCGGTCACCCACAGGCTACGCTCTACGCTATGGCTGAACAGCTGGTCAGTATGATCATTGATGATGCTTGAGGATGAATTTCGGCTGGTGTTGCAACCTGGAGCTCACTAGTTAGCCTAGGGGCAAGGAGCATAGGAGCATAGTGGCATGCTCGGATTCAGGTATAGAAGCTTGGCCGCCCTACTCCTAGCTGTAGGATAGGTTTACTGCATAACAAGTATCATTAAGCTTTAGGTAGTAACTTACCTCAGACCCTTAGCTTTCGTGGCTCTGCCTTAACCCTTCCGAAGCTGGCCTGGGGCAATGTTTTCTGAGTCCGTCTGCGAGCATGTTTCCCGTAGGCTTGTAATCCACCTTAATCTGTTCTCTTGCCGCGCACTGCCTCAGCCAGTGGTTGTGTATATCGACATGCCGGAGCTTAGTCTGAAGCCCCGCAACATCCGTGTTCACTAGGCGGATGGCCTGCTGGTTTTCGCACCAAACCTGTATATAATCCCCATCCAGTTCCACCTTTAATCGTGATACGAACAACTTTTCCTTTGCAGTCCGAGCAAGAGACAGCAGCTCAGCTTCAGTTCTTGAAGTGGTTACTGTATCTCGCTTAGATGCTCGCCATCCTATAACACCCTCGAATAACTCGAGTTAGGTACCTATATAATCTACATGCCAGGCCACAGGCTACACCGTCACCTCGCCGCCCTCGCTCCTGTGAACCCTACAACGACAGGGACTATTACTTCTACAGCACCTACTGCCGCTAAAATGTGTGTCAGCTCATATAGAGCACAAGATGATGACGACTGCCATTCCATTAGTGAATCGCAGCGTATTTACTAGGCAACTGCTGTAGTATAACAACCTTGAGGGAGGTTGTAACAACTTCCCAGCCCCTAGAGAAAAGCTTTGCATGCCTCATACGTGCGATACATACACGATAAAGGCTAACGATATAGGTACCTAGGTTAGGTATCTTTAAAGGTTTAATAATTTTGTTATTTTATAATTTATTTTAAAATATATTAAATTTAATAACTGCTAATGCGGGGTATATAAGTAAAGATACCTAACCTAATATAGGCCCTACGGTAGATGGCCTTACAACCTTCTCTCACTTAGACTCCAACATCCACCATCACATTTTCCTTGACGACTTTTTGACTCGAAATTGTTCTAATGTGGTAAATTACCGCCATAGACTTATTAGGAATTTCTTTTTTTCTCTCAACTTCCTTTTTACTTAAGCATTCACTGTGTCAAGGTGTGCGTGCGTCCATCATCATGGAACATCTAGTCACAGGTTTCGTGCGTATATGTCGCGGGATTGACAATGCAGAGGATCTATCCAGGCTCATCTCGGAGGTCATTAGGCAGCCACAGCCCAACGATGTTCCAGCACAAGCAAGACTATGCATCCTTGACTTCCCGGACTTGGAAACGCTGGAGGCAAACATCTCCAAGTCTTCATCTCTCTCCCGGGCAGATCTCATCAAGCGGGCCGCAGAAAGTCCCCGACAGCTCTCGGGATCGGAGCTCGACGTTCTGCGCCAGCGCTACTGGCTTGACATCGGCTTCCCTGAGCTGCGAGCCCGCACCACCGCCTCCGAGACTCTGGAGGCCGTGTCCGCAGAGCACTTGCGGCAAGTCACGGAGCAGCTTGAAGCGATCAGAGCGCTGCTTTACGAAGAAGACGAGAAGAAGGCGATCGACAATGCTCTAGAGGAGACGGTCAGACGGTACAACGAGGCACACAGATTGAGAATAGACCAGGAGGAAAACGCCATCTTCAACAGCCCTCACGTCCAACCCTGGGTGAAACGTCTCTTTGCCGAAAACAAGGAGGAGGAGGTGTGGGGCTTTGCCGTATTCGTGGACCCGGAGGCTGGCGGCTCCCAGAAACGCATGGAAGACTACGAGTCTCGGGCAGATGGTGCACTCTATCACGCCCGGTCTGCAGTCGGCATTGGAACTCCAGTAAGAATGGTGTGGCATCTGCAGAGGCTAGATTGGCCGCTGCCTATCGCTGATGTTGGTGAAAGCGCAGGAGGCGACGAGGAGGGAAATGTGGACCGAGAGCCTGATGTCGGGGGGAGCGACACAGCTCAGCGTGACGATCAAGTTCGAGATGCCAAGTTTCAACGACTTCGGCAGCACTTTCTCTCGGTCCGCGATAGACCACCTAAGAGGATGAGAGCCCACGATCACACGAGGGCGCTCGACAGCGGCGGTCTTGGTGCCGGGATATTGCGCAACGCCTTTTTGGTCATTGACCAAGCTGCTGTTAATTCGTTGCTGCACACTGGGCTGGTGGATGAGGCATGGGTTTGGGCTGTGGATCCCGACTATCACGATCTGCATTCTGCCAAAGAAGATGGTACAAAGGTTGAGAAATGCAGGGGTTATTTCAGAGTGCGGCTGCAGCAACTTGTCAATAACTTCTTCGACGCGCGACGCTTTCATGAACACGAATATACCATGGAACAATTAGAGGGCATGGCTCAAAAGAGCAGGAACCAGGCATTTGTCTCACTAAAAGAAGCCGAATATGGCCGCTTTAAAGTGGATAGGTTTATAGGCAGTTGTCTAAGGCTTAATGAATAAGCAAATCCAGGCTACACACTTGCGGCTACACGACTGCAATCGAAACAGCAGATTACTGCACAGATTCTCACCCCTACTCACAATTGTCGCCGGAGGGCGAACGCCCTATTCGAACTCGGTATCTCTATGTTACTGAGGATTAAGGGCTTTACGGAGATTCCCCTATCGGACTAGATCAGTGCTGTCAATCTTTATGCGGAATGCGATGGGCAGCGGTTAGGTTTTAGAGTACCAACGAGGTATCCGGTCAAGGGCTACGACTTGGGGGACTCGACCCTGTGCGCTCGATAGAGCTGGTTGAGGCGTACCTATGGGCTACGATAGGAGTCGGGTCGGGCTGCGTCGATACTGGCGATTCCAGCAAGGGGCATCAGTTAGAGCGGGTGGGTTGTGGTATGGGATTTGGGTGCTTAATTCAGTTTGAGAGGTATCTTTAAACTGATATCTGGACTAAATGAGGTTTCTGAAAAGGGGGTGAACTGTACTGGAGCGGCCCTGGTAGTATCACTGCCGCTTGGGCAATCCAACTCGCAAACGGGATACAAAGTTAACTTTGGTAAAAGAGGTCGAAGTCAGTTAGATGGATATCGGAGGGATTACGCTACGTGGAGGGTGGCCTTGACGTGGATAGCCTAATAAAGCCGATGCGGGCCAGGTATCGTCGATATTCGTGTCGAGGTAGCCGGCTCTGCACGTGATTTATGAGACCATTCCGATTGGAACTTGATTTGAAGCGTATTGGTGCAAATCATTGCGATAACTTACCTCGGAAGTAGTGCTCTACGTACGGAGTCGAATTAATCTAGTTACAGCTTAATAGGGTGGGCATTGGTCCAAATTCGGATGCCTCTAGATTTCATATTTGGGAGGTCGATTCGCCGTCGGCTAGATACCTCGGATTCCGCGCCACTCGCATGCCCCCTACGCAGCGCTGCTTGAGGCAGTTCGAGTAGACCCATCGGGGTCATAGCAGCTCTAATCACAACATCGCAACGCTTGATTCCGGAATCACACCATATGAGCAGGATAGCATCAGTTGGCGATATCGAGTCGTAATCAGAAACAAACGTGCCGCAGGATTACGGCCCGGAAGGGAGGTCGAATGGTGCTATCTTGGGCCGGATATCTTTATTTCCCGTTGAGAAAATCGTTGTTTCTATGTTATATGTCTTGCATTGGATCAAGGGTAAGTTATTTAGGGTCGCCGTAAGATCGGGGGGAGGGGGATGTCGGAGGTGACCCTGAAAAGGACAATTCGACTGACGTAGCGTCAGGAGTGATAGCGTTAATATCCACCGAAAAACTATTGTCTCCAGTTCGCAAGTATAGGGGGAGGGGGACATGAGATATTGCGTCCGGTTGGATAGACTACACGACCTTAATATGTCTGAGAGGAAGCCTTTCTCGATGGCAAGCATCTTGACGCGGTTCCCGGGGTATCCCTTGTCATGAGGAGCGGAATGGACGTCGTTTGACTGCGATTGCTTTAAATGCCGTCCAGAACCGAATCCATGCAGATCGCACATATCAGTCTTAGCTAGACAGCAGTCCCTCCCGTGCATCTATCGGCCTGCCATACCTAGGGCGCAGGACTGTCCGAGGGAGATAATTTAGATAAGCCTCCGCTCCTGTAGCTTTAGATCTGGTCGAGAAATCGAAAAGTGTGCATTCCGTGGGGGGTTAGATTTGGGAAGGCGCAAAAGTCGACAGCGCAAATCTTGATTATTTTGACTTTAAACATACCTTGGAGGTGTCTCTGAAGATAAGAGTTACTTTACTCCCTGTTTCACTGTCCTAGCTCACCATCCCGTCGAAATTCGACATCCTCAGGATTGTAGTTCAGGGGTATTAAGCAATTGGACTCCAGCGTTACATCGCGAATTCGGCAAATCTGAGGTACCCCGGAGGTAGCACGGCGTATCACCGGCCGAATGGTCCTGCTTTCGTCCGGATATTCCTAGCTTTCGCTCAGAAACGGCATTATCTTGATTCCACGTGTGAGAAAATGACTGGTCGATATCTAACGCATGACTGTATTCCGGGGGACGTGGATATATTCACAAGAGAGCCCTTTTCGAGCGGGTTCGAGTGAGCCATATTACGGGCCGGAATTCGCGTTCCTTACCAAACCAAATATTTGAGCATGATCGGCGCGAGATTTACTAAAACCTCATTTTTCACAAAAATATAAGACATGAAGGCTACTCGGAGGTAGCGATAGACAAGACGAGCTGGATGGAGCCAGCTTCAGTCCGTTATCTCTAGTTTCCGTTAAGAAATGGCTCTCTCCGGAATGACCTCGTTATGACGGTATTGGTTTTGAAGCCGGGACGACGTATCGGCAACGCCGAGTCCCCTCAGATATAGCCCGTATCTTGTAGAGTTCAGCGAGTATAGTTGTGGTGTAGTTCCGTCAAGATCTGGTAAATATCACCAATGTCTGGATCGGACACAATGGGGAACCCTTACATAAAGCCGGGTTATACGTTTGAGCCCCATAATGCATGTCGGATGTAGCCCCGTTCGAGGCAAGTTGGTTGAGCCTATCTTTGAATCCGTACTTGTAGAATATATCAAATCCTGGAGACATCTGTATTTCACCTCGGACGAAGATAGCGAGCCATTTTGAAATCTGTGTTGGTGATATCAGACCCAGAGCATGAACTGTGGAGAGCCTATGCCTGGACCATCCTCGCCAGCACATATACAACCCGATTACGCAAAGGTTCAGATTCGTCCATATGACCCGGGTAAGGGATGGTATAAATCCGAATCCCCCTATTCTGCCTTTCCGAGGTAATTCCATAACTCAGAGATACCCCTCGCTCTGGCAAGTTGATTGCGCATAGTTCTTGCAAGGCAGCTGCATGGGAAGTGTCGCATATCACTTTGGGGGTGTTCGTTAACTCTTGTAGGGATGCTAGTGAATACTAAGTTTATTAGAATTCCGACATCATGACCGGATATCCCTTCGAATCCCGGATCCTTCGGTCACATTATAGCCGCCGTAGCCTTGGGAATCATGTCACAATCGCTAATTATGTCACTCAGGTAGCGGCTAATTTTATAAACTCCGGGCTCAGTTTGGGATGTATCCCGGATTTTGAACTCGGCCAATATAGCTGTTGACAAGCCCTATCGAACGCAGTACTGGCGGGTGTTGTATCTTGGATGCCAGAATCAGGTTCCCGAAGTGACATGCGCGGGGATATACTTTTCCGAACGACCCGGGCTTCCAGCAGCGTGAGCCTTGAAATTGCCACTTTCCGCGGCTGTGGCCCCTCTATCGCGATGGCTACCATCGTACAATACCAGCCGTCTGGAACCTCACCATCGGGTCGTATCCGGGTTCCGCTGACGTCGTATTACGCGCCCTACCATCGAGACTCGGTTAAACATGCGTGCGGCTCAACGCTTAGCAACGTCTCAATCAAAATCACAAGGCTGTTGAAGGCATTCGCCAGAAACTACGCAAAAGTATGGGCGGCTTCGACATTAGGACGTCAATTCATTCTAACGGCTTCCTTAAATAGTTTCAATGAGTATAACGCGTCAATAACCGACCAACCAATTCCCCATTCAGCCCACCGAGATCATAGGTTAGGTACTTATCAAAATTTTGTAGACAACCAGCTTGCTCTTATTACTGGGAAGGGAATATGCAAACGAAATTAATGGCGGCATGTAGATCTAAGAAAGAATGGCAGGTTTCGCAAATGCGTCACGGTAAAGCTATCGCATTGCGACCGTGAGGAAGACCAAGAGAAAAAAAAAAAGTGTTATCCAGTAGCTGTGAAAAGCAAAAAAAAAGTCTAAGTCGACACCTGTGTGATTCGAACACACGCCCCCGAAGGGAATGCCTTATCTATTGCGTAATAGCAGGGCATCGCGTTAACCACTCCGCCAAAGTGCCAAGTGATGGGTTATCGATTGTGAAATAGGTCGCTTAACAATACCTATATAGCAATTACCCCGCTTAGCCATACGTCGATTAGATGGAGACCAGTAGCCACCATCCCGATCGCCCACATAACGTCAAGACGACAAACTTATTTGCCTACTTAGCAAATTATATGGATCACGCTAATAAGAATCTATCCCGGCCAAGTAAGTATGCTCTCAAGTCTATCAGATCGACGCCATCGACATCGTTTATAGTTAAGCTTATTGCTGATATCGTGTTTATTATGCGCGGGAGAGCACCGGATCATGGCTGCGATTTCGAAGAGATTGGATTTAGTAATAACCCCCATTCTACAGGATGAATTGTAGTTGCACATTAACCCGCCCGATATTAAGAGCCTCCGACGTTAAGATATCTATCTAGTTACAGGGTATAACAAGGGTCTAGTATACTCTATTCTATTAGTCTAAGGGAGTTCTAAGGGAGTAACCTGTCGCAAAGGCCAAAATGTCAAATCTATATAACAACCAGCGTACGATAATCTTCACCACATCTCCTTCGTTTATTACCGCTGGCTTGTTAGACTCGTTCACTCCTCGGGGTTCCCTCCTAGGAATAACCAGGAGAGGGTAATTGATGCCTTGATGGCGGCGACAAACCAAAGGCTGGGCTGTACCGCACCCGTAGCTTTGGATATCCAACCTCCGCATATAGCACCAAGAAGCGTCAAGATAAAAGCGATAGCTCTCCTGTTGCGCTTCACGTTCTTCCTGAGAGGCTGCAAGATGTTCTCGTCGCTGATTAGATCGCACAGTAGAGTTGTGATGACCACCGTGGGGACTTCGCTTACTCCCAAACCGCGGCTGTTGACGATCTGGCCGGCGGCTTGAAAACTGAGCAACCCGATAGGAGCAAGCTCTCGGAAGTCCACATCCGCCGGGTCTCTTCGCGAGGGATATGTACCGTCGACTATGCCCGTCTGTATAATAGTCGCGGCCACGACGACGATGACTGTTTGCAGCAAGAAGGAGAAGAAGAGAGTCGTTCTACGGCGCCCGCCTCCGATTAGCTTATGAAATCTAGAAAAGGCTAGGCATCCGATAACGAAGCAGCCTATTGAGAAGAGAGAACGAGCCCATCCGAAAGGCTTGTTGTTCTGCCCAGATGTACCGAGCGCGACGAAGACGGTATTTCCTAATGAGCATGTCAGAGCTAAAACATGAACCTACACCTTCGACGAGGACTAAGTGAACATACCAGTTTGCATCGATACGAAAGTGCCGTATGCTAAAATAAACGTTAGCATCTGAAATCTCGACATAGGTATTCTCCGTAACTCACCATTATACAAAGTGCCATCAGTGAGCCCCGTCGCGAAGCAGCATGCTATCAGCGGTATAGACCCTAAATTTACGCTAATCTCCTCGGTGAGCTGCCGCGAGAAAACCTGCAAGAAGTTCCTCTGCTTCTGCGGCTCTGGGCTAAGGTTTGGGGTAGACTCGAATTTCTCCTCATCTAACATGGTGACGTTGGTATGAGAATGTGAGGAGTGGTCATATGGGAGAGCTGCTTGGTGGTTGACGATATAAGGGCGGCAGAGGGATCTAAATGACATGCTAGGCCAAGCTCGCAATAGTCTAGACCGGAAGCCCCCTTCTTTAGTATTTCTTGGCTACCCGCCAATGCAAATGTAGAATAGCCTTTAAGACTCTAAATCCCTCACCCACCCAGCTGCAGTCCTCCGATTAACTTTCCAGCGTCATCTCCGACGCGGAGGAGTCTCTTGGTGAAATAATAATACGACGGTAGACGGGGAAACGGAAAATTCCTGAATTGGTGCTGCTTCAGGTGGGCAAACGAACTTGGCTAGCTGTCTAGAGAGCATCCATGAAGATAAACGCATGCAGGTTTTATTATGATGGTGGTCCGGGGGGCGTCCGGTCTCAGCTAGTCGGAATCCCGCCATCGTTGTATCCCGACGACGCCATCTGACGTGGTGATCTAGGCACGTCGGTGTGGCAATGTAATGTGTCAGACCAGCGCCGAGAACTCCTAGCTTCGCGATCCGACCTGGGGCTCCTCCTCCCGGTGCTTGCTGTGGCCTGTGCTTGGCGGCTATAGCTTGGCAGCGATAGTAACTTGATCCTGCTAAATTCAATTTGATATGACATGTAGCGCTTGTCCAATAGAATCTCTGAAGTCTAGTATAACTCGCCGCTGTCTCACATAAATATAACTCGTCATATACTTGTCTGTATTACCTGTAAGGTAGCTAATTCTTCTACTCTGATTCTATCACTATCTCAAGCGTTTAGAAGTTAAGAAGTTCGATATAGTTAACCCTTTTATCGAAGGTTCACGATCCAAATTCTTTAGCACAGCGCACAACGTACAACGAACCCGTTATAAATGTAATATATCGAGTTTATCAAGGCTTCCTTCGCTCGGACTCCGAACCTAGGAAAGGTCAACTTGGCGCCAAGGTGCTTAATGTCAGGACGGCTTTGGCAACAAAATATCCCATGCCTGCAAGGTAAGCATCGTCAAAATGATCGAGATATGGGATAGTTCCTCACATCTTGATCCCTCACATCTTGATTCCTCGCATCTTGATGAGATTTCAAAAGCATATTCCACCTGCGTGCCAATGCTGCTAATTCTGATCAGGTCATAGTGGCTTGTCGCGGAATCCTTGTATGCAAACACCAAGACCCCTGATCCAGTAGTATACAGAGAACATCCAGCTCGCCAAGGAGGCCAAGTCGGCTGGTAATATTCCTCCAGTCTAAAGGTAGTTAAAACGCAGGCGAGGAGATAACGGCGGCACATAACAAGCTTCCTGTAAAGTATCATGGCAAATTCTATCCCATGCGCCCAGCTATCATCATGACCATGGGGTAGCCACCGTGGCCGCATTGAGGCCCGGTCCAAGAAGTGTAATAAACACTAGGTAAATAAGCCCGAGCTACTTTTCGGATGAATTGTTAGCGTTCTGGGCACTTTCACGAGGTTTCCATCAGGTACGGTTACAGGGAAATAGTCGTAGATACCATCTTTGAGATTCGATGGGGATAATACCAAAGTAGGATGAGGTGAATTTAGAGCCATAGAGGTTGTTCTTACACCTTTCAAAGAAGATACGCGAGAAGTCTTAGTTGATTGCTATTGGTCTGTACCATCCCAAGACACCGTCCGAGTCAACCTTAAATTGATAACGGCTGGAACTTGCTGAAGAATATTTACATTAAAGCTTGGCAAGTCTTGGGTTCCAAGAACTAACCGCGGGGGAATCCAGCGGTAAAATAGTCAACGGACGGCGGAATTGTTGGCATCGGAGTTGACCATGGAGGTTAGGAGATGTATGGGGGGGATATGGGTCACACGCATACAGGATGTGGTTGAGTAAGTTCATATATGGGTTAGCAGTACGACTTGGCGGCTGAGGTTACATTTCTTCCGGCACGGCCCGCTGCGAACCCGTTTCTCACGCGTATTATAAACTCTTAAAACTAGCAAATAAATCCACATTGAAATAACTAAGATAAAAATTTCGACTACTTCTAGACCTAGCTAATGTTGCTTTTTGAAAGGGGTTTCTTTACATAGAAAAAGAAAAAATAAAAAAGGAGAAAAAAAAAGGAAACTAGAGACAATTATCTAAACCGGGAAATTCGTTAAGGGGAACAGCCGCACGGCCTGGGTCATCAAAGTGGCGTGCGTCGTCTTACTGGCCGGCGTTGGCGTGTAGGTCGAGCCACACCTACAAAACTCGCTACTCTTCTAATAATGTAAGAGTAAGATGGCAGCTAGGAGAGATAAATAAGGCCGGTGGCGATATTTTTCAAGCTGCCCTGAGACACCCTCTGGTCTATCTCTAGTTAGCGGTCTTCTAAAGGGGCTGGAAATGCTTTAGTGCGGACTTTCTTCATAGGTATCATATCCTCGATATTAGACAGATATTACCTAGATTGCTTATTACAGTATCTTCAACCCATGAATTTCCAAGAGCTGAATAAAGCCTATTTAGAAAAGAAACGCTTTGCCGTCTAGGTCCAGACGCAACTCTAGATAATCCACTTATCACAAACCACAACTTGATGAGCTGAATAACGGCAGAAAGGGGTTAGCCGTCACTCAGAAAGATATCGCGCCGTGGTATACCTAATACTCTCACGATCCTTTCGCTAGAATAGGAGGCCTCAGGATAATGCTCGAGATTATGCACGGTTACTCTAGAGCAGCCAAAAACCGGTGATGTACCTATTAGGTATCCCAAGACTCTCCGGTGATTATAGGTAACATTCTTGGAAACTAGGGTCACAAAACGATATTCCTGCAGTACTGATTGGCCTATTGACCATTCAGGGGTGGTCTGCCTAGCTTTCTGCATGAAGACTTTGAGAAGGTTATCATTAGGTCGAAATGCGAGGTTGACGTGATCAATACGTTGTTTACCTAGAGATATGGATTATGAATGATGTGTACCTAGGTGCCTTTAATGCTCATATGATGAGCTTCTATCTATGCCTATGATGCCTGTGCCTATTTTATAGAAAGAAAAGGGGCTAAGAGACATGTATACTTTTTCCACGTGTAGTTACAAGGATACCGTGCAACTCTCCAGATAAGTACGATCAAGGTGGAGTGCAGTTGGGGCGTTAATCGCAGCTTAGAACTCCGCAGATTAAGTCCGTGAAAGCAAAATAATACACACTGAATCGGCGATATATCGACAGGGGAAAGGGATGAAAGGTCACATATGCGCCAAGCAAAATGGTGTATCTCGGTCAGTGCTTACTGCGATGAAGGAACTCTAGGTATCGGTACATGGGATGGGAAACCTTGGAGTGGAGGCGGTTAGAGTATAGTATTTTGAGACTGTGAACGAGGGGGAGAGATCAGTGGACGAGAAAAGGTATAAATATCAAGCTCACGATCGGTTGGCCAACGTGTATTGGTTTCATATTCATCACCTCACCTCACCTCACCTCCCAAGCCATACACAACAGATTGATACCTACCTTATACCAAATCTGCCTTGGTAGTATTACTATCCTACTATTGAGTTTTTCTTGTAGCCATGGCTCCATCCGCGATCCCTTCCACAGATTATATGTCCGGACTCGACAATGATACGACTATAATTCTTCAGACACCGACGGAGATCGGTTCTGGCCAACGTTACGACTCCGTCAAACCAGTCCCGTTGGTTCACACAGTCGAAATTCTAGAGGATGATGTCGTCACAACTCCCACTATCGAAGAAGTTGCTGTCGTGTCACCCTCTGTACGGGATGATGCAGATAAGGATGACGGACCGCTGCAGCTCAGCCACATCGTATCTAGCATCCGGGAACCTACATCTGGCGCCAAGAAGCTCCGCAAGATGTTGTTTGAGACTAACGAGCTTATCGTCTGCCCTGGTGTATATGATGGCCTTTCGGCTCGTACCGCCATGGAACTAGGCTTCAACGCTATGTATATGGTACGTGATACGGAATATGGTATTGCTGTCAACTCAGGCTAACTTGTCTACTTCAAGACCGGCGCAGGTACTACGGCCTCACGTATCGGTCAGCCAGACTTGGCCATCGCTCAGCTTCATGAGATGAGAGAGAATGCCGAGATGATAGCTAACCTTGATCCGTTTGGTCCACCCTTGATCGCCGATATGGATACTGGATACGGCGGTAAGTTTTGGGTAATAAGTTAGGTTTCTTTGATAGGAGTTAACTCGACTACAGGACCTATCATGGTCGCTCGTACCGTAGAGCAGTATATCCGTGCCGGAGTAGCTGGTGCTCATCTAGAAGATCAAGTAAGTAATATATCTATAGCCCCCTTTTTATGATTCACTCTATTCCCCTCCCCCCCTTCCTCTATTTCTCTCTTCTTATTGTTTTTTTCCTTTGGTCTGGTTGGTATGTGAGATTCTACTTCAACCTTATGCTTACCTCTCCTAGGTCCTCACCAAGCGCTGTGGCCACCTAAGCGGCAAAAAGGTCGTGCCTCAAGAAGAATACATCTCGCGTATCAGAGCTGCTCACGCCGCACGGGTGCGGTTGCAATCCGATTTCGTGTTGATCGCACGTACCGATGCTCTTCAAACGCTTGGATACGATGCTTGTATCTCGCGACTACGAGCAGCCCGGGACGAAGGTGCAGATGTCGGGTTGCTCGAGGGTTTCACTTCCAAAGAACAAGCAGCTCAGGCTGTCAGAGATCTTGCACCTTGGCCACTTCTACTTAACTCCGTTGAGAATGGTAAGAGCCCGCTGATCACAGTGGAGGAAGCTCACAAGATGGGTTTCCGTATCATGATCTTCAGCTTTGCGACCTTGGCACCCGCCTACGTTGCCATCCGCGAGACCCTTCTCCGTTTGAAGAACGAGGGTATCGTTGGGACGCCGAAGCAGATCACACCCGTGAAGATATTCGAGGTATGTGGGCTACAGCATAGCATGGAGGTTGACATGAACGCCGGAGGCACGTCCTTTGTAGGAGGATTATAACTTCACCATTCACTGGATTGGGTACATAGGTATATATATATGTGGCGTAAAGATTTATGTCTATTCTGTAGAAAATTCTTAGCTTGTGTCTGATAGTCTCAATATTACATCAACCGTCTTTAAAGCCATTGTATAGCTAACCTCAAGTATGATCGAGTTAACTCCGTGTGCTAGCACACCTGCTCCAAAATGGACAAAGTCATCCCTTTCCAAAGTCAATTTATGTTTAGGATAGGCAAACCGATCCAATGTTGATATCCCCATGCCATATTCTCTAAGGGATCGATTTACATCACCGGTCGTTTCAAAGGTACCTAACTTCAAGGTTTAAACTGTAGGTATTTAATAGATCGATATTCAATATAAAATCATAATCCAGAGGTTGCGCAATGAAATCCAGTTAATATAAACAGTTAGGTAGAAAAACTCAGACTCGAATACCACGATGGATGATAATGTTTGCTAATCTCCGCGCTCGCAAGGGCTCATGGTCTGTCGATGGTTCATCTATAATAGGTATATATAAAACATTTTACAACTCTGATTGTGAGTGCCTACTTTGGGTAGGGATGGATATATATAATATACGACTATGACGGGCTTCGTTTTAATCAAAGTGCATCGCTTCAGCAAACACTTGATAGTGTTGGCCCGTTCATGCAGCGCCTTCTTGAGGGAGTGGAGCGGCATACACCTTAAAGACATAACATCCCTCAGATGCGTAAATAAATGATGCGTACCTAGGTAAATAGATGGACGTTTCAATTGGATATTATCTCGGGGGCATAACATTATATAGGTCATTAATAAATACCGCATGGGTTTTCTGTAACATGACTTGCTGTGTCTGCTGAGAAAAAAACACCCCCGAATGTGTCCCTACCTAACATAAGGTATGTTGTATAGCATTTCATCGTTCATTGTAGCGTGTGACAATGCATCCTACCCTCTCGGATGACGGTGCTCGTTCGGTCCGGGACGGCATTGAGTATACCATTTAACTCAGCTTTTAGAAAGAGGGTTTCTCGTTCTGTTTCTTCTGAATTATTAAATATTAAATATAGCAAGTCGTTCGATTCCGTCGTTGATTTATAATTTAGTAATTGCATTTGTAAGGTTTCATGGTATACGTTCGGTATATGAATTCGTCAAGACATTAAGTCATATTTCAGCTTGGTAGACGAACACAGGATAAGATACGAGTCGACAAGAGAAAAGACCCGGAAATAATTCGGTGCGTTTAGAGATTCGGCCTGCCGTTGTGAGTAGGTGAGCTTCTCCGAATCCTGTGTACTTTCCGTAACGAGTTGTGATATGCAAGTCGGCTGGGGACGAGGTGTGGTCAGGCTATCAGGTCAACTCTACGTCCAGCACCATAGTCTTGGTTAATTGTCGCTGGCTGCCTAAGCTGGAAACTGATCGACGATCACATAGCCCATCCGCCTCTGTAAATAATGTATTAAGCGTGTGTAGAGAAAGAGCTGGTTCTGGGAGTCGCGGGCAGGCGACAAGGTCGCGAAGTGGGAATGCCAAGAGCTTATATAGTGGGTGTGCTGACTGCCGCCGGCACCTGGGCATCTGGAATGCTAGGGTTGCTTGCAGATCATGGCCTGGGGGAGGCGTGTTAAGCGTGCCTGACGCGATGATTGCAGCTGAAGATATGGGGGACCAAGGTCCAACACTGGATAGAAAGAAAAGACCGTTGAAATATGGGCTTGTCTTAGCTCAACTACAATACGAGGATCTTTCCCGGGCTGCATGGTTACAGGTGCCTGACAATACACCCGCAAGAAGCACCGATACGAAGAGGTTGCGGTAGATGCACCTCGGGGTTCCAAGGTTGTCGGGGAAAGTTGATGGCACCGTCACATTGTTTTTTTCTGCTCGAATCATGTGGGGAAGCCAGTGTCGCAGCCTGTGGGCTATTCCCGTCTGGCGGCATTGTTACCTTTTAGGTACCTAATGTACTCCAACCACAACCACGACAGCGTCTGTTGTCCGTGTGGTCGATATAAGACTTGTTGGACGTATCATATATCGCATATGAGGCATGTTGGCGTTATGTCGACTTACCTTACATTGCATTACTTTTGGTAAACAGTCTTAGTTCGAAGGGATGACTCTTGGGCGGAAGTGAGCTGTGAGAACCTACCTCCCTACCTCTAGCTAAGCCTTCAAATTGGGATTATACGGCTCTACTTGTTACACTAGAGGTTCAAAGCTAAATCGAACGAAGATAAACCACGTAATAGTTTACCATTAGAATATGCAACTACTTAAATTAGTACAGCTAAGCCGTCTTGCATCTCGGAGATAATCGATCAGTCACTTACCTATCATCAAAGCTTGGTTGGATAACGATGTTGACATGCCCCTTTCCCCCCACAACTCTACTATTACAGGGGCAGAATAGCGTCAAAAAAGTGCCTTATTCCATTACCAAAGTAGGTAATGTTGGTATCAGCATAACTTTACCGAATCACCTCGGATGTCATCAACATGAGTATCGGAATAATTCGAAGGTTTCGCACTATGTAAAAATAATTTTTTGGAGTTTAAATCTTTCTTATATTCGCCGAGGAAGGCTGGTGAAAGAAATAGTAGTGTTAAGCACTTATTTTGACGGCATTCTGAGGGGCCAGCAGGGCGGCGGGATAGTATTCCAGATAAGGAAGGCCATCTACAACCTTTCTTAAGAAAGCTTTCTCTACCCCTGGATCGAGCTCAATGCGAGGTGCTTTACTCGAGGCTGAGCTCTCCTTGGCAGCGACTTAAATGTACCTAGGTATATGCGCGCTTAGATGTCGTAGCCATCCTAGCTGTCAGGAAATATGCTTGGCCTTCTTCACATCTTGCCGCCATTGGCTACTCCAGAGCCTCCAGGTAATTTCGCGGCTACCTTACCAACATAGCCCGAATGCCTGGGTCTAACAAATCATCGTATCTGGAATGACGTTGGGAGTACGACGAGACCACTGGTTCGCAACTGTTCGGCAGTCTCTCATTGAAGGGGACGAAAACTCCCCAAACTCCTCGATATTCCCCGACGAATAAACATAGCCCAGCCCTTTTCTAGGAGGTGCTGCTGTGATCGGCACTCGTCATGCATGTTGGATTGGTCAGTCTGGGCAGGGAGATAACCGTCGCCTACTTGGGACCCTTACCTTATCCATGATTCTCTTTCAACCTCACATGAGGAGTTCACATGTAACTGGTCACTAACGAGTTTGTCCGACTTCGAAGTACTATTCTCGGTAAAGATCAGCCACCATGAAGGCCATCATGGCATTGCAGTTGATATTGATATCCATAATCATACCTAATCCAACACGCGTGTGAATATGCTGCGATGAATATTATAAAAAGGACGACGATTCTCCCGTCGATGGGCTGTTCTATTATTGCTCTCCTCATCCCACACTCAGAGCTTCATCTTGATCATCAAGCAAAGACTCGCTTCAGATAACGCCGCAACATCAACTTTAGACCTATCGTCTCTTATAGCTATCCTTCAAAATGCGCACTACCGCCGCACTAGCTTTGTTGCCTCTGGCACTTGCTGCGCCCTCGAAGCGAGCTTCTCCTGCGCCTGTCATTAAGCCCCGAGGCGCCCAGCTTGTTGATGGCAAGTACATCATCAGGATGAAGGCTGACGCCAAGCCTGAGTCTATCCAGACCTCCATCCAGTCCGTCGCCAGCGACGCCGATTTCGTCTACAACACCAACAAATTCAGGGGTTTCGCTTCCAGCTTATCCGAGGAGGAGCTCGAGGCCCTTAGGAACAACGCCGACGTAAGCATAGGAGATCGATAGCATGGACAAGATCAAAAAATACTAATACTGTCGGCCAGGTCGAATACATTGAGCAGGACGCCATCATCACGATCAAGGCCACGCAGGAGAACGCTGACTGGGGTCTAGCTCGTCTATCAAACGCTCAGGCCGGCAGCACCACTTACACCTACGATGACAGTGCTGGTGAAGGCACTTGCGCCTACGTTATCGACACCGGTATCGAGGTTGACCACGAGGTATGTAATAACCGAATCTCCAGGCCATTCTTCCTTGTCTAACTCGGTTATAAGGAATTCGAGGGCCGTGCCAAGTTCCTCAACAACTTTGTCGACGACGATAACACCGATGGCCACGGTCACGGTACTCACGTCGCTGGTACCATCGGCTCCAAGACTTATGGAGTTGCCAAGAAGACCACTCTCTTTGCCGTCAAGGTCCTTGGCGCTGACGGCTCAGGCACCACGTATGTGATGAACTCTCACCCCGCTTGGAAAGTATAAGAAAGAAAAGTGGCTAATGAGAAACTCTAGCTCTGGTGTCATCGCCGGTATGGACTTCGTTGCCAAGGACGCCGCTAGCCAGTCCTGCCCCAAGGGTGTCGTTGTCAACATGTCCCTCGGAGGTGGTGTCTCCAACGCCGTGAACGAGGCAGCCGCCAGTATTGTCGACGCTGGTCTCTTCCTTGCCGTTGCCGCCGGTAACGAGGCTGACGACGCTTCTAATTCTTCCCCCGCCTCCGAGAAGTCCGCCTGCACCGTCGGTGCTACCACCAAGGATGACGAGCTTGCCGAGTACTCCAACTTCGGTAGCCTTGTTGACATCCTTGCTCCCGGTACCGACATCGAGTCCACCTGGATCGGTGGATCCACCGTAAGGTTATCTCTTGCTGAAGATATTTTTGCTTAGTACTGACAATAATCCCAGAACACTATCTCCGGAACCTCCATGGCGTCCCCTCACATTGCTGGCCTTGGTGCTTACTACTTGGGACTCGATGCTGCTCCCGTCGATTCTCTCTGCGACTACATCGCCAAGAGCGCCATCTCCGGCGCCATCTCTGGTGTTCCCAGCGGCACTGTCAACCTTTTGGCTAACAACGGCGAGTCTTAAATGACGGAGGCCAAGCATGAGCTTAGCTATACTTAGTTCTGTATATCATTTAGCCATCTAGGTATTGGGACATGGAGGATTAATATTTTATGTACAGGTATATATTTCGGAGTGTTATGGGAGTTAAGGCAAGGGGTTCTCCAGTCAATTTACGATATTTACCAGACCTATACCTTGCCTGATTCGTGTGCTAGTCTAAGTCGTACTCCCACACAGATCATTAATCGACGTGGAATGTAAGGCACACAAGTTTATAGGCGACTTCGAGCATTCGGCAAGACTCTGAGGCTCATATTTAGGAACGTCGCATATAGTCAGCGTAGTCAAAATGCCTCCCTCCATTCGATGTCAACCTAATTCATCATGTATCATATATATCATGTGATAAATAAAATTCCACCAATTATACACAAGGTCGGAAGAAGTCCCCTCAAATCTCGATACGCATAGATCACTCACGTGGGCGTACCTTGAGTCTTATGTACCACGTACGACTTTTCCCGGGTAAATTCTACAGCAACTATTCACTGCTCTCACCACATCCACGAGCACATCTCCGCAGTTTTTTCCTAGCTAGCAAGAAGGCTAGAATACGCCAAGGCTGTTATAAGCTATTAATGGCAACCTTGGCGTGGTAACTTTCCGACATTGGCCTATTCATACCACGCATTCTCACGGGAATATTAAAGGTCCTCATGGCAGTTTTCCGCCCCCGCTAATACGACAGAATAAACGGCATGCTGTAAATTGAGTTACTTTGACACCTAGCCGAACCCCTTATGGCCATTGGTTAAGTTCTGCAAGGTTGTACGCTTGATGGGAAGCAATATATCCATTTAAAATCGCCTCGCCTATATATAAAGTGCCACGATGGTCTCCTGTTCGAGATACTCTGTTTACCTGTTTCTTCATCACTCAAGGTCTCCATAACAAGACTTTCCAGTACTTATAATGGCTACTCTTGTTGCTCTAGTGGTGATTGCCGCCAGTATAGGGCGAACCTATGCTCAATCGGCTTTGACAGTCAATGTTGCTTCTACGTTGCAACAGATAGACGGCTTTGGTGTCTCTCAAGCATTCGGACGCGCAGCCGAGTTTAGAGATTTGTTGTCTGGAGACCCTCAGAAGCAAGGTCTTGATTACTTGTTCAATACAACCACGGGCGCTGGTCTCACGATCATCCGCAATCGTATCGGCTCAGGGACGACAAGCAGCGACAGTATCCTGCCCAAGAGTCCGGGCGGTCCAAACGCAGCTGCGAACTATAGCTTCGACGAGGATGATCGAGGCCAGGTTTGGTTTAGCCAGCAAGCCATGAAATATGGAGTCAAGACTATCTATGCGGATGCATGGAGTGCGCCGGGGTTCATGAAGGTAAAAGCCATTCATAATTCTATGCTTTGAGTAAGGTAACTAGGATGTTCAAGCTAAACTACCTACTTTCTAGACCAACAACAATGAAAATAATGGTGGCTACCTCTGTGGTACGCCAGGACATTCTTGCTCGTCTGGAGACTGGCGTAAAGCTTATGCCGACTTCTTGGTTCAGTATGTGAAATACTACAGCGAGCGTGGTATTCCCATTACGCAACTCGGTTTCTTGAATGAGCCCGACTATGTGTAAGTTTCAGCAGATTGAACGATCAATGCAGCAGCTGTCTTATTGACTCTTATAGGACGAGTTACTCATCGATGCAATCCGGTGCCAACGAAGCTTCATCGTTTATCCCTATATTATACGATGCGCTCAAGGCTAACGGCCTCAGTAACGTGTCTATAACTTGCTGTGACGCGAGTAAGTAGAGGATCCCACAGGAAATCTCTCATCATGGGTCTTTCCAGCTCGTTACTGACTATATAACGCAGTGGGTTGGAACTCTCAGCGAAGCATCACCCAAGGTCTCGTCTCAGCAGGTATGGAGAAATACCTCGGGTATATCACCAGCCACATGTACACGGGCGACCCAAACTCGGTAATATCTACCAAGCTAAAGACGTGGCAAACGGAGGCCGCTGACCTCCAATCGCGCTGGTGTGCAACGTGGTACGGTGGTGGTGGCCAATGCGAAGGTTTTACTTGGGCGCAGAAGATTCACAACGGACTTGCAAACGCTAACCTATCTGCGTACATCTACTGGCAAGGTGTGGAAGTCAACCAATTCCAAGCATCTTCGTACCTCGTTGCAAGCGACGGTAAGACGCTCACTCCTTCCGGGCGTCTTTGGGCCTTTGCAATGTGGTCGCGATTCGTACGCCCCGGCGCATACCGTGTTAGCACATCTGGTAGCGTTTCCAGTACTGGTATCACGGCGTTTAAGAACACGGATGGTTCGGTAGTGGTTGTTTTCCTCAATTCCGGTGGCTCACAGCAGAGTGTCAAGGTCTCTTTCAAGGACTTTACTCCGGCAGCAGCCGAAGCATTTGTGACGGATAACAGCCGATCTGTAGCCTCTGTTGAGTCAAAACTCGCTGATGGGGCAGTTACTGTTTCTGTACCTTCACGAGGGATACTCACGGTCAAACTAACTGCCGCATCTTGATTTGCACGCCAAAATATTAAGCATCTAACCCCGGCTTTGAACATGCGGGAATTCTTGGCTTTATATTGGCAATGTCTTGTACGTAATAGTCAAAAGCTTAGCACTACCTAACTTTCCCATTCTTATCTTACAGGGCTGCTCGCGATCTTGTTAATTGCATACCGTTTTTTTCTTTCTTTCTTTCTTTTTTTGACCGGTGCTCGGGAACTATATTCTTATGATCTAGCACGGCATTATATCAAACACTAGAAAATTAGTTTGCGGCTTAATAGACCGGAACTACCCGTGATAAGCATCCGTCTAAACTGCCTTGGTAGTAGGTAGTTAACCTTCTACCAACTTCCTTTGGTAGAACGTACGAACTATCCAAGTACAAAGAGTTAGCAGCCCTGGCTTTAGGTAAGGGACTTCTCTGAGTATCCTCTTATGATATAGTCTATCTACGATTTTCACGAGTATTGGACGATTTATATTCTTTACGCACGATCGCTCCCTCCCGTTACCTCGTATTGGTAGGCAGGATCCCGCTAGGTCAGGGGCACGATTCTAGACCCACGGAGCTGGGTACAGATAAGTAACGGACCTTCCCAATGCGACAAGGTGAGATATGGCGTGACTCTGCAAAAGAGATGAGAAAGAGATGAAAAAGAGGTGAATGCTGGATACTATGGTAGTAGGAATAGAGTAGGAACAGAAGAGGAAACCAGAGCGGCACGAGCTATTACCTTACCTAGAGTAGTATCCCACGAGTCACAACGCAATCAATGTAATTTCCGGTTTGTGGTGAGCGGGGGTTCCAATTGGACGGTTGGAATGCGGGATAGGCCTGGATGGTGGTTCATTGGACCATCTATCCTTGTTCTCTATCAGCTTGCATTATGTGCGAACGAGATAGCGTGCTGCCGTTGTAAATTGTAAACAATATAAAGTTGCTACAAGCACCGCTCTGGGAGCTTTGTTCTCCGAAGGATCCGGTCTTAGCTGTTCCGGCCCTAACTCTCGCTTGCTATACTCCATCCCGTCCCTTACGAGGTTGATAGGTTGAAGCGTCGCCATCATGGTCGCCATTGGTCTTGCTTTTTCGGCGCTCATTGCCGCTCATGTCTCCCTAGCGAGCCCCGTGTCGTCGTCGCGCACGCCGTATCGTGTCAAGGAGACGCACCACGTCCCGAGAGACTGGAGACGAGTTCGTCGCGCACCTGCTGGTCATATAATTGACCTTCAGATTGGCGTCAAGCAGAGCAATTTCCCCGAGCTCGAGAGGCACCTCTACGAAGGTATGTAGGAGCTGTACACTTTTTTCTGAGAAAAAAAAAAAAAAAAAAAAAAAAGAGAGACAAAGTAAAATAAATCTAATAATTATATAGTCTCTGACCCGGATCATCCCCGCTATGGTCAGCACCTTTCTGCCGACGAGGTGAAGGAGCTGGTTAAGCCTACCGATGAGACCTTGAATCTCGTTCACGAATGGCTAGCGGATAATGGTGTCACCCCTTCGGGATATAGCTCGGCTAAGGACTGGATCACCGTGTCTTTACCGATCGAGACCGTCGAGCGCCTTCTCGACACCGAGTACCATATCTATGAGCACAAGGATGGTGGCCTTGTTGCTCGTGCTCCCAAATGGTCTCTTCCTTTTCATCTGCATGATCGCATTGATACAATCCAACCTACCAACTCGTTCTTCCGTGCTCACGCCGAGAAGTTCGACCACATCGACGCACCGGTGTATATTGACTCTGAATATATTCCACCTACCAACGAGAACATCAGCGCAGTTTGCAACGTCAGTTCCGTCACGCCCGAGTGCTTCCAAACTCTTTACCAGACCAAAGGCTACAAAACCCGCTCTTGTAGTAACAAGATCGGCTTCAACAACTTCCTCGGCGAGCATCCTATCCGATCGGACGGAGAATTATTCCTCGCCAAGTACCGACCCGAGGGTGTCCCGAGCGTAAAGGCCTTCCCGCAGATCACCATCGCGGGCGGACCTGGTGACTACGCCTTGACTCCGGAGGAAATTGAGTCGGGGACCTCTAAGGAGGCGAACTTGGACTTGCAGGCCATTGCTGGCATTAACCCCAGGAGTATGTAATCCAGAGACCGTTGGGGTCATTACAAAGAATACTTTCGCTAATGTAGGTTGGTGATAGCCCCGATCATCAGTTACTCGACGGGAGGCAGCCCGCCTTTCACCCCGTCACCTTCTACTCCCGACAACTCGAATGAACCTTACCTCGTATGGGTTAACTACTTGCTCGAGCAAAAGTCTTTCCCGCAAGTCATTAGGTATGTCTTTTATCTCTCGTCGATGCCCCTTCGATTAACAGATGCTAATACGAATACAGTATGTCATATTCTATCTACTCTGCTTTATTCTAACTAGGTATTCATACGGGTTACTAACCTTATACAGCAACTTCGTATGCCGACGATGAACAAACCGTCCCGGAGTCGTACGCTCGACGTGTCTGCCAGCAGTTTGCCCAAGTGGGTGCCCGTGGTACCTCGCTATTATTTTCTAGCGGCGACAGCGGTGTCGGAGCGTATGGAAAGTGCCTCAGCAACGACGGCAAGAACACAACCCAATTCCTTGCCGAGTTCCCGCCTAGCTGCCCCTATGTAACAGCAGTTGGTGCCACGAAGAACTTCGAACCTGAAGTCGTAGCATACCGCCCCGCGTTCGTTGGCCCCGACGGTGTTTCGCACGGTAACTACACCAGCGGCGGTGGGTTCAGCAACTATTTCACGGCACCGGCCTACCAGGCCACGCAGGCTAGCAAGTACGTCAAGAACCTGAACGGTCTATATGATGGTCTATACAACAAGAAGGGCCGTGGATACCCGGATATCTCCGCGCAAGGGCTTTACTTCGCGTATTTCTGGAACGGCACCGAGGGAACTATCAGCGGTACAAGCGCCAGCTGCCCCCTAACGGGTGGAATTATTTCGCTGGTAAACGACGCGCTTATCTCGTCTGGCAAGCGCCCTCTGGGCTTCTTAAACCCTTGGCTATACTCCAAGGGATACAAGGGATTAACTGATATCGTAGGCGGTAGTGCCGTTGGGTGCGGGGTTGACGGCTTCCCAGCGGTTGAGGGATGGGACCCTGTTACTGGCCTTGGGACTCCGATCTTCCCGGAGCTCGTCAAATTAGCAGGTGGAAAGCTGTCCGATTAATGAGGCACTCGGATGTACAAATCCGTGATGTAATATATCTTGTCTCCGGGGAAAATCCGTCAATATATGTATAACCTTAATCTATGACTAGCGAATCGAAAGCTGTTCTAGTATTCCTATGATGATATCTCGTTGCTTTTTGTGGTAGCTTGTGAAAGGTACACCTAACTTTACAGTGGTACCAGGTACCTAGGAGGTAGGTAGAGAAACCCAAGGAGGTACCTAAGAAAGTACCTAAAGTATAACCTAAAGTGCCTAACCTTACCTAAGGCGTTTAGCCGGACTACTACCCCACCGCATAAGATTTCCAGTGTGCCTACTAGAAGGTCCCACGCTTCCTCAGCCGCAGCCTGATGTCATTATTCTTTCTTATTTCTTGTTAAGCGTGTCAGTCAACCACCTGCATCGTTAGGTAAACACCAAACATCAACTACTCAACTATCAAATCTCAGTCCAGCTTCATTTCAACCATGGGTTCCATCGTTCTACCACACTTAAACACCGGCTGGCATGTCGACCAAGCCATCCTCTCGGAAACCGAGCGTGTCGTCGGTAAGTAATGCAAAAGCAAACAATACCATGGTTCGAGAAAAGAAATAAAAGAAAAAGAAAATACTGATACGAATCATTTCTGTAGCAATTCGTTTCGGTCGCGATCACGATCCCGAATGCATGCGACAAGACGAGGTCCTATACCGCATCGCGGATAGGGTAAAGAACTTCTGCGTCATCTACGTCTGCGACATCGACCAGGTGCCCGACTTCAACCAGATGTATGGTAAGTTCATTATCCCTTCTCCTTTTACCACATCAGGCCGGCTGTTAATGTGATGATTCTATGCAGAATTGTATGACCCGTGTACCATCATGTTCTTCTACCGAAACAAGCACATGCTATGCGATTACGGCACGGGAAATAACAACAAGCTCAACTTCGTCCTCGAAGACAAACAAGAGCTGATCGATATTATCGAGACGGTCTATAAGGGCGCAAAGAAAGGTCGGGGTCTAGTCGTCAGTCCGAAGGATTATTCTACACGTTACCGATACTAGTCCGAGATAACTACGTTACTACGCTCCCAACCGCGCTCCGTTATGAATGCTTTTCAGATGCTTTACTCGCGAGGAGTCTATCAACCGGTCTCAAGCTAGGACCACGCAGGAGTTATTGGGAAATGTCTATGGTATGTAATATAGATACCTAGGGGACATTTTAGACAACGGCAGAGCTAATGACATTTCCCTCTATTAAGAGCTAGTTGATTCGTATCCTCTTGATTCTCTTGTAAGTTGACATGGGACTCTGAAGCTAATCTAGTGAACGTGAGTACGTCGTAAATCGATTTAAGTACCTACCTACTTAAGGTAGAGCTATGAGTTCGTATAGGTAATGAATGAAGGTTCTATACATGTACCTCATTTGTCTTTCATTCAGCCACTGAGGCGTACGTATTCAAGGCACATGCAAGCTGCGTGGCATTGGACATTCCAAAATTAGCACCATTACATAATGTAAAGTCCCTGAGATATGTGGAAATGGATGTATTGTACGTACCACGGGAGGTACCTTAGTCCGCCAAACTTTAGCACAGCCTTCTTGCTAGTGGGCTGTAGTAGGCTGTAGCAGCTGCGCTAAGCACCTCGTGACACGCAATCTTCAGAGAGCGTCAAGTACTGTACAAAACATATGTCAGTTACCCCGCGCAATGCACAACTCATTTAATGCTCTTTTGAGGTATCTATACATCTCCCTACAAATCTCCCTGCAATACAATTCATCGCGCTTATACCACTGCGTGACGACAGCTACTGAATTTGGCTGTGTGTCCTGCCTCATTATACCTAGACCCTTAGGTAATAGTAATAAATTCAAACAAATGCACAGTTGCCAAACAAATCTCTAAAACGCTCTTCCTTTTTTTCTTCGTTTATTTTTTTATTTTTCGTTTCTTTCTGTCTAGACAGAGAAACTACATCGTAAAAAAAACAAGCAGGCGATAATTCGTATTGAACAACACTCATTACGCCAATCGGTTTTTGTTCCTCCCACATTCGTTTCCGGCGACTGCAGGACACCCAGAACCGCAGAACCGTCTAACCGATTTTACGTCGGCTCACTTGAAGAAAATCTCATTCCACCACTACCCGTCCCGGCCGTCTACCCGCAGCCCAGCCTCGTTTTTATTTTTTTATTTTTTTCTTCTTTTTCAGCTTCAGCTTTCAAACGGGGTTCTCAATCAAGACATAACGTGGAGCTGAAACCTGAAGAAACGAGAGAGTGCTGGTCACATTTTTATTTTATTCTCTATTTGGCATAGCTGCTGCCCCATAGAAGAAGAAGAACGACGACCATGGCAGCCAACGACTACTACAACAACGATTCATCACGACATTATAATCCATACGAACCGTCTCTATCTTCTACTACCCCGCCCTCTTATACCTCGCATGCGCATAATCAAGATCGTCCGGGCGCTTCCACCGTATCTCCCTTCGAGACCGTCTTTGATGACCATGTCTACCCGACTAACTCTCATTCCCATCAGACCGATCCCTTAAATGACAACAGCCAACAAGCCTTCGCTTACGATACGAGGTATCATGGCTCCGGTCCGGGTGATGTTTCGCCCGTAGGTACCGACGATATCCCCATGCGAAACCAGAGCAACAAATCACCTGGTTATGCCGCCGATTCGACCGACCACGTCTACGACACCGCAGACCAAGAAGGTGGCCGTCGGGGTCTTCCCAAACCTGGCCGCATTCGTTTCGGCGAATTAGGCATGTTTGGATCGGAGAAGAGGAGGATACCCATCATGGTTTATCTGTTTTCCATCATTCAGATTGCCGTGTTCATCGCCGAACTTGTCAAGGCCGCTCAGCTCACGGGCAGCCCGATTCAGATCCATCCTTCTGTTAATCCCATGATAGGTCCTTCCCAGCAGATCCTTATTAATATGGGTTCGAGATACGTCCCTTGTATGAAGAATGTCAACGGCGTGCAGAACTATAGCCCGCCTGCCGGCGTCTTAGAAAAGGGTTTTGGATGGCCTTGTCCCAACACTACCACGAATGACCCTAACGATGACTCCAACAAGTGCTCTCTCTCGGAGCTGTGTGGGTTTGACGGAGTTCCCAATCCCGAGTGGGACCCCGTCAACGGCCTGCAGCAGAGCCCGGCACCTAACCAGTGGTTCCGATTCATAGTCCCCATCTTTATGCACTCGGGTCTAATCCACATCGGCTTTAACTTACTATTGCAACTTACCATGGGGAAGGAGATCGAGCGAGCCATTGGTTCCACCCGGTTTTTCCTCGTCTACATGAGTGCTGGCATCTTCGGTTTTGTTATGGGAGGCAACTATGCCGCTCCGGGAATTTCGTCTACAGGAGCATCGGGCTCTCTATTCGGAATTATCGCCCTAACTTTACTCGACCTGCTATATTCGTGGGGTGAGAGACGTAGCCCCGGTAGAGAGCTGATATTCATCATCATTGAGATTCTTATATCCTTCGCTCTCGGTCTTCTCCCTGGTCTCGACAACTTTTCTCACATCGGCGGGTTTATTGTTGGCATATGCCTAGGAGTTAGCGTTCTCCATTCTCCAAATGCTCTGCGTCGTAAGATCGGCGAGGACCACTTTGGAGGACCCTCTTACTCCACCGTAGGCGGTGGTGGTGTTACCAGCGTTGCCTTTCCTGCCTTTTATAGGAACCCAGTAGGTTTCTTTAAGGGTCGGAAGCCCCTCTGGTGGGTGTGGTGGCTTGTTCGCGCCGGATTTCTAATCCTCATTATCGTCGTTTTCATCGTGTTACTGGAGAATTTCTATTCCAACCAAAATAACTGCAGTTGGTGCAAGTATCTTAGTTGCCTGGTTAGTCTATCCCCCCTCGACTGCTTTTCCGGTGTTGACATCCCTACTAACATCTTCGTAGCCCGTTAATAACTGGTGCGATATCGGGAATATCACCATCACGACATCACAGCCCCAAAGTTCGCGACGAGGCCTCGGTTTAGCTTTACTCAAACGGGTCGCCAAGTTTTACTCGTAAACCCCCTTCCCTCTCAATAGACACATGATGATACCCAAAGACAAGCTTGATAATTGCGTAAGACCGGATAATGGCACTACGGCGTGGGGACTAGGGTAGGGACGAACGGATGGATTTGCTAGGTAGTAGGCATCGGGCATTCGAAGCCCTGGTATCTGGCGGCGTCGCCACGGTTGAACATACTGGTGCAGCATGAATTCGACAAACGGGCCATATATAACGGGACCACGGGGGTATTACCTGGCTGGTTACTAATTGATGGTAGTCGTAGTTTGATATACCAAAATTTACGGCGGTGTGTTGTTATGGTGCATCTTTCGATCCGTAGACATTATGTGACGTCTTGAAACAAAATTTTGATCGTGCTTGGTTCCAGCTCGGAGTGTATTGGTAGGTTGATTAGGAGGCAGAAACGGTTAAAAGGTTCATTCTAAATTTGAGACCTAATGAAACTGTCGTTTTCTAGAATATCACCTCGATTCACCAAAGAGGATGGATACTTGAGGGCTTAAAAACTCGCCTCGCATTTATCCCTTACTTTCAGGCAATCCTGATCCAACGTTTACATCCCTAGTTCACTGCTACTCTGGCTTCCCTACCTCGGAGCGAGTCGCCTTCAATGTCTATATATTCATTTGTACGTGAGGTAGGTAGTCGATAGTTTCCGACATCTACCGACTTTACGTAGGTATGTATAACCTCCCTGGGCCATCCTCGACTAGCCAAATGACGAGAGTACAAATCTAGTAATGTAAAGTAGGTAGGTAGGTATCAGTTCAAGTTTCAAACCTATAGCTCCAGGTCAAGAGGCACCTCTTATAAATTTAATCGACGCCATGTTCAAATCGTGACATTCATTCACACATCAAGCTGTGACATAACACCTATCCAAGTCATAACATAACCATCACGTCCCTTCGTCCGTCAAGAGATCTTCTACCAGAGAATCAGCTTCGCTCCGAGCCACCGTACCAGATACGTCGGCCCCTTCTTCCGCATCGCCCTCTTCTTCTTCGTCTTCTTCCTTGATATCCGGCTCCCGTATAACGGTGACATCTTCCGCTGTACGCTTCTCGTCCGGCGGGAGAGACACGCTCCTACTGGCGCTTCTCCTCGACATTTTGTCTTGGTCGTTGAGTTGATTCACGATCTTGCCTAAGCTCACGTGGATCTTGTACAGGGCGTTCTTGCTCGTGGCATCTGATACGAGGTTTTCTTCCACTGCCGACGAAATATCTTCGTACAGGGAACGAATCTTATCCTCCGAAGAGGTCGGGGAGATGTACAGTTTCCCTAGCAAAGTTGCGATGACCTTTTTCTCTTCCTCTGCATTTATGATTAGCATCAATGTTGGCATCGAACTATGTGATAGGAACTTACTGCTCAGATTGCTATTCAACCTATCGAGAATATCCCTAGCCAAACCTAGATGGACGTCTCCGCTCACGTTCTTCTTATCTGCATCCATGGGAATACCGGGAGTGTAGCACTTTCGAGGATCCGTCCAATCAACTAGACAAGCACCGATGGTATTGAGGCTGGCCATATCATCGCCAACATCAATATCCTCGTGGTCTTCGAGGCCCTCTCTAACGTTATATAGAGCGTGAAGTGCGTCAAGCGCAACAGATCCCATGAGCTCCTGGTTCTCCGCTCTCGAATAGCAAAAGACAGGTAGGAAGTAATTAAGGGCTTGCCTAACGCTTTGGTTCTCCGCGGTTAAAGGATCAAAGTAGGCCACAATTAGCGTTTTGAGTAGCTCTGACGACACGTCGCGATCCGTGACTACGCGACCGAGTAATAATTTTGAAACTGCGAGCGTAGCTGTGCCTTGTATTTCTGGGTTCTTAGAACCGGATCGGAGGGCCCGAATGTAAACCTTCAATAATTCCGGGTTTGCCGTCAGAAGCTGCGCTCCGTGAACGTTCAAGATGTCGGTTAGAATTTGTAGCGCAGTAATTTGAAGTGCCAAGTGACCTTTGGTGTAGCAACGTATAAAGAGGGCAAGGTTGTCTTCGGCAAGTGCTCGATCGAGGAGCGCGCAGAGCCCCAAGCAGACCAATCCACGTTCTCGGACGGGAGCTTGGTTGCTGCGAACGGCGGGTATGACTAAATTGTTCAGCATCGACACGAGATGGTCATTCTCCTGGAACGTTCCTTCGACATTAGAGAGCATGTATTGAACGATATGCAGGCATTTCATGTTTATCATGATCTCCTTGATCTCCTTCGCCTCCTGTTCTTCTTCGCTAAGACCATTATCCGCGTTTTGTTTCCCTTTCTTCGTTGGGGTACTATCTCCGCTGACTTCGGACCTCGCCGAATGGAAACTCTCCTCGCCGTCTCCAACCACAGATTCGTCAACGATAGTATCGTGAACATCAGCAACAGCTTCGAGTACGACACTACAAAACTCTTTCTCACCAGCATTGTCCGGCGCGCATATGTCTCGGAGCACTTCGATGGTTAGCTTAGTGATCTCGTCTGGTAGTTCCGGTTTAGATAACATTTGCCGTAGTAGTGTAAACATATTGCGCCGACCAGTCTCGTCTGAGTAGTCGAGAGTAAGGATGATATGTAGCAATTGCTCTATAACGAACTTTTTCTCAACCATGTCTTTCTCCACTTCATCTTCTTCTTGAGCGTCTTCCTGGCTGTTGGCTCTCTCCATAGCTTCCATGAGCTCCTTCAAATGACTCTTGAGGATCTCGACAAGGTAGGAGATTACTGGCAGTTTCTCATCAAGTAAGAATTCATATTTTCCATTTCCTTCTGTTCGGCAAAAGTCGTTGAAGGTTCGTGCAACAAATATAGATTCGGGAGTGAGATTCTTCCAGAAAGCGTCGTCGAACTCGACGGCATCTCGATAATCCGGTCTTCCTTCCCAGAAACCTTTCATAGCATCCAATGCGACACCCTTTTCAACACCGGAATGGACGACATCTATACGCTCAAGCAATTCCAAAAGTGCATCCATGTTCGGAGGAGCTGCCGCGGCTGGTTGCTCGCCATCTTCAGGCTGATTGGTACCCACGCAATCCTCGATCCAACGTTCGCGGAACAATCTTGCGGCGGCCTTTCGAACATTCTCGTCTCTATCCCGCAGTCCCCAACGGAGTAGTTTCTCTCGCATCGAGAGAGAGAGATGGCGAAAGTCACCAAGGGTAGGTAGTAATTTAGAGTAGACCGCTCGACGAGTAGCAGGATCCTGATCTCTCGTCCTTTCTAGGAGATATGGGAGAGTGTTTGACATAATTGGTAGGTTGATGAGAAGCGAGCGCCTTACTTCGGCGCTGGGATCATTCTGCAAAACTTCGAGGAGCTTCTCAAGCAGACCAGTCTCGACGTTATCATTGCTATCATCCGAGTTGACCATGCCCTCGACCTCGTTTCCAGCCAACCTGCCTAGGCCAAGTACGGCTTGAGAGCGAACCATCGCCTCTTTATCACGTATCCTCTTGAGGAGACCGTAGCGCAGCTTCTGAAATAAATCATCATCGATGGCATCTAAGGAGTTGATAACGTAAGAGATCAGCTGGGTTGATCTGTATCTGACGAATTTGTCCTTGCAAGTGAGCAAAGGCAGAATAAGCTCCATCAGTTGAGTAGTAAGCCGAGTGCTTGGTGTCTCGGGCATAGTACTAGCATCGGCATCTTCTTCTCCCAGCAGCTCGTTGTCCTTGTCATTAGCGTGGCGCAGAAACAGACCGATAAAACGGATGATCTTCTCGCCAGCACTTTCGCTCTTCTTTACCGGCATAACCCTGAGAACGCATCGTGTAAACTCGTTATTGAAATCGGATTCGTCAAACTCAGTTGCGGAATTCTTATTGGGACCTATCGGCTCGTAACAGCAAGCCTCGTGTATCTTGCGAAGGTTGACAACCAATTTTCTATGAGTTGCGGTGGTCTTTTGCGCGTCACGGAATATCGCCGATATCTGGGTTCGTAACTGGCTATCGGGCGTCTCTTCGGGAATATCAATACTTGACGACGAAACCCGGGACGTCTTGGACCTCGCAGAGGCTCGAGCCGGCATGTTTATTGAGAGTGATAAAATTTGGTTATGTTAGGTACGAATTGAGTTGTATTTTGCCCCTCGAAATCTAATTATTGGTAATATGTGCATTTGAATGGAATGATAAATGTAAAAGTAGACGCGCAAGGGGTATCGCAAGGGGTATCGCGATAGTTGTGTCTCTTACTATGCGCTTTCTAGTTAGTGTGTGAAGAAGGTGTTGTGTTATTTTTATTTTTATTTTGTGTATGTCAGTAAATCAACAAACCCAAACGGCTGCTCGGACAACTGCCAAGTACATTGTGTATCCGTTTTCTACCTAGGTACCCCGCGCCGAAATATTACAGGTAGGTACCTACACGGGCCATTAGAAGGTACATAGGTACGTACCCAATCTGACGAATTCGTTTAGCGTTAGTTCAGGTACATAGAGGTATATGCTAACACTATCGTTATCGATAATTTTTACTTATCGAACTTTTTCCTCTTCCATTATAATTTTCAATCCCCCCTCAAAGCTACATCAATCTGCGCCATCGTTAATTCGTTATTTTATAACCATTAATTGTCTTGGGAAAGTTCGAAAATGAGTGGTAATAGTGATCTGAAAAGATCTAGAGCGTCAGGAGCAGACTCAAACTCGAACGCGCCTTCGAATGATGTCGAGCCACCTACTAAAAAAGCTCGAGTTGAAAAAAGCAGATCTCTCTTCGTGCGATCGCTTCCTCCAACAGCCACCGCCGAATCCTTGACCGAATTCTTCTCTCAGCATTATCCCGTAAAGCATGCCACGGTCATTCTTGATCCCCAGACAAAGGCTTCTCGCGGTTACGGATTCGTTACCTTTACCGACGCCGATGATGCTAAGGAAGCCAAAGAGAAGCTCGACAAACAAAAGCTAGATGGTCGCCCGCTAGTTTTGGAAATCGCAGAACCTCGGCATCGTCAATCGGGTGCCGACTCGACAGATGCCGCTGCGAAGAAGGCCGAAAGGCAAGCCACGTTGGCCGAGGCTCGCAAAGCACCCAAGTTGATCGTAAGAAACTTGCCTTGGAGTATCAAGAAGTCAGATCAACTCGCAGCTTTGTTCCAGGGATTTGGAAAGGTAAAATATGCCGACCTTCCAAACGACAAAGGGAAACTCTCGGGTTTTGGTTTTATTACCATGCGCGGTCGAAAGAATGCGGAAAAGGCTATGGAAGCCATTAACGGGAAGACCATCGACGGTAGAACTCTAGCTGTTGACTGGGCTGTTGACAAGCAGACTTGGGAACAGCAGAAGCAGCAAGATAAAATCGATAAGAAAAGTAAAAAGGCTAAGCGGGACGAGGCATCGGAAGAGGATGCCAAGTCGGACAAAGCAGAAGATGAGAAAGAAGACGAAAAAGAAGACGATGATGAAGACGATGAGGAGGATGAGGATATCAAAAATTTCATGAAGAACCATATGGAAAATCTAGAGGATGAAGACAGCGATGCCAACCAAGACGAAGACAAAGACGAAGACGAAGATGAGGAAGACGCCGAGGATGATGAAGGTGGCGCCGCATTAGGGAGCAAGTCTACTCCCAAGAAACCCCTCACGACAGACAATAGGTCAACTATCTTCATTCGTAATCTGCCCTTTACAGCTACGGACGCGGAGCTGAAAGCTCACTTTGAAAAGTTCGGGCGTGTCAGGTACGCTCGCATCGTAATGGATCGAGCTACCGATCGGCCGGCCGGTACAGGTTTCGTCTGTTTCGTCAGCGAAGCCGATTCAAAGGCATGTCTCAAGGGTGCACCCCGTATCCAGCAGCAGTCTGCGATACCGAATAAGAAGTCGATTCTACAGAACGAATTGGCGGATGAGGAGGGCAAGTACACGATGGATGGTCGCATTCTCCAATTGTCACAGGCCGTGAGCAAAGACGAAGCAAGCCAGCTCGCGGAGAAGGGTGCTGCGGTCCGGCTTGGCAAGGAAAAGGATAAGCGTCGGTTATACTTATTATCTGAAGGTGCCATCATGAAGGATTCGCCTCTCTATGCTATGCTCGCTCCTTCGGAGGTCAAGATCCGCGAAGAAAGTGCTGCGCAACGGAAGAAACTCATTCAAAATAACCCCAGTCTCCATCTGAGTCTCACTCGTTTAGCTATTCGTAATATCCCCCGCGACATAGATTCCAAGAAGCTCAAGGCTTTAGCTCGCGAGGCTGTTGTTGGTTTTGCTAAGGACGTCAAGGAAGGTCGAAGACAGCCACTGTCAAAGGAGGAGAATGCTCGGGGCGGAGAGGAAGACAAGGAAGCCGAGCGCCGCCGTAAAGAGAAGGGCAAGGGTATAGTCAAGCAGGCGAAGATAGTATTCGAAAACAAGGAGGGCTCAAAGGTTCCCGAAACCGATGGTGCTGGTAAGAGTCGAGGCTATGGTTTCATCGAATACTCCTCGCACCGATGGGCACTTATGGGCTTACGGTGGTTGAACGGGCACGCGCTAAAGAATCCGGCTGGGAAGACGCAACGGCTAATCGTCGAGTTTGCTATTGAGAACGCGCAGGTCGTAGCAAGAAGAAAGGACAACCAAGAGAGGCAACGAACATTTCGAAGCGGTCAAGATTCAAATACGAATGGGAAACCCTCACTAAAAGGCAAGGACTTTTCCGTCTCGAATGGAAAGTGGCGAAGGGAGAAAAGGGGTGAAGCAGCAGGTGAAGCAGCAGGTGATGACTCTGGAACTAAGGCAGGCGAAGAAGGGGTTTCGGCAAAGGAAGCTTTACAGCAAAAAATTATTGCGAGGAAACGGATGACGAGGAAGAAGAAGGCTCAGGCGCGGCGTTAATATTACTACAAGTAGTAGGAAGCATGACACGACGATGGCTCCTGATAATGACTCCTAGCAATTTTCCAATAGCAATTACATTATCTGTACCGAGTCGGAATTGTGCACAATAAGTCCATCATCGCAGTGTCAGAACGAGCAGTGTGTGTATGTATACGTGATAGCGCATGCTCCCCAATAAAAAGTGATAAAGCAATTAAAACTATTTCCAAAACCAGCTGCTGAACTTCTGATCCTTCCTGGTCGACCTCTCATCCTTCTCATCTGACCGTTCCCTAGCATCATCATCATCATCTGAATCCGAGTGATAGGACCACGACCAGTTATTCGTCCGACTTGTTGAGACCAGCTCTCCGGCAGAATTATATTGCTTTGTGACGGTTCCGACTCGGTTACCGAATTTTGAGCTGTGCTGTTGGATGGTCTTTACAATCTTACCGCCATCCGGTGTTTCGGTGACCTCGGTCACAGTTCCATCATCAGAAGTCTGGCGAGTGGTAACTTGGGTTGGTGTAGTGGTAGTAGTAGTAGCAGTAGTCTGACGGTCAAACCCTTGAGGAACAGGTACTTCTACCGACTCGTTATCTGCAGTAGCTTCGTACAAATCATATTCAGTGTCAGCTTCTTGGGGATACGTAGTTTCGGCTTCGCGCTCAGCTGCATTTCCTTCATATCGGACCGGATCTCTAAAAGCTGAAGACTGGCGATGCTCCCCGGGTGGAGAGATCATACTAGGCCATGTCGATACTGGCGATTGATGAAACGACAATTCTCTAATGTGCACGCCCCTCCAGGGTATGATACCGTTGGAAAGATCACGCCTAGCCGATTGGGAGAGGGGGAAGTAGGCGTTCCAAAGCCCGCGGAGCCCGACTCCGGCAACCCAGTCCTCAACGGACATGCCCCAGGGGAAGTATCGCGCATGTTCAAAGTTTTTGGTAAACGCAACCGCGCGCAGATCATGGAGAGGCTTCCCGGAGTTCACAGCTAACAGATCCTCGAATGCGTCGCGGAAGGTAAAACAGTCAGGACAATCCCGAGGTGCGTCGGCCGGACGGGGTTGTCGCAAGGTCTGAAGGTTCAGAGGGGAATAGGGAGATAAGATGGCCCATCGGTAAACATCTCTTACATCGGCCTCTCTCGTATCATCCGGGCTCGATACGTTCGAATCTGGTCCATGGTTCATAGACTTCCTCTGTTGGGAGATGACATGGTGGTCGTTGGTTGACCTGTTTTCTATTTCTTGTTCACGGTTTGCCATTTGTGCTGGCAATGCGAGTATGGTCTGAAACCCACGATGGATGTTGTTGTCGATGTGATTCTTGAAGCGAATAAAAAAGTTATCGAGGGGATCGTCAGCAGTCATTGTGTCACCTTTTCTCTTGAATGATTACAACAACTGGGTGGGCAAATTGAGGGCTTAGACAAATTGTTCAATATGACGATTATATTTAAGATGGTTTAAACTTGAACTTATTATTCAGGCTTTGCGGCAATGTTGAGTTAACTATTTGATTTCGAAAGCTCCAGAAGTGGGTCTCGATGCGCAAGCATCCGATCGGGATGTGGGGTGAGTGGATCCTAAGGTTAGGTCCCGTACAGCATGAGTTAGTGTACGTTACACTGGGAGGTACCTAGGCCAGGGAAGGTAGGTACATGACCAGATGACCTAACCTCTGCCAAACTGCCTAGGCCCTAGGGCTGCATGGCCTGCATGGCCTGCATGGTACTGGAGGTACTTAGGTAATTTAGAGTGTTGCTATTTCAGTAGTAGTCGTTTTCAACGCCGATTTCCTCACCGCCTGCCCAAAAGGGCTTGCTACTAAAGATTCCCCTACTTATCTTTTATTCATGTACACCACGTTATTCATGATATCATATTGAATCCAACAATCTACGATACGAGAATTATACCGTTAGTTTGACCTTGATTAGAGCTTTTTAACCATATAGGCCATAATTAGATGCATGTGGTATTTCAAAGGTTATTGCTAAGTAGTTTCGCAAAAAAAGGGCGTTACCACTACTTATACGAGGTACTTGAGCTACTTTCGCACTTTAGTAGTTTTTTAAATACCATACACATTAAATTGAAATTTATATTATTAGAAAGCTCTAATCAAAGTCAAGCTAACGGTATAATTCTTATATATTAGATCGTTAGATTCAATACGATATAATGGTCAATATGGTGGTATAATTAAATTAATTGAAAATAGGTGGGGGAATCTCTAGCCTTTCTGCCGGTTTTTTTAAAGGCGGTAAGAAAATCGGCGCTGAAAATGACTACTACTGAAACAACACTACTACTGAAATAGCAACACTCGTAATTTAATGGTAAAGCTGTCCCTTTGTGCAACGGTATGCAAGGCAAACCGTACAAGAGGTATGCAATGTGGATCAGCTCTGTTAATTTCACCTGGCATCTTTCAACATCGCGAACCCAAATTCCGCTCTAAACGAATTCGTTCAAACTTCCATGATAGACGATGGAGCATAGGTGAAAGTTGTTCTCCAGCTCGCCCTTTCATTAGTAAAGCTTTAATCGGCCGGAAAGAGTTGACCTACGCGCTACCATTGGATATGCACCGCCATAATGTCTCCAATGTCTCGACCTTATTTCTTGTCGCAGCCAACCTTCTAATACCAGTCGCAATCCTCCTCTTCGCCGTCGGTTTCTTTCCTTATAAGCCCTTCTTACCTGGTTTAGCCGAGTACCAATCCTTAGAATATGGCCCGCCGCCAGAAGCCCCGTTTGACCGTTTAATATTTATGGTTGTCGATGCTTTGCGCAGGTTCGTTTTACTCGGCGCAACCGTTGCCCATCACCGTGCGCTTGTCTAACTGACCAGCGCAGCGACTTCGTATATTCCAATGGCTCCGGCTTCGAGTTCACGCAAGGGTTAGTGATGAATTGAGGCGGGAATCTGAGGTGTTCAAGCCACTAACGCATGTATATATAGGCTTATTAAAGATGGCGTGGCTATCCCTTACACGGCTCATGCTACGTCGCCGACTATCACGATGCCTCGCATAAAAGCCATTACTACCGGTTCTACGCCCTCCTTCCTCGATGCCATCTTAAGTTTCGATGAAGCCGACACATCTTCGACACTAGCTGCACAGGACACATGGCTCGCTCAGATGAAGGCAAAGAAATCCGGCAAATTAGTCATGTATGGAGATGATACGTGGTTGAAATTGTTTCCCGGCGTGTTCGATCGAGCAGATGGTACTTCTAGCTTCTTCGTTTCCGACTTTACAGAAGTCGACAACAACGTAACTAGGCACATCCCCGACGAATTGCGCAATGATGATTGGAATACGATGGTTCTACATTATCTCGGCCTCGACCATATTGGCCACAAGACCGGTCCTCGGGGCCCCAATATGATTCCGAAACAGCAAGAGATGGATGGGATTGTTCGACTAATATACGAGGCGATGGAGACGCAGCCGCATCTCCGTTCGACTCTTCTTGTCTTCTGTGGTGATCACGGTATGAACGACGCTGGTAATCATGGAGCTTCTTCTCCCGGAGAAACCTCCCCTGCTCTCGTGTTTGTATCACCTAAGCTCAAGTCCATCTCAAAACCAGTCAAAGTGCCAGCAGACCCCGTCGAAGATTTCCAGTATTACAATGTCGTAGAGCAATCCGATCTTGCGCCTACTCTTGCCGCTCTGCTTGGCTTCCCGATACCTAAAAATAATCTAGGCTCGTTCATGGTAGACTTCCTACCTTTCTGGCCAGAGAGTGAGCCAGCCCTCTTCGTAATTGGTAGGCGACGTGCTAACTACGTAATTTTAAGAACGGGACAGGCTCCAGATTCTGGTGCGTAATGCGAGACAGATTCTCGATATTGTCACTGCAAGCTTCAGCAGCTCCTCGTCGGTTGGTAAAATGCCCAACCTTGATTGCATTCGACCTGGCTCGGGAGCCGAAGAATTAGCCTGCGAATGGCAACAGATCAGCCAAGAAACTGAAAAGGCTTTACGCGAAATAAATCCGGACGAGAACCAGATAACGAACGTGTCAAAGTGGTTATCGAGGGCACAGACTTTGATGAGCGGCATGGCGAGCAATTATGACATGTCGATGCTTATCTACGGCGAAGTGGTAGCTATGGTGGCTTCCGTTGCGGCGGTATACGCCTTGATGGCTTCATCTTCCGTGATGGTTTCTAAGTTGGCACCGCTTATGCTCATCACAGTGATGTACGGCATAATGATGTTTGCCAGCAGCTACGTTGAGGAAGAGCAACACTTTTGGTATTGGGCCACGTCGGCATGGTTATTCTATCTCGCGATCAGATCGTAAGTCTCGCTGATTCGCAATTCGCGATCCGTGATTCGCCATTCGGCATTTTCCCACTAACATAGGATTAGAACTCCAAAAATGACCTATAGGTCTTTTATTATGGGCTTAGCTGCGCTCGGTGCGATGAGATTTACCAGAGGATGGAATCAGACTGGGCAAAAGTTTGCCGGTGAGCCCGATATTGTGACCACTTTCGTGGTGCCGAATCCACAGTTACTTTGGTCTCTCGCTCTCGCAACATATGCGACGGTTTCTTTGGAATTATTCAAAGGGCTTCGGGGCATACCAATTGCCATCAGAGGATCTATAGTCGTGGGGCTAGCGATATCAGCAATGTCTTTCAAGCTCGCTTTTACTAATGAAGATGCCCCTGAGCTGATTGTCGGATTTGCGAAGACGCTTGTAGACTTATTCAAAGGGCCAAGCCTTGTAAACCGAGCTCGGGCAGTTTTCCTAGGTCTTGGGCTTACTTCAATACATCCCTTCTATGGCTTATTCCTGAAGGGTACTAAACAGTCTAAAGAGGATGGTGAGTTTCCCTTTATGCTAGATTTAATCGAGAGACGAAGCTAGCTAACTTCTTACACGTAGCAATGCGAGCGCTGCACCACTTATATACGCTCTTTGCGTTGACGCAGTCCCGAGTAACTAACGCGCCCCTCTTCTTATTATTCGAAGCCATTTACCTATATTTAATCAAGCTGCATCTAGGAGGCGTAGATATTACGATATCATTGCTGCTGCTTCAATTTTCTTCCTTCTTTGCGATGGGGGGATCCAATGCAATCTCCGGCGTGGACTTGTCAAACGCGTACAATGGCGTCAACGAGTTTAATATCTTTGCGGTGGGAGTCTTGACGTTTCTCAGCAATTGGGCGGCCCCAGTCTGGTGGACGTCAGCGTCAAACTTGCTACTCCTTCGGACTAAATATTCGGGGGTGAAGCCTGGCCACGATCGTACTTTTCAGCAACATGTCGCCATTTTGACAGTATTTACCACTATAGCTCTTGGGTTTGTAATGGTAGCTTGTGCAACTTTGCGGACGCATTTGTTCATATGGACGGTGTTTTCACCAAAGTATCTGTACAGCATGGCGTGGGGGTTGGGACAGCATCTTGCTATTAATGTGACATTTGGCGGACTTTTATACTGGCTCGGTTGCGCATGACCACGACTGGAACATTTAGAAACGGGAGGTACATATACTGATACCTCACGATCATCAATACTATACCTACCTAGACCTAGGTAGTAATGCATAATGCATTATTCTTTGGTTAAATTACCTAGATATATTATTTGCCTTTTGGGTATGTATTCTGCTTGGCTTCTCGGGCAGGGATGGTAAAAGTACAAAGTACCAATAAATTAACCCCGGTTGGCCCAGTTAATAGTCTTTAAGCTTTTACGGTTCCTTCTTTCGCAATCGATCCATGCACGCCATTCTAGACTATTTCCATATGGGACAGGCCTAGCTGTAAACGGTAAGAAATGGGATGCATCGCCAGGCATCGGTACTTATCACCACTTATCACCGCGTATCAGAGTTGACGATGGAACGAGGATGCATGCAGATTTCCTAAAATGACCCAAAATACCGGGAAATAATACTTATGTACTATGTACCTAACATGTCAGCCCCGGGGGCTATGTAACCAATGTCTGCATGCGATGCTGTGATCTTATTTCGTGACCCGTGTCATTTTACCTTCCCATCCTTACTACCTACATGTCACTATCACTATATCCAGAGCTTTGTAATTTATTGTTGCCATATTCGGTCTTTGCCTTAATTTTCTTCCCCTCTCTTTGGAATATAAGTGGTTTTTTTCTTCTTTCTATTGATAATAAGCGGATAAATTTAGCTCACACTCCTTTCACCTTTTAAGACAATAGGCATTGTCTTGTTGTCCTACATAATACCTCAATCTACTCCCTGTCGCGATGTCAAATCCCGGGCGAAGCTAGAATTCATAAGAAAAAAAAGAAGAAAAAGCTGCGATAACGCAAACGCGCGACTGCCACAGCGACTGCGACAACGACAACGATTGTATATATGACGGGTTGGTGCGACGCGACTGCTACTACAAAATTGTAAACGATTACGATTTATTTATCTCCCGCTCGCGCTATTACATCCTCCATAGCATCGTAGATGCGCGCCGTCGGGGTAGAATCATGTGGAGGCGTGCCTATTTGTTTCTGGTTCTTGTCCGACTATGGTTCGCGCTCAAGCCAAGCTATTTACATCCAGACGAAAATTTCCAAGGTCCCGAAGTCATAGCAGGTAAGCTTTAAAGAGTTATATGTACCCCGCCTGATCTTGGAATTTCATACTGTTCCGTTCTGCTTGCAACCGTAGACTAATAGATGGTGTGCGATATAGGTCAGATCTTTAGCTACCCCGTCCGACTTACCTGGGAATTTACGAGCGACCACCCAATACGTAGCGTCTTTCCGCTATGGCCGGTCTACGGACTACCCATGCTTCTACTAAAGTGGCTGTGGGCCGGTTACGGGGAGGATGGCGAGATACCACCGATCGCGGTATTCTGGACGTTGCGGGTAGTCATGTTTATCATTAGCTTTGTGATGGAGGACGGGGCTATTTATGAGCTGGCCCAGTCTGCGCAACATCGCAAAACCGCCCTGCTGCTCGTGGCGTCTTCCTACGTGACCTGGGCATTTCAAACCCATACTTTCTCTAACTCGATCGAGACTCTTGTCGTTCTGTGGTGCCTCGTGCTCGTTGAACGTATTCTCGAGGCTTCGGTAAGTTGTTCTCACTCTAGCCTTCTTTTCGTGTATAGGTATCTAATGTGAGCTGACTTCCAAAGCGCGCTCAAAGATCCGCCCTGGTGGCGTCCACCGTACTTGGAATTCTAGCCGTCTTTGGCGTTTTTAATAGAATTACTTTTCCCGCATTTTTGCTTATTCCTGGACTTCGATTGATACCCCATTTCATACATAGGTAGGTCGCTTTCCCTTCTCCCTTATGCGTTCTGCGCGTTCAAACTACAAGTTGGTGCTGGTTGCTAACTTTTCAAGACCTCTTTCCCTCGTCGTTATGGCAGCGTCAGGGCTCTTTACAGTTTTAATTGCCATTTCTCTCGATACGGCTTTCTATACTCCTCACGCGATTTCCTGGTCGGATCTCTATCGTAATCCTGTAATTACGCCGTTGAACAACCTACAATACAATCTTTCGCCCTCGAATTTAGCGCAGCACGGATTACATCCTTGGTACCAGCATCTTTTGCTCAATCTTCCGTTGCTTATTGGGCCTGCGGTGGCTCTCTTGTTCACGAAGCCACAGTTATCACTTAGGCTGGCCTCGGCGATATCAGGGGTGTTTGTTTTATCCATATTTCAACACCAGGAAGCTCGATTTTTGCTACCAGCGGTACCCCTTTTGCTCTCGTCTATACAGCTCCCGCCGAAGAAGTCCGAGTATCGGAAGATCTGGCTTTCTGCCTGGATTTGCTTCAACGTGGCCCTTGGCCTTCTAATGGGAGTATACCATCAAGCCGGTATCGTGCCAGCTCAAGAATTCCTGAGCAAACAGCCCGATGCGACGCAGGCCATATGGTGGAAGACTTATATGCCCCCAATATGGCTTCTAAACGGCAAGAACGAGGTATTAAAAACCAGGGACGTGGCGGGGATGCCGGGCGAACTATTATTTGAGGAGCTGACGCAGATAGCGACCTGCGACACACCAGCCGATCGGAGGAATCACGAATATCTCAAGGAACCGAACGGTACCTACCTGATCGCGCCGCTCTCTGCGGCATGGCTCGATCCATACCTAGACAACAAGGGTTTAGACGGGTTACGGTTTCGGGAGGTTTGGCGGAATAGCAGGCATTTAAACCTGGACGACTTGGATTGGGCGGAAGACGGGTTCTGGCCTACTCTGGAAAGGGTAGTTGGTAGACGAGGACTGGCAGCTTGGAGGGTTACCAAGAGCTGCGGCCGACCTCAGCGGTAATGAGAAAATTTAAAATAAAAATCAAATATACCTATTCCATCATGACGTCTATTTCGAATGTGCTTTGGAATGCGTGTAAGTGGCTAGCTAACCTTAGGTACAGTTGAAGTTGACTGGGAACACGTAGACTCGAGCTCGACGGCTTGGCCCTTATTTCTGCTACCCTCTATTTGTTAGCCCAGCTTACTTGAATAACATAATACTCCAACCTGCTAGCTTCGAGTGATAGATGTTCCATAACATATGACCCAGGTTGACTGCATGCAGCAAAAGGGAAAAATGGATATCCCGATGGAGCTAATGCCCCCAGATCCATTTCAAAATTCAAAACCAATCAGAACCGACGGCGCTCTTAGCTGCTATCGAATTTCGAAAACGTTAATTGGAAGCTTTCTTTGGTTGCGACACCAGATAATAACTGATAGTACTAGACAATACAAGACATACCTTCTCCACTACACTACATGCGATTTTATATTAAAACAACAACATTATTGACAAGCGTTTAAAATCGCCTCAATTTTATTCAAGGTACCCTACCTTCTACGCATCCCACAATGGGCGGTTTAAATCTCGAAGTTTTCAAGGTGAGCTAGCTACCTACCCCTCCTCATCTCATCTCGTCATGTCGCGCGCGCAATTGGCTCACACTTACCCAACCAACCGATATAAAAGTTCGGCATGTACGTCATGTTCCCGATCGGCATCATGTACTACTTCGGCACGAACCTCGACGAGCGCTTCGCCGTGCCCGACTTCTGGCCCAAACCCGAGCAGGCGAACAAGGTGCCCATGGACAGGGACGAGATCCACGCCGAGCTGCAGCGGTTGCGAGCGCGCCGGCTGTATATTAGGGACAAGAGGCTCGAGAACGAGGCGCGACAGGCGCAGCAGCCTTCGGGCGAGGATCAGGAGTAGTAGGCGAGGGGCCTCAGTACGGGCAACATAAGAGGTACCTAACCTTAGGTAGATACATGGCATTGGCTTTGACGGCGTTTCGAGGGAAGGACGGAATAAAACAGGCATTAGAACATAATCATGATCGCGCAGCTATTGAATGTTTTGAACTTTTCGACTTAGCTCTCGAACACTGAACGACATCTCCGCTCTCTGAAAAAATGAAGGAAATCGAATGGAGACAAGTTCCATATTACATACATACCTTAGACCTAAGGTACCTTACCTACGTATCTACCTAGGCACATATTGTACACATATTGTACACATATTGTACAAATATATTACAGATTACCTACGTATCGAGATTGTCTTCTATGGTGTCCCAAACCCCATTGCTTATCGTTCCTTTTTCGGCGTTGGCACTGTAGATTTCGTGGGTTAACATCAGCTATTTCCTCCATGGAGGTTTCGATAGCTAGGTTAGGTAGGTCAGGTAGACTTACTAGACACCTTGTACGTCTGGATATTCCTGTAGCGCCGTCAAGAACGCTGCTATGTTCTGCGCGGCCTCCTCGTCGTCCAGCTTGGCTTTGTCCCCCGATGGCGACCGTACAATTTCGCAGCTTAGGATCTCGGTATCCAGCACCCGGCTTAGGTCTTGCGCTGTCTGATGCGTGACGTGCGGCTGCGTCCATACGACCACGTTGCCGTCCTTGTCCGTCTCGACGTCCTCGGCGCCGGCTTCCACCGCGACCATCAACACGTCGTCAAACGCATCTTCGTGGGCATTGGGGTTGCCTTTCAGAACGGAGCGGCCGAGCCTATCGAACAGGAACGCGGTGGGCGTTACGGTGCCCTTGTGCTTTTTCACCAGGAGCCTGAGGTCCTGCAGTACGCGCTGCTTGTTATCCGTCTCGATCTCGATGACCATGGCTACGGCTGGCGGTATCATGACTTCGAGCGTCATGGTCTCGAGTCCAACGCCCGTCGACGATTTACCCTGGCCTCGTGCGATAGCTATTTCTATGTTGGCTTTCGGCATGCCGGCTACGCCGCGACCCTCGTTAGAACACGTTCTTTTGCGTTTTACACATTATTATTATAATCTTTTTCTTTTTTTTTAGATCCGTCTCTTGCCAAAGTTAGATACCTTTTTTTGCGGCCGTGATCACGGTGGCTAACCGCGAATTGAGACTCGGATCAGGCCCGTATACTAATCCCACATTCCATCATTAGCCTTTTGAATCTCGGGGAACCAGCAGGTGGTTGGTGGTCCATGTAAGAAGATGTAGGAAAGATACGAACATCTCGAAAAGAGGGTTAAATTCTTGGCGAAACCGCTTCGTTGGGTATTCTTCTTCGCATCGGCAGCGCCCTTCTCGTGCCTGATCTTAGACCAACGGTTGTGGCCGCTGTTGAGCACCGCGCTCGAGGCGAAAGATCGACAGCATTGAGCGCATATGGAGGAGGCAGTCGACCTCGGCGCAAAACTTCGACTCGGGAACACGAATACGCGGGTAGACATTTCGACTGATTCCGTAGTCGCACGGGGGGGGGATGGGGGGTTTATTCGATCAATAAAAGGTTTATGTACGGTTAGTACCTAGTAGAATACAATGGTCATTTTAAAAGAAAGCACAGTAAATAAAAGTAAAAGTAAGCGTTAAGTAAACATCATATATGTATGGGTAATTATTCGAGGTTGTATCACTTAAGCAATTGAAGCTACAATAAATACTATATAATACCTATGTAGCAGCGCAAAAAAACAATCCCACTAACGTTTTGCCGCATCCTCTGTTGATTGGTTGATGGTTTACGTCATTTGATTGGCTACCTGGTAGATACCGCAGGTACTCGTTACAGCTTACCTACATGTAGGTACCTAGGTCAGGAACGCTCAAAAGAGGTACAGTGGCAGTCCCGTCTTAGGTACAGACAGGGCCAGGTACTTCGTACATTACATACCTAAATGTAGACATGCTGGTACCTAAACCTTCCACGTGCCTTGAGATACCTATCCTGAATCATTCACCTTCACATTTAATAACCTACCTACCTAACCTACATAAGGTACCTGTTTACTTTATTCATCACAATTCAAAAAGCCATCATCCTTCCGCGCCTCAACCCAAATTCCATGATTTCCCATGTCAGCGCCAAGTTCCCCTCCTCGAGAGTCTAACGGCGCCTCTCAAGCCGCTGCTGCGCCTGCGCGAGCTTCCTTGACCACCACCTCCAATCCGGAACTCGACCTTCAGAAGCTTCAATCGCTTCCCGCCGAGCAGCAGGACCTATTCCTCCTCAACTTCGTATCTTCCTTGAGCAGACATGTTCACAGCTTGACGAACGATGACTGCACCGCCCAGCAGTTCTACCTCAAGAAGGAGGTCTTCCAGATAATCAACCTGTCCGCGCCCTCCCCTAGTCGAGCAATACGAGTAAATCTTGGCAAGATACTTGCCTACTTCCTCGGAAATGGAGATAGGAAGCTGCTCTTCGACACTATAAACGAGCTGGTCTCTATAATATCATCTGGAAAATCCAAGACCGAAAGCGAGATTCGAACGAGGCATGCCGCTATTAGTTGCTTAGGCGACGTATACGCTTCTGCCGGTGACAGCGCTATCGGCTTGCACCCGCTAGCATGCGGCGCCCTCGTCAAGCTGCTCAAGTCATCGCAGGGTCACGCTGGGTTGCGCGCCGCCGTGCTTATATCTTTGACCAAGATTGTAGGCATGGTGCGATCGAGCTTGGACGAGAGCATAGCTAGGGATATTTGGAAGCAGGCACGGAATGCCGCCTCCGGCGATAAAGGTTCCCTAACCGTCGTGTTCGCCTGCCGTTGTCTTAAGTCGTTGGCTAAATATACTTCGTATTTCGACAATTCGGGTGATTTCGAGAACCTCAAGTCCACTCTCTTTAAAACCATCGACTCTGGTTCCTCGCATGTAAGACACGCCGCTGCCGACTGTTTAGCTGAGGCCATGGTGAAGAATCATTCCGAATCTGCGCTGGCGGGGATACCCAAAAGCAAAAAGTCCAAGTCCAAAGCTAATAAGAGGTCTTCTGTTCAACCGGGCATGGGGCTGGAAGAAGACGAAGATATTCCGTCGCGGCCAGGTAGCCCGGCGCCCGGAAAGAAAAGCCAGGACCTTGTTCTGTCGTTAAGTGACATCTTTAAAACCCTCACGACTCACTACGTTCGTCTGTCTACCACCAACAGGGCTAGGGCGGCGATTGGTGTCTGTTACGGTAGGGTTTTGAAGCGGTTAGGGGAGAATTTCGTCGAAAAGAACTATTTAAGAATCTTGGAGAGTTTAACCATCGACTTGTTAGGCCATCAGAACATAGCCAACAACAGGTATAGGCTTCTCATTTCGCGTCGGATTGTCGATACAGTTCTCCAAGTCGTTATAGGTCGCAAGATACTTGGGGAATCGGGCCAGACGACCGTGGCCAGAGCGCTCGTTAACGATGTCCTTAAGAACTATCCCCAGACGCTTAAAGAACGACCTGAGCCGACGAAGCATACACTAATTGCGGCTCTCGGCGCGGTGGCGTCTCTTATCAAATCTCTCGGGTCCGCCGCGAACAATTTCGCAGAACCTTGCCGAGATGGGCTATTGCAAGTACTACAGCATCCTAGTTATAGCGTTCAGGTGTCCGCTTCGTTCTGCATGAAAACCTTCGTTCACGCCTGTCCGCAGCAGCTCCTACCGTGCTTGTCTGTTTGTATGAATAGTCTTAGCAGGGAGCTATCTCTACTAGGAGGGGCGAAAAACTCTCCGAGGAGGTGTGTTGGATTTGCTCACGGATTGGCTGCAACCCTGAGCGCTAGTCCTTCTCGCCCGCTGCATGGTTCTCTTGATATCAACAATCGAGTCTATTCCATGGCTACCAACCTGCTCAAGTCCAGCGGCCAGTCCGAGCTTCGTGTTTCGAGTACGCAGGTCCAGGTTGCGTGGATCCTCCTCGGGGGACTCATGTCGTTAGGTCCCAACTTCGTCAAGATTCACCTCTCCCAGCTACTTGTTCTCTGGAAGAATGCCCTACCGAAGCCGTTGGCCAAGGATAATTTTGCTCATCGCAACATCCTAGAAGTTTCCTACCTCACTCACGTCAAAGAATGCGCGTTGGGTTCTATTCTCGCGTTCCTCCAGTTTAACAGCCGCTTGTTAACCGTAGACGTATCGAAGCGTATCGCCACGATGCTTCAAAATACGAGCGTATTCCTTAGGATGCTACCTTCCAAGAAAACCACGGATGATATTTCTCAAAGGCTAACTCCTGCTTTACAACTGCATGACCTCGACATGATGGTCCAGCGGCGGGTTTTACAGTGCTACATTACGCTAGTAAACCAGAGCCCAGCCGGAGGCAGCGAGGCGCTTATACAAACCAACCTCCTTACCTTGGCAATATCGCTGTTTGCCGATCCTGAGAACTACGCAGCCAATACGTTAAGTGCGTCCATCGCTAACGCCGCAGGAACTTTCGAAACTGTCTGGGATGTTGGCGATAATTCCGGCTACGGCGTCAATGACCTAGTTCGCGGTTTCAAAATTAAAAAACTCCCTGGAGAGAAGGATGATGCAGCTGATAAGCCAGAGACGGATGAGCCCGATCCGGATGGAATCATTGACGAAATTCTCCTCTCGCCGATCTGCTCGTCGCTAGAACACGATGCTGCCGCGCTCTACGTGGGTGAGTTAAACTCGTCCGCGGATCTCCCAGCACCCCCGGCCACCGAGGTGGTGAACATGGCGATCCAGCTATTCGCCTTCGTCTTCCCCTTGACACCAGCCAAAGTACAGGAGAGCGTCCTCGAGCAGATTGCTACGTTTACTTCAGCCGGGTCTTTACAGCGCGATCTCGGCCGTAAAGCAGCTATTGATGTCAACATTGCTACCGCTCTGTTCCTGACTTTGAAAGTTGCCGTCAAGGAGACTCAGTCGCCGCCCGGAAATATTACCAACATCGCTGTGGAAAAGCTCGTACAAGAAATGACTAGAGGCTTCGTAGTTGATCCGGACCAGTACGTACGAAGCCTGGGCTACGGTGCTATTTCCCGCCTTTGTAATGCGTGCGGCAACGCGTTCACGAACCACGAGATCAAGTATTTAGTCGACACCATCGTGAGCAACCGCGAACCTAGTGCCCGAGCTGGATGTGCCATGGCTCTGGGTTCTATCCAGTCAAAGGTGGGAGGCATGGGTGCGGGTTACCATCTCAAGACGATCACTGGTATTCTAATGTCGCTATGCAATGACCCGCATCCGACTGTGCATTACTGGGCTCTTGAGGCTCTAGCTGATGCCGCCGATGCGACGGGGTTGGGGTTTTCGCCTTATATCTCCGGATCCCTCGGAATGGTTTCCCAGCTATATCTCTCCGAAACTCATCATTCCGAAGTGTCTTCTCCTATTTCTATGAGTTTGGAAATGGAGCTATCGACTACGGCAGCCATTACGCGTTGCGTCGACTCTCTGATTAACGTGGTTGGACCCGACTTGCAAGATTCGACTAAATCGCGCGAATTGATTCTCACGCTCGTCGATCAGCTACAAAACGAAGATGATATTCTTGTACAGCGCGAGAGCTTAGCATGTCTGGAGCATCTTTCCTTATATGCCCCTGGACATATGGTATTTAGCGACTACGTCAAGACCTTGCAAAAGTACCTCAACTCCGAATGTCCCACCCTTCGCGACGTCGCGGTAGACGGTCTCTACAACTTGATGAAGAGGAATTCCCTCGACGTGATAGAGGCCGCCAACCCTGGTTTTGAGGATCAACTGTGGCTTGTGCTGGATGTGTCGCCCGACCACGACGGAATCCGCAACCTCATCCGAAACTGGCTGCGTCAGACATCGTTGACAGAAACCGCCGCTTGGCTCGTCCGTTTCCAGAACGTCCTCAAGATGACCCGACCCAAAGCTGCCGAGGAGACGCGCGACGGCGGCCAGAGACCGACGACGACTATCGATCTACAGGATGAAGAAGTTGCCGGCTTTGCCGCAGCCGCAGGCGCTGCTAAGGATGAGAAAGATGCGCCTTCAAATTCCGAGATGGAGCCTCTGCGCTGGCAGGTCAGGACGTTCGCAATAAGTTGTCTCAACGATATTTTCGTAATGATTGGGAAAGACGTTGCTACCAACGGTGAATCACCCGCGCAGTCTGCCCTTCAGGCCAGAATTGCCGACGTCATCCGCATGGCTTTCTCGGCTTCGACGTCTAGCGTATTGGAGCTAAGGATATGGGGATTGAAGATAATCGGTGCTGTCTTAAGAATGTTTGGCAAGACGCCAGACCCTGATTTCGAGGAGGCGATGCTTCTCGAGCAATATCAGGCGCAAATCGGTTCGGCATTGACACCTGCTTTTGCGGCGGATTCGTCCCCGGAATTGGCCGCGGAGGCTGTCAACGTCTGCGCCGCCTTCATTTCTACGGGTATCGTCACAGACGTCGACCGTATGGGCCGTATATTGAAGACACTTGTTACCGCACTTGAGAATTTCTCGACGGAGACGGAAAATGCCGGGATTGGTGATCTCAAGGGTCTCAGCTCTAATGCGCAGGTAATGGTTAAGATGGCGGTCTACTCGGCGTGGGCAGAGCTTCAAGTGGCCAGCTCGGAACAAAAGTATCTACTCGACGTGTTGAAACCTCATATCGGCACGCTGACACCGCTATGGTTGGCCTCGCTGCGGGAGTTCGCCCGGCTGAGGTTCGAACCAGATATCTCAATGACGCTAGGCCCGCCGTCTATGTCAGGTAGCCTCGATACCATCTACGCCGCCCTGAACCGCGAGACCCTTCTCAAATTCTACCAGGATTCCTGGCTAAAGCTTGTCGACGCTATCGCAAGTCTCATCGAGCAAGATAGCGAATTCGTCTTCGATGCTTTAGACGGGAAAGAGGCTGATGCGTCGGGTACTAATGGGCAATCAAAGAGTGCCGATATCAATTACCGCGACGAACCTGTCGCCTTCTTCTTCGTCCTATTCGGCATCGCATTCGAGGCGCTTGCGACTAAATCGAACCAAGTCGATTCCTTGGCCACCCAGGAACAAACTCTGGAGATACTGCAAGCTCTTAAGAAGATCTTGCATCCGAGCGTTTCGGGACACGCCATCTACCGGGAGGCGATATTTTCCGAAACGATGGACTTGTTGGATCGCCTGGTGCTGACGGAGGGCCTCGACGTTCAGGGGGTAATAGTCGAGATCGCGCGTGCACTTTGCGTTGCTCACCCTTCGGCCAGGAAACAGGAGCAGCAAGACGACGGGGATTTGAGCGAAGACATCGAGCAGTTATTCGAGCTCACTAGGATCATCGTTCTAGTGCTATCCGGCATGTTGCCCAACTTGACCGAGACGAACCAGCCGGTGCGCCATCATCTAACGGAGGAGGCTGTCCTTCTTGTACGGACCGGGCTAAACGCCATAGTGGATGCGGCCGAAGTGTTCCCAGCCATTATCAAGACGGACCTGCATGCTTGTATAATCCATATCTTCGCCACGATATTAGCGACACCTTCCTGCCAGGAGATCGTGGTCCCGCAAGCTCTGCCCATATTCAAAAGGTTCATGGCGACCATGTCTAATTCCCGCGCCTCTGGGGAGGCTAGGTCTGCCACCGATATGCAGGTCGAAGGCTGTCTGCGCCGGTACCTGTCTATCTACTTGAACGCCCAGAAACGCGAGACGCCTACTTCTCTGCAATGCGTCAAGAACTGTCTACTAGCGATTACGATCCTCTTCACCGGGGGGAGTAATCGACTTGCTGCTAACGACCGGCTCGTGGCAAAGTTCCTCGACGAAGTGGTGGATTGTTTAACAGACCGCATGGTGAGTATATATCATTCTATATAGTATTCTTTATCATCGCCTCATGATCATTGCTGACTGACCATCTTGTAGACGGCTAAGATTGCGGCCAATTGCATCCGGTCCCTCTTGCTGCAACCGTCCCCTTCGCCTGCCGATCAGTCCATCGCCCGGTATCTTCTCCCCCGACTGGTTGCTTTTGTAGTCGACACGGAGCCGGAGGACCCGGAGGATTCGCGTAAGCTCGTGGCGCAATCTCTGACGCAGTACGTCGTGACGCTCGGTAGCGGACACGCGCAGATCGCCATGTCCATCGTGGTGCCCACCTTGCTCTCCCGCGCGGCTAGCGAGGGCGCGGAAGTGTACCACGAGACGAGTACGAGGTTGTTGGAGCTGGCGTCGGCGGATCAGGCTGGATTCAGGGGCGTGGTGGCGGCGATGAACGAAGGGCAAAAGGCCTTTATGGAAGAGGTTATTCGGTCGGGTCGGCAGAGCGGCGGTCCGGCGAAGGGATCGAATACCCAAGGCCAGCCGAGTATAGCGTTGAAGATGGATTTTGGAGGTTAAAAGTCACACAGCTGAGTTTCACGTTTAGACGGGGAGGGGGGAAAAAAAGTCACATCTGGCTGGTGTGATGTCTAGGTGGGCTTGTTTGTAACAGGTTTGGGTGCCATATAGCTAACTGCATGTGTTGCATAGAAGGTCATGGTGAAATATTATTCCCCCCTTTATAGCAAGCGAAGGGAGCTAGTCGAATCGAGAAAAAATAGTAATACAGTATCATGATCTCATTACAGATATGGCCGGTACCTGGCTGATTCGAGGATATAATAAAAATAAATAAGCCTTGCTTCTTCCAAGGACCTCTCTCTCATGGGTGATGGTAATAGAAGGTTAGGTACCTGGTAGTTTCATATCCGTTGTGGGTGGGAGCAAATAGTGATTGAACAAGCTTTTTTTTTTTTTCTTTTTTCTTTTCCTAGTTTGATCCACATCTCCATAGGACAAACACAACCTTCATTCAAAGCTCAACCAGCTTACAAGCCACCGTGCATCTCGAGCAGATCCAAATCCATCATCAACTGCATACGCAAGTCCAAGTCGAGGTCCCACACGGAGGAGATGAGCGGGCATTTGGAGGGCAGGTTTGGATCGCGCTCCTTGAGAACGGCCTCGTCGTCTATGAGCGATGATGCGGTGCGCGTCGTCGACGGTACCGACGACGAGGACGACGACATCGGGGTTGGCGTGTCGTCTAGTCCTGGTTCCCATTCTGATTCCGACTCTGCTGCTTCCGTGTCCGTATCGTCTCTCGACAGCGATAGCGATAGGGGAGAAGAAGAAGAAGATAAAGAAGAAGGGGAAGAAAAAGAAACATCGACATCGACATCGCTAAGTGAAGAAGCAGCAGCAGCAGCACGTCGTCTAGTCTCTTCCTCTTCCTGCTTCTGCTTCTGCGCGCAGTCGTAGCAGTCCTCGTCCAACGGGGTGACGGTGGGTGCGTTCCCGGTGCCGTGGCATCGCTGGCGGCGACGGCGGCCGCGATGGTGATCGCGGAGGAGGAGGAGGCGAGAAGTAGGATGGGTTTGTCTGGAGCGCGAAGGGTCCGTGGTGGTGTTGGTGGTATTGGCGTTGGTGAGATTGGAGAAAGTAGATGCGGTGTCGGGACATTCGAAGGTGGTGGTATGAGTGCAACCGCAGTGGTAGGTGAAGAGGATGGTTGAGCACATGGTAAGACTTTGGAATCAATATTGGTCCGAGACTCACAGTCTTGGACTTAGGTTTTAGGCTTGATGCGTAGAGGAAGTTGGAAGTTGGAAGTTGGGAAGGTTTGAGATGGTGCCATGATAATAATTCCAGCTTAGTGATAGAGTTGATGAGTCAGTCAGGGTTTTATGAAACAAGATGGGAAAGAAGAGTTGGAAGGAGGTTTAGCTAAGCTATATACCAAGTAACTCCTCGTCGTGGTTGCAATTGCATTTTGTATCTCCTGTCCTCCTCGTTAGCCTCTGCAGATGCCTTAGGTACCTAAGGTAAGCAAGAAGGTACAATAGGTAGTATACTATACTAAGCCCCAAACGGGATAACACAAGATATGCAACAAATGCTCTTACGAAGTACCTTACATTACCCAAGGTCAGGCAGGTATAAACTGAGCTGTAGTTACAGGCATTTCAGCACTATGCACCCACCCCCTATTAGGAATATTTCGTCACCAACCACCTGACGCACCGTCTATTCCTCCTCTCTTCCTCTCTCTCTCTCTTCCTCTCTCTCTCTCTTCCTCTCTCTCTCTCTTCCTCTCTCTCTCTCTTCCTCTCTCTCTCTCTTCCTCTCTCTCTCTCTTACTTGCAAAGAGATATATCCTTCTAACCCCAGTTCCCTTTCACACGCCCCCAACTCCTAGGTTAAAAAAAACCCCTCTCCCCTATCTTAGGAATGAATTACCGTTGCCGGCACAATCCCATACAAAAAAAAACCCTTCCACCCAGCGCTTTCAGCCGCGGCTTTCTTTTCTATCGAGATGCTCTTCGAGAATCCGGCCACGGTATCGGTATCCCAGGCAGCTGTCTCCTCTCCGTTCCCGACCTGCCCTTCTCGAAGCTGCTATCCCGGCTGAGAGATGGCGCCGTAGGCAAGGCCTTGCGCCCCGAAGACGGTGTCTTGTCCGCTCTTTCTTCCTCCCCGGTGCTCGTGGCCCATAGCAGTAGCCGAGGCAGAGTGGGCTCCTTTGGCTGTCTAGATCTTAATAACGACTTGGCCTCGAGCTGTTCTAGAGATACGTCCGTCTGCCCTGTGCGGACCTTGTAGCTAGCAAGACCTAGTCTGAGTCGCAGCGTCTCTGCTTTCTGCATGCAAATGTCAGCTAGCTGTATACTCTCTCCTTGTCTCTCCCTCTATCTTCCACGATAGCGCGATGTGGAACATACCTGTCGAGCTTCCTCCCTAGTCATAGTTGACCTCCTTCGAGAGGGCGCAGGCGGAGTTGCTGGAGCTGTTCCTGCAGGCTCTGTAAGCTCCGTGTCTGGCTCTGTTACCGCGGTCTCTTGAGTCGAGTTGATGCCGGAGTTATCCAGGAGCAACGACTCTTCTTCCGCAGATTTGGATTTGGACCGCCGGCGTTCAACTCCATCTTCTTCTTCGTCTTCTCGGGGTGAGTCCTAATCCACCACTAAATTAGCCGAGTCGCTTCCACCTAGATACGCGACGTTACAATACCCTTTCTGCATGGCGCTCTTCGTCTGTAACTGTTTTTTCAAGTTCTTTTTCTCCTTCTCCAACAGAGAGGCGCGGCTTCTTAGCTGGTAGTATAAGCGTATGTCCTTGGCGCTGGCCTGCAACTTCTGGGTCTAGCTCAAGAGGCCTCTTAATAGAATCGTCTATTGTGCTTCTGCTAGGAGAGATTGCTTTTTCCTTGAGCTCTAGGTGTTTCGAAGCTGAAATGGGGCTTCTAGAATTCAACTCTATAGAACCCAAGACGCGTCTCTTGCTCGGGGAGGTATCCATCTTCTGTATGAGTTCGATGGGGTATTTGAAGCATGCGATGGTGTGAGGGGGAGGAGGGGGATATTGATTGGTATTCTGTAAATTTGGAACACCGTTTAATCCTGTGTATGGTATGTATGTGTGCTAGCAAGAGGATTGGGTTGAGTTAGGTATTGATTGAAGAGTAAAGAGTAAAAAGTAATAAGTTAGGTAGGTACCTAGGTAGGTAAATAAGTAAAGAGTAAAGAGTAAAAGAGAAATAGACGCGAACGCGAAGTTGTCACCAAGTTAGTACGAATTATTAAATCTACCTTAAGTAAGGTACTTAAACCTGTCGTAATTTCGGTCGCTTGGATGTAAATGACAGGTACTTGTACCTTTTAAGGGTCTTTTTGTAAAGTTCGCGCGCCGCGACTCGACCCGCGCGTCGCACTTCTCAAATGACTTACATACACACTACCTACCTAGGTACCTTAGGTTAGGTAGGCTTATGTACCAGTTGTGCATCATATCGCGCGTACTATTTTATTGACTTATTACCTCTTTCGGCTTGGACTTACCAGTGTGCATAATTTAAGGTTGATGCAACTCTAGCCATGCAACACCAAGCAGACCAAGCAAGCTATCAAGGGATCCTTGCTAGCCGTCAGGTACCATATCTACATTTCTCAAGGTACATTTACCCCACCATTTCGTCAATCCCGCGCGCATCCCACTTCCCAACTTCTCACTTCCACACCATTACTGCCTAGATGTAGGATCGTAGGATCGTTATAGGTACCTATTCTCCATTAAAGCACTTTACCTTAGACAGGTACTTAAGTACCTAGTAGTTGACTTGGATAGGTAGGTTAGGTACTCAACTCAAACTTCACATAGTTGACAAAATCAAACTCGTTCAGAACACTTCAGAATAATATTAACTACGGGTTCTTAACCGATCTTTTTTGGGTATCGTAATGCTCTCCAGCTCTATATATAGTAGCTGCCTCGCACTTAAGAATAAAATCCTCGCCCTGAATCCATTCGCTGCCCGATAAACCATACTTTTTCCACCCTTGCCATTCATCTGGGATCCCTTCCCATAGATCCCAACTCCGCAAATAGTAACCGGAATTTGTAAAAATGAGATCAACATAACCGTGCAACGCCCCATGCCAAGCCCATATCTGGCCCCTACGGCTGTACTTGTATAGACTAGTTGTCTCTTTTTTGCCAATGCCTCGTTATTCGTTGAGGTTATTATTTTCCCTTTTAAATTTTTTTTAAAAAAAAGAGAGAAATAATCCAACCTGTCATCCCTTCACGCCGTATCAAGCGAGTACATACCCGTATCTAATGACAATTCATATTCCTTCGCAAATTCATGGCTCACGTCGTCCCATGAGATCAGTTGCGTTGCATGTTCATCCGTATAACCCATGTCCACCTCGCCGAAGCCCAGTTCGGTAGTGTCCATGTCCGCATTCATGTCCGCATTCGGTCCTCCTCCAAACGGATTCCACAAGTCAAGGCCCATATTTAGCTGCACACTAAGTGCTACACCTTCCGAGACGTCGCTGTTCGGCTCGGAGCCCGCACTATCCTTGCTCGATCCGGGTGTGTCCTTTGGCGTTATTGCCCGATACACGTTCATGTCGAAGATGGCTCCCCCTCCTCCGCTCTCGATACCTCCCACCTGGAGAAGATTTTGCGGATCTATGGTTGCCATCGGCCAAGTCCCGTCCATGCCAGACATCTTCGCACCTGCCATGGTATTTTCTCCACTCTGGGTCCCGGAGTCGGGCTTCGGTGTGCCAGTCTTCGCGGCTACCGCTTTAACCAAGTCGGTCGGCTTGGCGCCTCCCGCGCTACCTTGTCTCTTCATCGACGGTTCGCGGGACATCGGCGTCGCCTCGGCTCGGCTTGCGGGGGTTTGACCCTGCTTCGAGGGATCATGTCCCATAGGTTGTGCTTTCGGGTGGCCATCCGCATCTAATCCGAACGCAAAAGCGAGGCTCTCGGTAGCAAACTTCAATGGATTTTGCGAGGGTTTCACGTGCTCCTCCTCGTAATGGCTTCGTCGAGCCTCTTCCGTAGCGAAACCGGTGCGATGCGCCTCGCAGCTCGGCTCGGGACAATAGAATGCTAACTTATGGGCAGTATTCTCTGCTTGTCGCTTGACCAACTCTGGAGACGATGCCTTCTGGACTTGGGGAGACGAGCTTGCGCTGGCGCCGCCGGAGCCAAGCCCATGCTGCCCGCTAGTTCTAGGCCGCTTGCGAGCGGGCAGTTGGAGGTCCGCTTGGGTAACAGTAGGTTTCCCAGCATACGTGGGTTGACCGTTGGGCGACTGGGCCCCAAAGGGGAACGGAGGGTGGGCGTTAGTTGGCGCAGCCGGTGTTTGCCCGCTCTTGCTAGTAGCTCTTGAATGTATTTTATTCATCGCCGCATTTTGCTTCTCGAGGTTAGCAGCATTTAACGGAGTTGGCGCTCCCGTCGGCGGCGTTGCGGTATTTTCACCAGCCCCTTGTTGTTGAGATCCTGATTCTTGGGGGTGTTGCTGTTGAGTAGCGTTTCTCTTCATGACCTGAGGAAACTGGTTGGCCACGTCCCTAGCCATGCCCTCCAGCATCCCTCTCACGCCGTCAAGCTCGTGCGGTCTCAATGAGAACGCCTTTTTGAGCGTCGTCATCTTCTCCCCATCTGCAAATTGCTTGCCTAGACGGAGTCGCTGGATTGACATCAGTAACCAAACTTCCACAAAACATTGCATTGCACAACTCACCATTTTAAAGAACATTCTGGCGCGGTTATCATCTCGCGTCAGAGCATACCATCGTCCTAAGATTTTGCTAACCTTGCCCATTTCGTTGACCATAGATTGGATCTTCTGGGCCATATCTTGATACTGCTCGGGAGTCATAGGAATTTCGTGGTAAGGCTCCTTAGCCGCATTTATGTGTTCTTCTTGTCCAATAGCTTTCAGATGCTGCATAGCCTCCAACATTTGCGGCTGCTGCGCACCAGCGCCTCCAGCCATTGCCACCTGTCTAGATCTCATCATAGCTTCATATTTACTTCTTTGTTCAGGCGGGAGAGCAGCAAGCTGAGCTGGGGAGGGAAGACCGGTTGGTAGGGGTCCGGTAACCTGAGCTTGCTGAGACGCCGGACGCTGAACCGGTGTGCTCGACGCGTCGGCCAAGTCATCCGTACTCGCACGCTTTAGGCTATTCTTCTGAGGGGCGACCGAGTTTGCTGGGGGGGGAGGACGGTTATTTTGAAGCTGCCGGCCATTCCTCGCAGGTACCGTGGAACCCGTTGAATTGACATCTGGTCCCGCATTTTGCGGCCGTTGTTGTTGGGGAGCTTGGAGGTTGTTGGTAGGGGTTGGTTGCGGAGCAGATACCGTGAGGTTATTGTTAGGTGGCTGCGTGGTTTGAGGCGTCTGCATTTGGGCATTGGGTGCCTGTCCGTTTGCCTTGGCTCTCATCTGGCCCATCTTCATCTGCATGAGAGCGGCTTTGATCTTCTCCTCAGGCCAGCCTTTGAATTTATCGTGATTCTTAGCCTGTTGCAGTTCGGCGGGAGTAATCGTGATGCCCGCAAAGGGAGCCATGTTAGCACCTGGCTGCATCGGCATTTGTCCATTGGGCATTTGCGGTCCTTGTTGGGGCATGTTCGGCTGCTGAGCCATCTGGTTATTTGCCGCCGCGTTCCTCTGCTTCATCATTTGTTGGAATTGTGCGTTCTGGAACTGCTGAAGTTGGTGCATGGTCTGTGGGCTAGCGTTCTTCTCGCTTAGCCACTGCTTCAGCTGAGACCACTTTTTGATTTCCGGTGGCACCGGGTGGTTTTGCTTTAACTGATCCAGTATCCTTGTAGGCACATCGAGGTTCTCCATAAACGCGCTCACGTTGGGAGGAATGGGCATTTGATTTTGAGGTTGCATGTTATTCCTCATCCTGTTCATCTGCTGCTGAAACATCATTTGATTCTGGTTCATCTGCATGGCAGGATTTGGGGGTTGGCCCATATTGCTATTGCCTGGACTGAATTGGGCCATGGGGCTACCCTGCCCGAACTGGCCCGGCTGAGGTTGACCACGTCCAGGTGTTTGGCCCATCCCCACAGCTCTGGCAGCCGAATTAACGGTCCATTTCATGATCATCTCGTTTTTCTTATCCTGCGGCAAGGCCAAGAAGGTACTCCTTTGGTCAGGAGCCATCTGGGAGAGGATGACGTTCAATATATGAGGATTGGGCATGACATTTCCCATCTGCGGTCGCTGGTTACCTTGACTAAAGCGCGGGTCCATCCCTTGACTGAAAGGTCCGTTGGGCTGACCCATTTGCGGTTGCCCTTCCGGCTGGCCCATGACTGGAGTACGGCGAACGGGAGTATTCAAGGTGTTCATGCCGGGACTCTGAGAGATGGCACCACCATTTAATCCGCCAGGCTGACCCTGCATCTGCTTAGCCTGGGCCTGCGCTCGGATCTGCGCCTGCGACTGGGCCGCCCGTTGATCCATCTTCAACTGCTGAGCCTGCGGATGGTTGAAATGCTGTGGCATCTGGTTAGGGATGCCAGGCTGGTTGGGTCCCGGGTGGTTTCCGGGGTTAGGGCCTTGCATTCCGCCCATAGGCTGAGGGGTGGCGTTTCGACCGGGTCCGTTACTCGCTGGCACCACCACATGTCCAGCTTCTTGGGCGAGTAGACCCGCTTTCTGCTGATTCATTATGCTTTCGACGTTTGAAAATGGCCCAAATTCGCTATTCGGGACTCCGACCATCGGTTGTCCAGGCTGACTCATCTGCCGCTGCTGGGCCTGCATCTGCAATGCGGCTTGGTTTCCGCCGCCGTTGCCACCCCCCTGACTCTTATATGCCTGTAGCAGCTGGAGTTGTAAAAGGAATAGCAGAGGGTCCTGATTTTCGGCCCGTAGCTGCGCTATCTGCTGCGGGGGGAATCTTTGATGAAGCATTGCACGCAAGGCGTTTCGCTGAGGCTCCGAGGCCTGATTCAATTTCGACAGAGCCAGTTGCATGATTTTAGCTCGCTCTTGAGGCGGTAAACTTGCCAAGGTAGCATTCATCGGTATTTGAGGACGCATCTGCGCTACGCCCATCTGCATCGGCTGCTGATTGGGATTCATTGGAAGTCCCCCTTGGCCCCCCATATCCATTCCCGGCTGGTGAGGCTGTTGGTGAATTGGTGAGGGCTGCATCTGTTGTTGTAGATGCTGGAAGCCCTGCTGCGGCATTTGTCCCATACCTCTAGGCATCATATTCGGGTTCATCATCATTTGTTGTGACTGAGCTTGGGCCTGGGCTTGGGCCTGGGCTTGTGCTTGGGCATGGGCTTGGGCTTGTGCTTGTGCTTGTGCTTGTGCCGCCGCGGCTTGGGCATTCAAGCTGTTCTGAAGACTTTGCTCATGCGCTTGTCGTCGCTTGAAAAGGTCTTGAACCTTATTATTTATCTTCTGGTCATAAGTTCCCTAGATAAAATGTCAGTTCTAGGTCGCAATACGGACCGAAGAGGCGCGAATGAGCTCACTTTGTCAGGTGAATTTAGAAAGGCGTCTCGTTCATACGATAGCCCGTGGTTAACCAGTTGCTGGGAATCTAGAGCTGGCATGGCGAGGAAAGAGTTGGAGATCCTGGATTATTATGTATTAGCATGTTGATCAGCCGCTATTTCACGGTCCTAAAGACGAAACACTCACAGATTCATCGCGTTGCTAACACGTAAATTGACCTGTACTTGGTCTTGCCAGCCACCAGTCTGAATGGTCTGTGCCATTATCTGCGTATACACCAGATGCGACAGTTGTTGGTGGGGCGGTCGCTGCCTTACACCGCCGCCACCACCCATTTGTGGCATATTGGCGGCCATGGCCGCGGGAGATGATTAAGGTTCGGTCAAAGTTGTAGTCGTACGCGGCCGTTACGAGTCCGGATCGAAAAAAGAGCCAAAGTGGGCCTAGACGAGATATTCAGCAAGAATTTTGCTCGAAAAGGCTTCCCTAGGTCCTATCCAACACAGGTTGGCACGGTTGCTAGCGACGAAACAGCGGACGACCAGAATGTTTCAGGAATATCTAAAACTAAGGTAGGAGGTAGGTTTTCATATGGCACGAAAACCAGGCGTATTTGTTGTTGTGAAGACCAGGGTCGTCGATTACAAGTAGCTCATCTCGGTACAAGGATCTTGGTATCGAAGCGAGTCTGCACGTCCGTGGCCGTGTCGGGTAACTAGATATAGATTTCGCGCCTGCGAAAGTAGAAGTTGAGAGTAATTGAAGGTGATGATCCCAGTACTAGATGAAGTCGGGCGGCCACGCATAGGTAGATTGTACGCGGCGACGATGACGAATTGGGAACAAAAGCCGAGACGAAGTATTGGTATCGGACTTGGAAGACGAAAGTTTAGTAAGAAGAGACCATATATCGATCGATGTCGATATCAATATCAATAGCGCAATGATAAAAGTTATGGACTCTTTCGGAATGAATAAATGGATCCCAAATGACCAAGACGGCGAAATGGATAAGTAAAATACCAATCGTGTTCAAGTCCGAAAAGTTTGGGGAAGACTGGTAAAGAAGTAAACCAGAGAGGTAAGAATGAGATTATGGATGTGGTGATGGTAGTAGGAAAAGAATGAAAGGTAGAGAGCAGTGGAAGGTGGAGGGAATAGGAACGTTGCTTAATTAGAGTACACAGCAGAAACTACTATGGAGGAATAGTAGGAAACAGTAGAGAAACGGTAGGCAGTAGGGTATCCTAGGCCAAGGTTGCCGCGTGCGAGTAGTGAATGATCCATCACCAATAAAGTGAATTTAAATATTGGTAAAGTGGACCCGCTTGGGGATCTCCCACTGACTAACTGCGACTGAGATGCATCCAAGTACAGTACACTTGCAGGTACTTGAGCCGTACTGTGAGGTACAGTGCAGTACTAAAGGCTATCATTGGACAGCTGCTTCTGGGCGGTGGACGGTGGACAGTGGACAGTGGACGCCCTAGCCCTCCTTCAGCAGCGGATTGATCGGTACGTACAGAGTACATGCTTTAGGTACCTAGGGTACATATACTTCAAACCTGCAGGACGTGGATGTACACTCTGACAGTAACGACAGCAAGCCCATCCTATCCCATCCCAGGTTACCCCCATTTGTACACTTGTACATGACAACTGATCGCACTGCGACACTGATGCTGATGTTGAAAGTAAGGTATCAACCGGCCTAGCCAGGCTTTTTTGGGGGGGGAGGGGTTCTCTCTCGAGCTCAACCTCGTCCAAGCTTTTAGGGCTAGGTATGAGATGTAAATAGGCATGGAAATGCCTGTTGTGTGAATAAAATTGGGTATACATACATGTAAGGCAAATATGGGAAACGGGAGTTGTGAAAAACACTGCCGGTACGTCCTAATATAGGTAATCGGCCAACTACCGAAAAGGTATCATGTAGATATGATAGATGTGGGAAACGTAGGCAGGATGTGAACAGCGTAAGAGGTAGGCAGGTAGGTGAGGTAGTGATTGAAAAAGGAATATGGGACTTACCAAAAGGGATTATTGCGTGTCTCGCGTAGAATTCTTTAACGGGCAAAGGCCACGGTATCTACGGGGAGTTGATTTGATAGTCGACGGGAGGTTTTCTGAAGAGGGCCAAGCCTTCGGAGTCGACAGTTGCAAGGTTGATGGATTCGCAATGCCGCGAAAAAAAAAATATCATATACCTTGCAGGGGAGGAGGAAAAAAAGGTGGAAGACGGGTAAGCTGGTAAGCAGACCTTTAACACTGGTGATGTAAAAGAAGAAAAAGAGTATCTCTCAAATTCTGTTGGGCTGCTGAGGTGTAGTAGGCAGTATGAGGCGGTCACCGAAATAGAAAAGAGGAAGAAGAAGAATGCTTTATTTGGGGCTGGCTGTGTTTCCCTTCTTGTTGCTCTCGAAAATACAAGATACGTTCAATTGGGACCAAATGTCTGCAAGCCGCGCACGTACCTACATGAAGTTACTAAGTACCTATCTAAGGCACCAGGTACCTACCTAGGTACCTATATCAGGACAACATTCAGGGCATCAATCACATCTTATAATATAGGTCAAGTCCATTTATGTACCTACGTACCCAGTCTAAGTTACAGTGTCTACCTAGGTATGGGTACGTTACGTAGGAGGTACTATCTAGTTTGACTATAGGTATGGTGACCGAATTTTAAATGCGTACCTTTTAAAAGTTAAAATATATATACTATACACAAATAGAGTTAAAGGCCTCCTGTGTCCAAGTGCATCATGGAGATGGTAATTGAATGGAAAAGTTTATATATGTTAATACCCTTAATGTGAGGTACCCAGATACTACCAAGTAAAACATCCAAAGCCAATTAGTTAGAATATCGCAAACAAGAATACGAATCACTGTCACTACCTAGCAGGCGGTATAGTAAAAGTTGTTCGTCAGTCGAAGGACCTAGTTGTGTGCTTTTTTATCAATCCAATGAAATTGGGCAGGTTTTTCCAACAGGGGTTTACTGCAACTATCTAGAGGTACATTAGCGGGAGGGTGGTACTAGACTCTAGTAGGGAAGGGGGAGGGTATTTGACATACCAGGTACCTACCTAGGTAGCTGCAGCAAAAGTATCGGTATGATTATATAATTACAAGCCTCTAAAACCCTGTCAATAGGTAGCTGTTAACATTATTGCTACCGAGTTTATTATGCCGATAGCATTGTAAGCACCTAGCCTATAATTCAGTACAAATAGACAGTATGTTAGGTTAAGAATTAACATAATGTCAGCCTCAAATAATCCTCGGTGAGGTTTCGGGTACAATGTAAAAACCTTGGAAGTTATCTCAAATATACCTATAGGTATAGGTATTCCAATATGGCAAACTCTAATAAATATGATCGTAAATCCCGTAACATAGTGGTAAAATGCGTAACCTGCAATCTCGTAATCTCGTAATCTTTTCAATTGACTTTTACATATGGTTGTGCTGTAAATACCTAATATAATAGTATTCGAAGTCCTATATTTAATACAACTCATTCAATTCTTTTTTTTCGGTCACCTTGCCTAACATTATAATGTATGTGACGCCCAACAGCCTAGTGACCGTGACTGTCGCCAGTACCTAATCGTGGCTAGGTACCGTTGGTGAAAATGATTTAAAGTACGATTCGTACCTTAGTTAAAGTTACAGGTAACTAAAAGGTTAATTGGAAGCCATACGTTAGCTAAATACCTTACGTATGCACACAAAGGTCGGTACGTAACATTAGTTAACCTGGAATAGGTAGTTCACTGGTGGTTCACGACCGCGAGATACGCTCGTCAGGAAATATGATGTACTTAGTTGCTATAACTGATGTAGCTGTTGAAGCTCCTAATGTGTTCTGCTGCAGCCGATAGCAGATGAGGTTGAGTTCAATATCTACCCAAGGTTGGTATCGCCCCCTTCCCCTTCCCCCCTCCCCTTAGTGTATCTTGGCGCAATGCCATGTAGATAGAACGCTTGCTCGTGTTGCTTACCTCTTTTATGAAGGGGGTCTACCGTAGCCCCTCGAAACAATTATTATCGTTATATTCGAATAACTAGTTCCTAACACCCCATGAACCTGGCCGGATGACAATTTTATACCTAATTTATACCTAACCATTTACATAGTATATAGTATATATTCCAATCGAAACCCTCGAGAAAACGCCCCCAAGAAAACAGTCGATGTGTTGCAAACCAGCGGCAATCTTTACAACGCCTATACGTTTGCAAAATAATAACTGGCTGTAAAGGTAGCAAACGGTACAGGTAGATAGTCGGCTCTACTAAGCTACTACTACTAACCATGCGAAAGGTGTGTATGACGAATACCTAACTGGACATAGTACATATATGTAAACCTCGTGATAGCGAAATTATTTAGCGGTTAGCATGACCCCGTATTGTGACACTCCAACATCTCGGCCAATGTCATAAAACGAACTTAAACAAGAAACACGACACTCTTTATGTTTTTTTTTTTTTCAACTTGTCATATCTATATATACTCTATATCAGGTACGCAGTCAACGGCGCGAATGCCGACCGAAAAATCGGGGCTTGAATCCAATTCAGACCTCAAGGTATCAAAGGTAGCCCCGCGCGAACGCACAATACGTGCTTATACCTCTTGCACGCCGGACTCTATCGATCAATTAGAAGGTGACAAAGTAATCGTTCGGTAGCCTACTTGGATACTTCTAGAAAATGACCAAGTCACTGGTTTTTACGGTGAAAACTTCTTGTAGAATCTGATGCCACGAGGCATCGGTGAAGAGGTAGGCATATGACACGAATAATGTGAGTAATGTAGTGCAAAAGCCCTTTATGACATATGTAACATACTTTGTATGAATACCTGAGCTCTTACAAGAAGCTCTGCATCATAAGCACGGCGTAACTATAGGAGACACGTACGTAATAGGACGAGTCAGCCTCACGCTCCGCTCCTTGTTAATTGATCACCAACATCTTCTCGTAAGGCTGGCTTAAACTGTCTATTGTACAATGCCACTTCCCCGCTCGGGCGATCTCTCGCCTGAAGTCTGCCTAGAACTTTACCCCCCTTCCCCCTCCCTTCCCCAGCGCTGCGCTGAAGATTAACGGAGGTACCGCTAAGCTCTAGTACGTAGTAAGGTACCTAGTAAAACCAGGCGAGATGATCGACAAGATTTCCCATCTGTAAACTAAATCTGTAAACTAAGACGGACGGGGAGCCACTAGGTTATACCCACCTTGGGGATAAATAAGCTACCTACCTTAAGGTTTACATCATCAACGGAACGCTCAGATTAGATATTCGTACGTGAAGAGCATTTTCAACGTCTGCATAGTCAAGTATACCTGCTACCTGCTACTTCCACGTGCGGCAGGACAAGGTACCACTCATAACCTTCGACACCGGGAAGATACCATTCTAAGCTACCTGAGGCTAGGTAGGAGGTCGGTGGGCATTGGTAGGTATTGGGCGGGGCAATCGTGTGATATGCCGCATCATGTTCTGATTATACAAAAGCACAGTCGATAAGGCAGAGGCGGGATGGGATAGGTAGTTGACCGTAGCAAGACCAAAGAAGAAAAGGTAACCCGCCGCGGTTATCTTTCCCAGTTCACTTCCTACCTTCCTAAGAGCATTTACTATTTCAAGATGATTTAGGCTTACGAAGAAGGCACTTGAGTTGAAAATAGATTCAGCTCAGCTAGCTTGGCGTCCCTGCTTGTTTCAGGCAGTGTCAGATTGACCTCCTTCACCAAACCGGAATCAGTTTAAAATGCGCCATATTCCAAGTTCTTTCGCCCTCTATCATCTACCCTCTACTCTCTACCCTCTTTCTTCCACATCATTTTAACGTACGTTTCCAAAAACTCGAGACCGAATGGGATGAAATTCCCAGTAACGTTGGCATTCGAACAAATAATCTTGTTAACTTGATAAAATTCGATTGGTGGCAATGTGACGGTTGCTCCTATTAAACCCCGCCACTTGTATCTGTTGGCTTACAGCTATCCTCGGAAGAGTGAAAATATGCCCTATGACAGGCGTTTACTAGGCGTGTTCGTTACCTGTCAAATTCGGCGCCGAGTAAACGGAAATTCGCATCTAATCAAGGTACAAGTCGGTAATAGGGTGGTTAGAGACGCGATGCTCATATTACTTGGATTATATATCCACCCTATTTCCTTGAAATTCTAATGGACGTAGGAATAATCCCAATGTTGACAGGATAGGCGTGTGTCCACGTCCCGACTCGATTCCCACGCTTGAGATGCTTGGGGGTACTTTTTGGGGGGGGTACGGTACAAACCGGAAGGCCCGCAAATGTTCGTGTCAACAAGGCAGACGATTGTACATGCATGTAGCAGATCAACGGGAGCTACCTTTTGTATGTAGGTATGCATTACCTATGTATATCCTCGTCAGGTACATATTGCTAGTATTATAGCCCAGTTTCTCATAGATAAGCCGGCATGCGTAAATGCACAGTCTAGACTCTAACCTGAGAATCATATGAAGTATAACTACCTAAAGTAAAGTATCTACAAGTTCAAGCTCACATACATGAGGTAGATGATTATCTCTCACGACGGACGTTCGTGTGATCGACGGCCTCCCCCACGGGTTGGCTGGTTGGCAGGTTGGTTGGATGGCTTGATAGCTTTTCTATCAACGAAACGCCATCAACGTCTAAACTCTGGATTAGGTAGCGAAAAGTCCTGTCTTATATACGACGAGTATTATAACCTACGAACCTGGCCGAAGACAAGCTAATAATCATAGCGCGGCAGAACCAATAAAAGGTCGCGCCACCTACCCACCATCATGTTTAAGTTAGTGTAAGCTATCAGTCCGTCCAGGGATTAAATGTTTAGGAACGACGAATCTTGCTCGAGCTAATGTAATTCCATTCTAGATGGGGGGAGAAAGAGAGAGCGCGCAATTGAAGCATTTGCAAGTTTGTTTCATGTCTCAATACGAAAGCTGGCTATCATGTAGGTAAGGAGTAATCACCAGGAACCTCTACGCCCTCGTGATATGTACAAACCTTGAATTGCTTTCAGCCATCACGACACTGGGCAAGGCGATTGCTCTACATGGTAATCAACACCCCCCTTGCCTCGAAGAGACCCCTGATTTACCAGGGTTGGTTAGATAGTCTGGTATGGTAGTTTGATTGGCTGCCTTTCGGGAGAATCAAATGGTCGTATCGATAAGTACCGAAATTCCATATGAAGTACCAGAATAAGTACAATACATGGCTCAAAACTTTGGTGATAATTCGTACTGTATGCATTTTTACCAAAAAACAAGCCAACCTACGTACGAGTCAACGCGGCGTTCCATATTAGAAGCGTGAAAATACAGACATGAAAATTTAAAAAACAAGAAAATTAAAAGACGAAGCTACTATACTAGACATGAAGCAGCACGACAGTCTTGTATTTATTATATGCCCCCTATTACCAAAGAAAAGGGAGTGTTTACAACAACATGAACAATAACACCAGCCGGCAATTGTACCAGGACTAGGCCTCTATGCGTGCAGCTCAAAAGGGTGGGCGGAGGGAGGTACCATAGTAAGAGCTGCGTCGACGCCTGGTCAGAGGAAAAAAAAAAACACTCAGAAAAAGGCGCCAAAACTGGGAAGACATCTTCCGGATCCCGCCGCAGAGAAAAATGTCGGACGACGACCCCGCGGCGGCCAGACAGGGCTCTCACTCAGTTTACTGAGAACTTCGTACGTGCGACAGATAAATAGTAGTATATGGTATTGTATCTACACCTGCATGGCAATTGCATTAATTCATTACCCGGTTCTCTCTCCCCCGGAATGTATTCAAGAGCAAGTAAATAAGGCGGTGAATTTACCAGGCGCAAGAAGCGGAGGGATAATAAAAGGAAGAGAGAAAAAAAAAGCCGAGAGCTTCTCGAAGATGTGGACGTGGAGCCCTCGAGATCTTCCCATCTTCTAATAAATGAGAGAGCTAGGTTTAGATGTGGTAGAAGCTGGGAATCCCTTGCCCTGACTGCGGATCATCTTATTTTAGTCTTTAGAATTCTTACTCCACAGGGTGTGTTCGCTTACCGGGCCCAATGGAAATGTTGTCAACGACCAGGAGCCCTGCCTTTACTAGGTAAGTTGGCCTGGTTGGCTGGGTCCTGCGGTGCCTGGCATCGTTGTGGGTTGCGCAAAAGCATCTTGGTAAATTTGTTGGACTCCTTTTTCCTCTCTTCTCTTCTCTCTGCTCTCCAAGCGTATGTGAAGGTGAGGATGAGAGTAAGAGAGAAGGAGAGGGTGAGGGTGAGGGAAAGAGGGTGAAAATGACGTTGAATGATATGACATATAATGCCTTCGACGGCAATCCAAATCCAAAGCACCTCAAAGCAACCTCAAGCACCCAAAGCGCCACTTCATCCTGCAGAATGTGTAACAGAATGCAGATGGTGGGCGTGGCGAGCGCCTGGTATTCCAAATGAGTCGGTTTGCATCTGCCCCGTCCTGTTTGCCGGCCGAGTTGATCATCTCATTCGCTTGCGTGTGGCACAAAACACACGAAAGATACAAAACATATGAGGGAAAGGTGTGATGGGCGTCCGAGAAAGGAAAGAAAAGAAGAGGTTCGAGTTATTTACCAGCCCAGCCAGCTCAGGTCCATCTCTTCTAGAATCACCAGAAGCCACATTCTACATTCCACACTCTCGAACGAATGCTCTAACGTATGCGGCACAACACGTAGACATGCACGCGATTAGCGTTACAGCAACGAGCAGCCAGCCACTTACTCGCGAGACTTGATGCCAGGCACCCGGATGTAAGTGATCATTGATGCGAGTCTAGTTCCCGCTTGGCCGGATCATTGCCGCGCTTATATTATAGCTACCTATATTATGGTTAATGTTATGCATGATGGTAGCAAATGTTGATCAGATAAAAAAAATGTGTAAGTTTAAAGAGAAAAAAAAAAGAGCTTAACTTACATCACAAGGGGGATTTTCAGATCAACCCCTTAACTTGATTAAAATTCACCGGTAACACGACGGCAGGGCGGACAGGACGGGATAACAGGAACTAAAACCGGTAGGTGGGTTGTCTGGTTGTGGGGAGAGAGAAAAGTAACTTTTCCCCCGGTAGATCGCATACCGTATATCTAATAAAGACATTTTTTAGCTTCAAGTTTAGACTAGCGTTATACTAGTCACCTACCTACCTTTGTACCTACCTTTTTATCTTATACCTATTCATCCTTATCTACATAACTTATGCTAGCTATGCAGTCATACCTAGCATACCTATCACCTGTACAATGTCCCCACATATGTGAGGTCAGTTTAAAGTGAAGCTCGAACCGCATAGGGCAGCTAAACATCAACCTCGAAACCTAAAAATTACTTCTTTTCCCAGGTACCTTTTATACAATACATTTATATGATACATCATTACCCAAATAAACTAAATAAACTAAATACCCAAACGTATGGCTTACAGAATGGCACCTCCCAGGTCAGCTTTAGACTTCCTGGACTTTGTAAACGCCTCTCCTACACGTATGGCTCTCTCGTCATGCTAACCTAACCCCCTCTTCCCCCCTCCCTCACCGCTGACAACTCGTCTATATAGCATATCATGCCGTTCATAATTCCATCGAACGGCTAGCCAAAGCCGGTTTCGCTCCCGTAAGGGAACGTGATAACTGGTCTTCCACCCTTCGACCAGGTGGGAAATACTATATGACCCGAAATGGTTCGACCATTGTCGCGTTTGCCATAGGTGCCAAATGGAAGCCTGGAAACCCCATTGCCATGCTCGGTGCTCACACTGACTCTCCATGTCTGCGCGTGAAGCCCGTGAGCAAGAAGAGCAGCGTTGGTTTCATGCAGGTTGGCGTCGAAACCTATGGCGGCGGCATCTGGCATAGCTGGTTCGACAGAGACTTGTCCATTGCCGGCCGTGCGTTGGTTAAGGATGGAAAGGGAAACTTCGTTCAAAAGCTTGTTAAAGTCGACCGCCCCATTATCCGCATCCCCACCCTCGCTATTCATCTTGATCGGTCATCCGAGTTTAACCCTAATAAGGAGACCGAGCTATTCCCCATTGCCGGCATGGTGGCCGCTGAGCTGAACAGGGCGGGCAAGAGTGAAACCCCTAAGCCGACAGAAGCAAAGGAGGACCCCGAGGAAACTTTCCAGCCTCTTAAAGAAATAACCGATCGCCACCATCCTTACATTATCGAGCTAATTGCCGAGCACGCTGGGGTTCAAGTGGCTGATGTAGTCGATTTTGAAATGGTCCTCTACGACGTCCAAAAATCTTGCCTTGGTGGCTTGAACGAGGAATTCATCTACTCTGCCAGGCTAGACAACCTAAACATGACATACTGTAGCGTGATGGGATTAATCAATTCTGTTTCGTCTCGAAGCCTTGATGATGAGACCAGTATTCGCCTAATCACCTGCTTTGACCATGAGGAGATCGGCTCTACATCGGCTCAAGGCGCTAATTCGGATTTGTTACCTGCAGTTGTCCGTCGACTATCTATCCTCGCTGGAAAGGGGCACGGGGACTCGGCATCAGACAAGTCTTGGGAACATATTAGCTCGGACCCCGAGATCGATCTCTCGACTGCCTTTGAGCAGACGATGGCGGCATCTTTCTTGGTCTCGGCCGACATGGCCCATTCGGTCCATCCTAATTATGTTGGAAAATATGAATCCAACCACCAACCCGAGATAAACAAAGGTAATAAACAGCCCTGACCCTTAGAAAGCTAAAAGTTGTTGGCACTGACTTTAATTTTTTTTTAGGGGTTGTAATTAAGATCAATGCAAACCAGCGCTATGCCACGAACTCTCCTGGAATTGTTTTGTTGCAAGAGGTCGCAAAGCGTGCGAGTGTACCTTTGCAGCTATTCGTCGTAAGGAATGACTCGTCTTGCGGCAGCACCATCGGCCCTATGCTGTCTGCTAAACTCGGTGTCCGGACATTGGATCTGGGTAATCCTCAACTGAGTATGCACAGTATTCGTGAAACGGGGGGGACCTACGATATCGAGCACGCGATTAAGCTCTTTGACGGATATCTATCGGACTATTCAGATCTTGAGGCTAAAATATTTGTCGATTAGGACGGAGGTATGTCTCTTATCACGTACCATCCCTTCAAGCAGAGCACGCGATGTATAGTAACATAAGAGCAATGACAAGTATAAACTATAAACAGCGCTGGTGCCTGAGCAAAGACTATACTCGGTAACTACATCTCGGACTGAGAAAGTTGAAAGTGTTGGGTCGATCAGAAATATAATGTTCACTAACTATTGACTTTATGTGAATGACCATAATCCTCGTCATCGTCGTTCGCCTCGTTTATAGCAACGGAAGAGTAAGTGAACAACTTTAAAGCACCGGTGAATAGCTTAGGCATAGAAACAAAGTTCCGACGACACGCAAGCCTTGACGAGCTGTCGCCTCCTACTTAGTGTAGTCGGTGCTTAACTTTATTGAGGTCGATGGCGAATAACTACCACATCCCCCAATGTTTATTGTTAATTTCACTCGAGAACTTCCCGTTCAAATCAATCAATCACTCTATCACTCTATCATTCTATCACTCTATCATTCTATCACTCTATCATTCTATCACTCTATCCTTCTATCCTTCTATCCTTCCTATTAGCTCATAGCATACCCTAAAGGAGAGATACACACACGTCTATCCGTCTCGGAACATAAAAAAGGATAACGACAACAGCAGCAGTAGCAGCAGTAGCAGCAGCAGCTACCACAACGTTATCAACAAATAACAATCAAACTACCATCATCAACTTAAAATCAACATCAACGTCAACCAAAAAACAGACACAATGCTGCCTTCATCCTGGTCCTTCACCTACCGCACAGTCGCCTTCAGCATCTGGCTCACGCGCCCCACGCCGAGCCAGATCCTCGGCCTGACGGACGCGGAGAGCGCGTGGCTGCGAGCGAACCCGCTTCCCCGGGGTGCGAACGCGCTGCGCCCGCTCCCGCACGCGGCGCGCGCGGACATGGCGTGCTCGCTATGCCGGGCGGCGGTGGACCAGATGAACGCGACGGACGCGGAGGCCGGGGCCTACATGGGGTCGAGCACGGCGGGGCGGACGACGACCACGACGTTCCTGTGCGGCTTCCACTTCTGCTGGCTGGCGCGCGCGCGCACCGACGCCCACTTCCGCCTGCTGAGCCGCATGGCCCTGGTCGACCCGCGCACCGGCGGCATCCGCTCGCCGGACCCCGCGGCCATCGACCTGTGCCTGCGCCGGGCGCGGCTGCTCACGAGCAGCGAGCCCGAGGACGGTGGCACTGCTACGACGGCGACGGCAAGGGCGCGGGCGAATGCGGGCTGGTTTGGAAACATAGGGGATGGACGGCCGCGAAGGGGGCAGACGGAGAGGGGAGATGGGGATGGAAATGGAAATGGAAATGAATATCAGGGAGATGTGGAGGAGGATGCGTGCGACACCGAGGTGGGAAATAACGAGCATTGAATTGCATACCTAGGTACCTAATCTAAGGTACTGCATGATACATACGAGTAGGCGTTTGGGGTTCTGTCTCTGCGCCGCCACGATGTTGCTAAGTTAAAGGGGGGGATATGGGATGGAGATATGGGGTTGGGTTGGGAATAACTTTTGTCTTGGCTATTTCTCGGGGATACGTCAGTGTACAATGGTTGGTTTATTTGTGGTTTTTTCTTTTCTGTTTCTTTTTTTGGTCGGGAATTTCGAAAGATTTAGAGGGATATACCCAGACCGCCGGGATATCCCACCAGCGGGACGGGCCTAAATGAATCTGGGGATAGATGGACAGACGAGATAGAGGGATCGCTTACAGCACTGCCGGAGTTCAGACGTCGACAAATCGCCGAACTATCCCCTCCCCCTTTTTTTTATTACTTGCCTTACTACAACAACGACGACAGCAACAACAAAAACAGCTCTATGTTCTCGAATCTAGATATTCTAGAAGAATTTGTTTGCCTTGCCCTGTCAGCACACGAACCTAGCCGAGGCGGACAGATCCGCAACTTTGGAAGGCTTAAGGTTCCAATCTACCTTCTTTTCACCCAAACTCTACATGTTATCGCCGACGACCTAGTTGCCTGGAAAAATCGCGACCACTGGCCTAATTCTTTATTGACGATGGAAAACACTCTTGGAGGAAATAATTAGGGAACACAGTCACTACTTTCGGTATGAAGATCGATGAGAAAGCTTACCATTGCTCTTTATGGTTGAATATAATGCATAACTATCATTTAACAAGTTAATACCTTGGGTTAGTACAGATACTGTACCTGTTATAAAAGTATTTGCTCCCATAGATAATCCGATTATAGGGGTAAAATGACCGTGTTACTATGTACAAACTCGGTTGTTCAGACTGTTCATAGCGTGCTTCCAGTTAATTTACAGCTATTTCTCCAAAACATAACTCATTAACACAGGCCACTAAGAACGTGATGTTTCTTTTTTTTGACTCTTAATTTCTGTTCAGTTACATGCTAAAGGCATCTCGCCATTGCTAGCTACGATTCCAACGTTCATCTATAGTCAACGAATTGCGGTTGGTATAGTGAGCCAAACTCCTGTTTATGCAATAAGACATCATTTCTGCCCCCATCACCCTGCCCCCTACCATAGCCTCCTATCCTCCAGGTCATCTCGAATCTTTCATTAGACTCAATAGATATTTTGAAAATGTCTTCTTATCCGTCGACGTAGTCATTGCTCGCAGGAAATCGTTTCCGTCAATGCCGAGACCAGGGAAAAGTGTCGTTTGTAGATGCTCCAAGAACGACGCTCCCGTCTTGAGGTATATGGCCTGCTCCAGCCCGGCGATTTCGTGGAGGACTTGCTTAGCCTGGGCATCCGTATTTGGGTTGAATTGCGGATCACGTAGGACTTCCCAGCATACCGAATGAAACCTGTCGATGAGGAACTGATCAAAACCGGGGATGACAGGCGATGGAGATCCGGTAGGTGCTGACGGGTTTGCCGAAATGTTTGCTACGTCCGGTCCGCCCCAGGCACCGGCCATCTTCGAGAGGAGCCCGAGGGATAATCGACTCGCCGGGAGGCTTCCCGAACCAGGTCCGATATCTCGAGCTAAGCCTAGGATGGAGGTGATTAGCGATTCGAAAAAGCCTTGGTTCGCCTCTGACACGAGTACTCCGGCAAGTTCGTTGTTTAAGATAACCCCGATAAATGTTAGGTACTCGCGGCGGAGCTCGGCAAGTTGAATCTCGTCGTCAGTACCGTTGATCGGCTCTGACAGCCCACCAAAGACTCTCTGCAGCAAGGGCGTAAGTAATTGGTTGAGCACCTCGTATATTTCCGACTTGAAGCCGTAGACAACCTGGTCCAAGAGTCGGAGGAACATTGCCATCTCGTCCTTGGACGAACTTCGGGATAAGAGGCCGTCGATCCATTGAGGAAGCTGCGGAAGCACAGCGGATCCTAGCACGCCAAGAAGACGCGAGAAGGCCGATCTGCATGCTGTACGGATTTCGGAGGAAGTATTCAATTCTCTAAGCGCGATTAAGATACCTTCAGCGGCACGTGCAAACTCGTCGGATAGGGCCTTTGCCGGGGGTGGTCTTTGATTGGAAGAATTCGCCCCGGGAGTCCAGTCCGAAAATCCATGTGCCAGAGTGCCTAAAGCCATAATGATATGATGTATCTGGAGTATAGCCTGGGCATCACTGTTCCTAGCTCTTGGGAGGTGCTGCTCCATATCGGCGAATAAGGGGTCCATGACGGAGCGGGCATAAAGCGCCTGCTTTTCGATAGGAGTCGCGCTAGTTGATGAAATGCATCCAATAGCTTCGAATAGATAGAGCTGACTGGTAAAGATGGCATCGGCAGAGTTATCGGTCTGATCAGAGGACATATCGTCATCGGCATCATCTCCTGGAACTTCCGCCTGGATGGGGAGAAGATCGCTGATAGACTGAATGACCGTCTCGGCCACATTCCCCACCTGCGCTCTTAGGTGCTTCACGAAACGATGGAAGAGGTACCATGAACGAGTACGAATCCTTACGTGGTCGTGATGCACAAGCCGGACAAAATTTTCGAGGACCTGACCGATTAGTGAAGTCTGGCTTTCAAAAAATGCGCAATAGCGGACGCAGATCTCCATGTAATGCAAAAGGATTGCTGGGTGAGGGAAATTTGCAATTCCTATTTGGATAGATAACAGTCAGCATATCCCATCAGCCCGGATGAGTCTAGGTTCCGAATTATACATACCGGATTGGACCATTTTGGTCATCATCGCCATAAGTCTTTCGGATGCTGCTGGAGAAGGCTGATTCTTGGGACCTAGCCCCTGATTAGGCATGGCAAGCTCACCGAATAGAAACATCTCATGAAGAGCCAGGTCAACATCTCTCCAGTCCATTTGAGAGCCTTGCTCATCTAAGGTCTGGAAGGTATTCGCAACTAGGTTGGTCAGAACATCAATGTAAAGGTTCTGGTCGACAGCTGCTACAGTTTTCTGTAGGACTTGAAGCCTCTTCCGTAACTCTTGGAACTCAGCCTCGTCTGTTTGCTCGTCTTCATTTCCCCAGGAAGACGTCTCGTCGTATCGCATCTTCATGATGATGGCGTTCAGAATTGGAGGCAGCGTCTCAGAAAACGAGGGGGGTAGTTCGGAGAGTTTGCGGAAATAGGCTAGGACATCTGTGAGCGATGGTATAACCGTAGAGCATATTTCGTCGTATTCATCCGAGAAAAACCGTAGCAGGAGGGGGATGAAATCGTGGAGGAGCTGATTCGATTTAGCTCTTGTAGCATCATCGGTAGATCGGTCTTCTAGGACTCTAACGATATCGGCCACGACGGTGTTAACTAATTTCGCGACAGCTTCACCGAGGTCGGTATCATATCTAGGGGTGCCTTTAAATTCGTTCAGCGGAGGGCTGGCTATGAGCTGGGCTATTATGTCTCGTAGATTTAGGAATGATATCATCTCTGCCTTGTCGGCCGGACGCATTTTCTTGCCCACAATCTCGGTGAATGCCTCAACGGCCGCATCCCTAACCTTGTCGTCGCCGCCGGTCTCGTTCGAGCGGCCGACCAAGGGAAGGATCAGGTTCAGCATGCCATCGTTGATGATAAGAGATATGTCGATCCAGCTGGCCCATTTGCCAATGACTTTGAGGGTCATCTCGAGGATGCCGTCATTCTGATTTCCATATTGAGCGAGAAGATCCTTCCAGGACTGAGCTACCTTCCCAACGTCACGCTCTCGCATAAGATCCTTGAGTTCGGTGTGGCTGCGGGCCTGGACGTCCTGACGCACAAGCAGGACGTCGGCAATCTCGTCGTGGATGGAGCCGAGAATGCGCAGGTAGAGGATAACACCGGCAACGTTATCACGTTGGTTACTTCCAGGTAATATGGTGAGAGCTAGGACGTCGTCGAGGAAGCTTTCCCAACCTTGCTTGTACAGCGAGACAAAGAGTAGGGTGAGGGTTTGGGTGAGCTTGTTTTGTAAGGTAGGAGAATCTATCTGGACTTGGTTGGTGCCGTAGGTAGATCGTACATAGGCTAGCAGAGCCTCTCTAAGGCTGAGCAAGGCCTGGGTGTCGAGAGATTGTACGTGGATGGCATTATTAACGATCTCGAGGCTGACGAGTCGGACAACATCGGAGGGCCTCGGTGTTCTAGCAAATAGACTGATACAGACTTGCCACGCGTGGGGATCGGCACGTAGTTGATGTAGAAAATCGAAAGCTTGAGTCTTTAGGGCTTGGTCGGAGGTAGGATTCCATGCGATCTCAATGGCATTCTCGATCTATAGGATATAGGAAGAGCTAGGTTAGCTAGAGAAGGAGAAGACGATGATGATGTGGAGAAAAAAAAGGTCATCTACCTGAGATTCCATCTTGCTAAGACGCCGGATCCGAGCCCTTCAACTTATATTCGGGCTATATTACGTATCACGTATCACGTATCGAAAATATCTGAAGATGCTTTGGCGATTACGATAAGTTCATGCAGCATGCTGCTTTACCATGGCTTGGGGGGAAAGAGCGGTTGCTAGGTGAAGTTTGTTGTTCCAACGGTGGAGGTAAAAGAAGGTATAGAAGGTATGATGATATATTTAACGGAGTAGGTAGGTAATTAAGAGGTACGACTTTTTAGTTTAACGAATTTCAATTTCTTTCAATAATTCAAGAGAAGTAGCGTTTGCAGATACGAGAGTTGAGAAGAGAGTATTAGATTTTAGTGGTTGTCTTTTTATTTTTATTTTTTTATGCCGAATGTCAATTCAAGTGATAGCATAAAAAGGCGATGTCTTTCTTGTGTCTTTTTTTTTTTTTTTTTTTTTGCTGCCCGCCATCCCACCTGCCCACTTACCTTGGTTGTTTCTACTACCCGCTTTGAGCCTGCCTTATGCCTGAGCCTTTGAGGTACTGGGGTACTGTCCCTACAATGCCTATTCTTTTCCCCCCACCTACTCGATTTAGCGTTAAATCTCTTTCACACGTCAATTTTAGGCATAATTGGGTAGGCGGTGAGTCCTCATTAGGTCTGTCTTCTCTCCCCGCAGTGGGACTGAGACGTACAGCTAGGTACGCCTAAATTGCCCATGATTGCTTTTAGATGCATACCTTCCCAATCTTATACAACTATCAGATGATTAGCAGTCATTGAGGATTCGAGGTCTCCTTCAACCTGTTCTTAATCTTCCACAGCAGGACTCCCCCCCTCTTCAAAACCCAAAACCTCGGAATCAATTGTGAATAATTTAAACCCCGAGGTAAGCCTTGTCCATTGCTACCGTAACACCCTTCCCCGGGTAGTTACTACAGCTCTTCGTCGAAATCCTGCTTCCCATCTCCTAGAGTGACAAGGATGAACCGCATGAGGCTTTTTATATCCAGGATAATCGATAGTATGGTATGATACACTTATCTTTAGCGTTGCCCTAACGTGCCACACTCTCCCGTCAGCCTCGAGAAATAACCTCCTGCTTCAGGCTTATTCAATACCACGACTAGAGTCGAGGCGCGAAGAGAAGCGATTCCTGCTCAAGTCATCCGTGCTAGAGATCTAGGTATTCCCGGGTGTAGCATCATATCACCTCGAACCTTGCTCATGTGCTACTCGCAGGCTATTCCCTCGGTCATGTATAGAGCCTGTAGTCAAATCACCATGGGAGGGACCTAATGCTATCCATATTAGAATCCTTAGTGTTAGGATATAAAGCTAGAAAAAGAATGTGCCGCTACGCTTGGGGCTCGTGGTCATTAACTCAAGAGGCAGGAAACGAATAACAGTATTGGTAAAGCACGTTGAATCTGTAATATCGTAACTTTGGACCGCCCGGCCGATATCGAATATCGAGACTTGAGAATAATAAAGAATAAAGGTTCATCGATGGTCTCGAGATCGGATTAGAAACTGAGCCTATGATAGCATCAGTAGTAAGTTCAGCCGACCATCATATGCACTCCTTTGTCATGATCGAAAAAGCTCAGCGAATCGACAACAGCAACTTCAACACCTAGGCTTCGTTCTTGTTTCGTTCTCGCAGAGGGCTCAATGGAGTCAACTGACCACAGATAGGCAATTAGCACCTGGGCTTTCTTAACCATCATATATGGTCATGGTTGATGAATCGACCCTGGGAGTAGATGCGCTCATCTAGCCGTTATCCCGTTGTGACCTTGCGTGATCTCGAAAACGTGCAAGGCTTAGCTGGTATTTGCGAAGTTGACATATTCGTCCCTGCTGTTGGTGTCTTCGAAAGAATCTCTAGGGACCTCATCGTTATGGCTAACTTCGATAACCAAATCTCATCCAGGAAAGGGAACGAGCTCGCTCACGTTGCCAACGCGGACGAAGCTTGGCGCAAATGTAGGTCGAGAGACGGAAAACACATGGTATAAATGAGAATATAAGAAAACGAGATCATGCAATCAAATATATCTAATACTCCTTTTCTTAGTCGCGCCCTAAGAGAAAGTAAGCTCTTCCAAGAAACCGGGGGCGATGGGAGCCATCCACCATCTAACAATGTAGTCCGAGCGCCATGGAATGAATATTGTAACGTTCACCTACCTAGTTCACCCACAGGGTCGCGAAGCGAGTGTCAAGATACGCGGAACGATCTAATTAAAATTAGATGATATGCCGTCTGACGAAAAAGCTTGTTGGTGCCCACTGTGGGATCGTGCACGATGGGACGCAAACGAGAGGAACATTGACGACAGACAACACTGGTATACCCGATACAGCAATTTGCTATCTTGAGACATAGTGACACGATACGTAGGTGGCCTTCTTATTTGGTAGGTTAGGTTAGGTAGGTAAGGTAAGGTAATGTTTCTAGACATGGCGTACACACATCACATCATCATACAAGGTATATGTATCATAATTCAACCTTCTAATACATGCTTCTTCCACGCTCGAACGACGTTTCTTTTTTTGTTCTTATTACAGTTCAAGATTCTAATCCTACATAGGAGGTAGGTATGATATGATGCTTTAATTAGCACGCCTCACATACTATGGTAGTGCCTATGGGCAATGATGAAGGAGCAAAAGAGACCCAATAAACGGATGGGTTATGCATCCCTCGTAGCTCAGCCTTGGCATAACACTTGACCCGTTTTCTATTTCGGATATTTTTTTTCGGGTAGGTTCCTAAGAACCATAACACGTCAGCCACTCTAAGTTCTACTATGTAGCAAATCCATCCACATGGGCAGGATCGTCAGGGAGAAATTGACGAGGAGCCGCTCGCTGCTTCTCACTACTTGCCTAATCGAGCCGTTCGGTCTTATTTAGCAAAATCCTTGACCCGATATCCAATCAATCATATCATAGAACCGACAGAACGTGACGAAGATGGTAGACTCGACATAGAATGTCAGGTGGTTAGCAGGACAGGCGTCTAGAGCTGGACCAAGCGCCCCTCCCTCTTCTTCCATGTTCCCAAGTTCCTACGAGATGAGACTAGGATTGGCGAGATAAAAGGGACCTAAAGCAAGAAGCCTCCCGTTTAATTTGAATATTAGGTCCGTAGATCTAGCATCTAGGGAGGGCCCAACATGTGTTCCTGCATTAGCGCACCTCTTTTCGAAAACGCCGGGGGCGGCATTGGCGCAGAATTGCCGCCACCAGTTTTCTTTTGTAGCCTTTTTTTTTTTTTTTTTCCTTTTTTTCCTTTTCCAAAAAGGAGGCCCTCCCTTGAAAGGCAAACATTAAGCGAACGACAGTCAGAGCGGCCGCGGGGGAACCCACCTCCTAATGGTAAATCCAATACATACCTGGATGTATATCGACATGTGAGAGGTGCATGTATGAGACGTAGAGATGTAAGTATATCAAATAATAAACAAGCACAGAACTACCTAACCTAATGTTCTCTATCTCTTTATTTTATTGTCATCTTCGGATCTTGATACGTAATATATCTCGCATAGGCTTCAAAGCCCTTAGTTATCCTCTAAATATCTTTAGACCGCCAAGTAGTATTAAAAGTTAGCCTCTGTTTAGGTCCTCTTAAGAATTATGGAGGTCATTTCGCACAATCAATGCTTGTTTGCTGGTGGCCTCCCAACAAGCGACCAATCTGATCTTCTAAAATGCTTCCTCGGTGACATTCAGCTCCGCCAACGTTCCCCATCCTAGTTCGATTTTATAAGTGGTAAGGATTTGCCATTTTTGCGGAGTTGAAACACCCTTGCGAGAGCGTTCCTTACCACCACCAACCGACCGTTCTCTATCTATCCGTCACTTTTCACCTTAGGTTGAAACAATGGCACATTTTCAACGCCGTTGCGCCACATGGAGCATGAACTAACAACGAACCAAGGAAACGACTAATCGAATAAGTCGATACGCTAAAGTAGCAATGCAATGATCGTTCCAGGAACTTGAGTTGAGTCTTTGAAACTTGTTTCCGTAATTAAACCCCCATTATGATTATGATTATTGTTCTTCTTCTTCTGAGGCTCATAAAGGATTCTCTAATTACTGCTATGTATGTACATAGACTTTCACAAGTAGACACACAAGTAGACAAGAGAAGAGATCACGCCTTGTAGTCGAGTTGGATCGTAAAAAGCCGAGTGGAGCGAATCCCATGCCATTTCGACATAACCCCAGCTCTCTATGTAACTTGAGTTCCTTGCCTGTTCCTTGCCCATAACCTCTCCACCGCTGATGCATGGCTGATGTTGTTCTCCTCACCTCTCTTCTAACTTACATACACCACTACCTATGTACACTACAACCCCCCCTGGACGCGCTAGCTTATAGGCCCATGGTGGTGTTTATTCTGTTTAATTTCCCTTCTGCGAGGATCGTCCCCTATTCGGAAATCCTTTGTGCTGCTCAAGCTATTAATACTCGACTGCCTCTTCCATCGACACCGTCTTTCTTTCTTTCCTTTCCTTCAGCTCACCAAGCCATCACCGCTATTTTAGTGATTTGACTCAGCTTTTGACTTCGGTCGTCCACTCTTTCACCAAACGCTCTTATAAGCTTTCAGCTTCAGCTTTTTTACATTCTTTATTTCTATATAAACTTGTTCGTTTTTTTACGTTCAAATAAACCAATCAAATAACTTTCAAAATGCGTTTCGCCGGAGCCGTTATTTTCGCTGGTGCCGCTATGGCCGGTAGCACTCTCTACGAGACTGACTACGTTACCATTACTTCTTGCGCTCCCACTGTCACCGACTGCCCGGCCCGCTCTACTGTCACCAGCAGCACCGTCTACCCGGTGTCCAGCTCCGCGACCGTCCCTGGATACCCCGTCGAGACCCCCGCCCAGTCTCAGCCCGGTTACCCTGTTGAGAGCCCTTCTTCCTCTCCCTCTCAGCCCGCTGCGACTCCCTCCGCCTCCCAGCCGGCCGGAACTCCCTCGTCTTCTCAGCCTGGGTACCCCGTCTCCAGCCCCGTTGTGAGCAGCAGCAGCACCGCCCCTGTCCAGAGCTCGGCCAGCACTCCTGTCGCTGTCCCCAGCTCCAGCAGCGGCACTCTCCCCGTCTCCACTGCTACTCCTTCCCAGTCTGCTCCCGGCTACCCTAGCGGCCCGGCCAGCTCTCCTTCCGGCCCGGCTAGCTCTCCCTCCAGCCCTGCCACCTCTCCTGCTGCTCCTTTCTACCCCACCTCGGTGATCCCCATCACCTACACCACCTGTGTCCCTACCATCAGCGTCAGCTACTCCACCGTCACCGTTAGCGCTTCCGTCCCCGCCGGCACTGCTCCCGGCGCCCCCGGCGCTCCTGGCAACTACCCCACTGGTGGCTACACTGCTTCGTGAGTATTCCCCGCAAAGAAGAAAGAGGCTCTACTTTTTTCTATAAAAAAAGCAATATATAGCTAACATCCACTATCAGCAACCCTCCTACCGGCTCTTACCCCACCGGTAGCCCCATCCCCACTGCCGGTGCTTCCACCATGGCCGGCTCTGGTCTCCTCGCCGCCGCCGCCGCCGGTGTCGCCGCTCTCCTCTTCGCTTAAGCGCTGAGCGACGGTGACGTCGATGTCGATGTAAAGAATGGTTTTCTCTGTTAATGATTTCGAAAGCCGCTTGGATGGATGGCAAAATGTCAAATGTATATGAGGCGTGAACTGGAGAACGGTTCGGTTGCATGTGTACTTAATCCTTAATAGCGTTTTTTTAGGGCCTCGAATGCCTATTTGGACCACAATTACTTCATTCGACGGGTTTCTTTCTCGCAGATTACGATTTCTTGATTCTGTTGCTTGTGTGAATGCGTGTAGATTCTCGGTAGCAGTACAATACCTAATGGTAATCCCCAATCCTAATCTTTCGGGTCCAGTTCGGGTTTTCCGTCTGGGAATGTCCTTGAAGGGGTTCCGACAGAGTTGCCCGTTTGGTAAGATGGTCGTTGATCTTAATTCGATCTTTCGGTGTGTAATTTCCGATCCTTGTAGGAAGATCGTTGGACAATGGACCAATAACCTTTTGCGACCCTTTTTTTTTCCTGCGCGTGGCCGGGGAATTGTTATGCATACATGAACGGTTGTGATTCGACGGTAACTTGACAGGTAACTCTTGCGTATATTGCGACCTGTTGTTTGAAGTAACACCTTCGCGGCTGTGTTCATGTCTGGTTCTCAAGAGTTCTGTAAGTAACGTCACACAGCTCGGGCAAATTTCTGTTGTTTCGGGCGGTTAAGTGCTCTTAGCAGTCTGTCGTCAGCCATTCCCACGCCCTGTTTCGGTCAGACCTATTCAGGTTGAGCAGCTAATTTAAGCAGCGGTCCTGCTCGACGCTGTAACGTTGTGAAGAACCCCTATTTGGTATGTCTGTTTATATATATCAATAATCAACTTGGCAGCTTGGTTGGCAATTCCCGAAATACGGACATCCCTTCCGTTAGATATTGGATTTACTTGTTATGCCCCTCATTCCCATAAATCCAATGCGGATATGTTTGTTTTCTCTTGATGTTGTGCTCGACGTTGTGTCACTCGTTGCTGTTATTGCCTTAGGCATACCCTGCAGTTTACAGTTCAGGGTCTATACCGTCGTTCTTGAACTATCTACAACCTAGCTTAAGCTTAACTGTTAGATATAACTATTCCACAAGTGGATTACGGCGGTGAAGTGGTGTCGAGTTTAATACGAAACTCTACGATAACCTCAGACAGACCGTCAACTAAATTCCCCTATCCAATAAACCCAGACACAATCAAGGTAGTCGAGACTGGGCTAATCCTTTCGTCCTAAGCACACGAGAACACGAGAACACGGGAATTCAAATCCGCAATTGATAATCATGGATTTACTCCGGCGAGAAGTCTACGGCCATGTCGCGATCTGTAGCAATCTTATTGTACCTTTGTATGTCATTCGCCATCGCGTACACCTGGGAGCATGTCTCCTCGGCCCGCGCTCCAAAACGATGGGGCCATCGTAGTCGCTTGTAAGTGAAGAACAATGAACCGGGGGGCTTAACCATCTTAGAGCGCAGAGCGAAAGTGCCGTTTATCAGTATCGATTTGCAAAACTCTTGCAATAGCCCGCGCGTCACACGATGCTCCTTCATCTTTGACTGTGACGTTATAGGTAAGCATGGGATACACGCATCGACATATAATGACCCCCGTAGGACATCAGCGTCCGTGGATTTCTCCCAGCCTTGAGTCCACGCAGAGGAATACAGGGTTTTTGCGTGGGTCGACCGTGTGTAGCGCCCTGGCGTTTCGGAGGTTGTGCTACTGCGTCACAAGACTTTCCGAAAGCAGCCAAAGTGATCTCCATCGCATATATATCAGTATGAGAAATGGTGATGAGACATCCAGGGTTGCCTTTGCTGGTGTAGTGGAGGCTTCGAGACTACCAGGGATGTGTGGGTATAGCAGAGATATGATGGCTAGAGCGAGGCTCTACTGTCTATATAAAGGGCACCAAGCTCTCCCGCAAGAGGATAGAGGGCCAGGTGTCACTACGTTGACCTCAATATACTACACGGACAACCATGACACTTACTCTATATACGATATCCATCACGGACATAAACCTCTACCTGGCAGCAGCCCATAGTAGAGATATTCTACTCCATAACAACGAGCTATTCCTCGCTATAAGTTCAATCAATAATTTGAAGGTTGAGTTGCTAGATAGATAGATATCATTCTTGTTCTTCATCATGGACTAGAAAAGTTGGCCGATATTTCACGTCTTCGCAGTCATGGGGACAGAGCGTGCCGAAATCCGAAGTACCCTGAACGGGATCGTCCACAATTACCTCACAAACTTATACCATGGTCACCGTCGATCCCCTCGAGGTTCCCGGCCTTCGCGCAAGGCTTGGTCTTGATCTAAAGATGCTTTCTACTGAAGTGTACTAACCTTCCAAACCATAAGGATCTACTCTGATCCCCAAGGTAGGGGTTGAACCGCAAATGATATTCAGAGTCGGGGATTGAACGTCTGGCAAGGACGCATCAAAGCATGGACGCCTCCTAGTATATCAACTAGCATACAACGGTTACCTACAATAACCTCGATGGTCGTATCAAAGCTCCCCAGAAAGTACCGGTAAAGAAGATTCCAGGCGTCAAAATTGAGATTACGAATCACGATGATCTCTGAGACGGTTTATACTACCTAACTACCAGACAAAGTAGAGATTTGTAATTAACTATAACACCTATGTCTCCGAGCCCGTAAGGCGCCGTTAAACAGGTATGCGTATTATGTCGTAGCCCGGTGAAAATAACCTAATTCTCCCTGGGAATGCCCAATTCTATCCGAATGCAGCGTGATGATGGATGATGGATGGTGATAAACTACCACTACTACCTTATGCTCGACAAGCCCAAAATGACCGTTTTTAAAAATATAACTCAAAGTACCTATGGGTTATGTACTAGCAGTCTGAATCCATCTTATTTCGTCCCCATGGCAATATTATGGAATGCACGAATTCAATCATTCATTCATTCGTCCGTTCATTCATTCGCTGTATCCGAATTCGACTCCTCGCCCGACTTCCCCACCTTCTCGTGTTGCTGCTGGGGCTTTTCCGGCGGACTTCCGGGCGGGCCGTCGTGGTCGTTCCTCGTGCGCATCTTCTCGAGGACCTTGGCGGCCTCGGCGGCGAACTTGCACTTCATGCGGATGCGCGCGCCGTACTTGTAGAACAGGAAGGGGAAGGGCAGGCACGCGACGGCGAGGAACGCCGGGATCGAGCTCGCCCAGTGGATCCCCAGGTTGTTGTACATGGCCGTCGTGAACAGCGGAAACGCGGCGCCGAAGATCGATCGGAGCACGGAGTTTGCTGCTAGCACCGAGGCGGCGTAGATGACGTCTGTACGATTTTTGTTAGTCATTGCCCTTTTATTCTTCTTCTTCTTCTTCTTTGTTTCGATATATAGAAGGGGGGGGAAACAAAGGGGTGGGTGGATTGATGGCTTACATGAGTCGATCATATAGTTCATCAAGCTGAGGAAGACAAGCACCAGTCCGGTGGCAAAGAACCCAGATGCAATGATAGACACGATCCAGTGTACGTTAGGTCCGCAAGTCCACGCGAACCAGAACAATCCAACAGGCAGTAATACGGAGCCGACTAGAGCAGGTGGCAATCTCGCTTCAGCCGGCGCGTTCCCGCCGTGAGCTGCCATCGTCTTGGCGTATCGCGTGTTGTCCCATACGCTGTACGAAACCGCGACTATCATACCGACGGCGATACCCAGGAAAGCTAAACCGCCAACACCCGCGGACCACCCACGGTTCTGCTGGTATACGATCGGGAAGGCGGCGAACATCATGTATAGGGTTCCGCTAGTTAGAAGAAATACAAGTTAATATATCTCTGCACCTTATAATAGCTCCTTAATGAGAATAGGTAAGGGAGGGTTTAAAGGGGTAATACATACTATACGATAGCCATGTAAAGCGAAGTGAGTAGAACGATTGGTTCGCGGAACAGTAAGATCCAAGGACGAGATAGAGAGATCTTGAACTCCTGGGAAACAGTCTTCTTCGGCTTGCCGGCGTCGAGCTTAGACACGTAGACCTTTCCGGTGAGCTTGGATAGCTTCTCGGCTCGTCTGCGGAGGAGGATAGGCGCGTACGTCTCGGGGACGAGGAACGTGCAGATAAACCACAGGAGACCGGTGTAAGCCGCCATGAGACCTTCAACCTGTTTACAGCAGTGATGTATTAGCATAGTAATTCGTGTCGAAAATGATAGGGATCTGAAATACGCACCCATCGCCATCCTCCTGCTGTACCGAGGAAGCCACCGGCGATAGGGCCGATGGAGGGACCTAGGAATGGAGCCTATAAACAGTAGTTAGCTTCATGTCATTAAATGCTGTAGATGGTGAGCGAAGGTACATACGGTAGCGAAGAGAGCAGTAGCTAGACCTCTGTCTTTGGCGGTGAACATATCGGCAATAACTCCGCCCGAGTTGGTCAGGGGCGAACTTCCGATGGTTCCAGCAAAGAAACGGAGGATGATGAGCGTCCAAATGTTCTGAGATCCTGCCGCGCCAGCATTGAACGCGGTTAAGCAGCCATACTATTAGAATTAAACGTTAGTAAGTTTTCGTAACAGGTAGCTAATGAAAGGGGTCCGGGCACAACGAGGACTCAACTTACCGTAATGAAGAATAGCAACTGTCTACCGTACATTTCCGACAACGGAGCCCATAGTAGCGGCCTGTAGAAGTGTGATAACGTCAGTATGATAATCCATTGAGGTGGCAGTAATGAGATGAAGCTTTAGGTAGGTTAGGTATACATACCCGACGGCAAAGCCAAGAACGAAAAGGGAGATTCCCAGAATGGCAATTTCTTCGCTGACCTTGAATTCGCGAATAACCTCACCGATACCACCGGAATAAGCCGTCGAGACGAAGGTAACCGCGAGGACGGCAATGGCCTGTAAAGCTGTGATACCCCATTTCTTCCACACGGAGAACTTCATCGGGTTCTTGGGATCTTCGGGGAGGAAGTCGACTATGAAAGGATCTTCCGCTGTCCCGCTGCCTTTATATCTCCAGGCCCTTACGGCGGGCGTGATACCCGCCAGGTCGAATTGGCGATGCCAGTATGATAGCTTCTTGGAGGGATCCTGAGCTTCGACATCACGATGGGTTTGCTCCGTTATGGTGGCGGACGACTCGTCCGAAGACGATTCTGGTGACGACATGACGGGACAAGTCGCGATAGTCCCCTTGTGAGAGAGCGGTGCGATTTAATATGGAAGGATTTTAAATCGACCTTTGGGAATACTATATCTTTTTTTCTTCTTTCCTCTTCCTCTTCTTCTTTTTTTTTTGGGAGACAGTAGAAAAAGTAGAATAGGTTAATAACCCTATGTATGTCCAATTTGAGGTGAATGTACTACCAAGAGAAATAAATAAAAATAAAATAAAACAGCACAATATTCCTAGACAAGTAATCAGCCACGGGGGTTCCCTGCAGCGAGCTATCAAAGTAATATATAGGTCCCGCTGGGGAAATATTTACTCACTACCGAGGAATACATTCTCTTTGTTTGGACACGGACTTTAGGTACTTATGGATACCGTCTAGCGTAACACAACCGACCGCCGACATCTCGCGACTCAGTTCCTCTAAGCCTTAGATCCTTATTAGTTAGAATCTTAGATAGCAGTTCACTATGTATTGTAGTCACATTGGTACGTAAAAGGTATTGAAAGCTTGGTGTGAAAGGAGGTGATTCACTCTAGGTACCTAACATAGTCCGCACTGCTGATGACAATACAGTCAACACACATGTGAACTGTCCGGTTGGAATGTTAGATCCTTTAGAGTACGGAATTTATGCAATGTTGATCCAGTTGGTTGACAGATAGTAACCCTCGGAGATCTCTCTCTCTCTTTCTTTCTCTTTCTCTCCCCGTGTCCGTTGAGCCGGTTTGTGAAAAAGAACACGCCATCTCATACATGTTGGGATATAACTAGCTATTTCTAATCCTGTATTGTATTCTTGTTGTGTATTGTTGTGTACTGTTGTTGGATTTGCATTTATATTTTCATGTCGGCGTTTGTACTACCAAGTACCCCATGATTCTCATCTTGAATCATTATACCAATGATCAATGACATCAGCTTTGAAGGCCAGTACCAAGGTTACATTCTTCAAGATCTAAATGTAGTAATAGTAATTATACAGTAGTGTTCCCTATTTGTTCCCCAAAATGATACCCTACCCGGCCTACCAAACGGGACACACCAGGGTAAGCAACATCAACGCCTACATCTATTACCTACCTAGTACGTCTACAAGTCCGGACGGATCGATGCTTGGATCGTACTACTTGGACCCAGTCTGACGGGTCTACGTGACGGGGCTACGGACCCGGAATTCGTTCCAAACCCGGTCCCGACTATATATCGGCATAGGTATCGTCCTTGCTTGATCTATCATACTAACAGGGCATACAGACGTCTGTGCATTATCGCGAAATCCGTCACTCAGAAAAGAACGAAATAAAAAAGCCTGACTTATCCGCATGTTCTCCAATCACATGCCGGCTCAACATCCAACCCATCTGCAGCCATCGGGGCTGTAATTTGTCATGAACTCGGTGGGTTTTTACCGAGTTCAAGGCTAGAAAGGGCCTAAACAGGAATCGTAACCGTTGTGGCGTCTTCATCGATCGCGTGGGCCCTATCATCTAGCAGGATTAACAAAAAGCATCCTTGGAGTTGTTGTTTTTTTTGGAGCCCACCCCATGAGAAAGCCCCATGAGTCTTGAGAAGCCCCATGAAAGACGGCACGAACAAAGCACCGATTGTCCGACTTCGCTCGTCAATACCTTTACAAGAAAGAAAAAAAAAGGCTTGTATGTGATGGTTGGTTACCACGATAATCGAGTCAATACCTAGGTGCGGACTTGGCTGACCGACCCTCCGGCATCTCCGCTCATCTCATCCGCACGCGTGTGCGTCAAGATGGAATCTGATAAGTATCATAATTGGTTGGCGCACACGTCACAAAAAACTCAGCTCGTATGTCGGAAAGCTGGTGGATATAAAGACGAAAAAAGAAAATAGTTATAAACGAACAAGTTGCCCATACTAGGTAGAGTAAAGGGTAAGGAGCTGCGAGATTCGTTCATAACTTTCGAGACCTTCATTCTCGGATTCGTGATAAATACCGGAGCAACATGAATTTATTTGAGCATACTTTGATACTCAGAGGCATCGTTCGATATCGCAATTCTCCAAAAAGCTACCGCGTTCCGTTTTCCCTAGCTGGATCTAGACCGTCGGAAGCATACATGGACTATTTCTAATTGACAAGGCGGCTTGACCTCCCCGCTTACGCTGTCCAACCTGACTGTCCCGCATGGAATCACAACGGCTAGGTACCTAATCTCATAGTTAGTAGACCAGCATATCGCCAAGACTCCGACGAGAGGGCTAGAAGGTAGAACGGGACCGAAAGACATGTCGCCGTCCAAGGTTATTTATTATTATTATTATTATTATTATTATTATTATTATTTCAGCTTTGGCGGAGATACCAAAGCTTAGCTACCTGAGATAGTTGGATAGGTACCTAACCTAAGGTACCTGTCAAATGGGATCTCGATCCTTTGGGATATAAAACATACGATGCCCTTCTGGGCGTTGGGAAAAATGAATTATCGGAGTTGGCTAAGCAGCCTAGGCGAAATACTTTGTGGATAAAATGAAGAGCGACAGGAAATGGTCGAATATGTCTTACAATCATCCAAGACCTAAGCAAGTCTGGCAAACCAAAGTAATAATAAACATGGAGATCCTACTAATGTTGGTGGAAATGGGCAGATGAGTTAGCAGATGGGCATCACCTACAATTATTGAAGTAGGTACTTCTATTAGGAGGTACGGTACCTGATACATAGATGCAGCTTAAAGACTACCTGGTAGGTAGCTCAGAAGCAGAGTTCAAGGCAAGAAAGTTAAATTCTTATTACTACCTAATTCATATAGGTAGGTACCTAGGTACCTGCGGGTAGGGACATCTCTAGCGCGTAGATTGCCGAATTCCATCATGGTACATACCTTGGTACTTAGAGATTTGCTTATCGATTAAGATTTCAAGACCCAAGATTTTGCATTTTCAAGTTGCACGTCGCCCAACTTTTTTGCTCTTACATATGAGCTATCTACCTAAGGTAAGAGGTGTGTAACCTTATGCAAAGACGCATAACGGTACCACCAACGTTTTTTGCGCCCCCGAGCATGAGCACGAGGCTGAACATGCTCCTGGCACAATGTCTCTGTATCATGAGACAGCCGACGTACTATCGGCAACGCCATCTACATCTGCATCTACCTCTGCCTCTACTGGCGGCAACTTGAAAACTCGCATCTTCGGGAAGAAAGACCTAAAATCCCCTCCGCAGCAGGTCTACGCCCTGGCCGTCGAGACTTGCAAATGGAGCCCCGTATTAAAAGAAGTTATTGATAACTCCGACCTCCTACGCCACGAGCGCAAGGTGAGCAACCCAACCCTTACCTACCTACCTCCTATGTATCTAAGATACCTACCCAATAGGAGTAACTCCCCTGCCTGGGAGTTCCAATCTCTCGATAGTCCCAGCCTCTCGTTCCGGCCCTTGCTAATTACCTAGAGGGGATGCGTAGCTCACCCCTTTACTAGCTCTACTGCTCGTCCATGACTTCATCCTCTCCAAGAAGGGCATTGCGCTTCCAGCCAGCCATGGTCTTAGGGCTTCAATCGAGCGTCACAAGGCGCGTCTGAGTGCCGAATTCACTAGAGCCCGTCTGCGGAGGAAAGCCGGATCCGTCGAAGCTCTACGGGAGCAAGTCACGGCCGAGTTCTTGGGCGGAGCAGCCGCTTATCCGCGATGGGTGCGGGTGAACGCGTTAAAGACCTCCCTCGAAGACCAGTTAGCCACTACTTTTGCTGCCTTTACTAGGGTTCCTGCCGTTGGCGAAGTTACCGCTGCCGCCCCGGGGAAATTCCTGTACGTCGACGAGCACATCCCGAATCTCGTCGCTATATCCCCTAGCTTCGAGATTACCAAGACGGATGCATATACGTCCGGAGCAATAATACTGCAAGACAAAGCTTCTTGTTTTCCCGCATATCTGCTAGACCCTCGCTCTGAAGACGGCGATGTTATTGACTCTTGTTCCGCCCCCGGGAACAAGACGACGCATCTCGCAGCCATCGTACACTCTCGTATTCCGGAGGGAGAGGAGTGTTCTCAGACCGTATATGCATTTGAGAAAGACCCGAAACGTGCGCGGACCTTAGAGAAGATGGTAAAGCTAGCCGGTGCTAAGGATATTACACGAATGAACTTCGGCCAAGACTTCCTCAAGGTCGACCCGAATTCTGAACTGTTTGCGAACGTTGGTTGCTTACTCCTAGACCCTAGTTGCTCGGGCAGTGGTATAGTTGGTAGAGACGAAATGCCTCCAATATATCTCCCCGATATTCCGGGCACGTTCAAGAAGCCACTTCCCAGCTCAAATCGCAAGCGGAAGCGCGACGGTTCCGACGCCGGTAAGACCGCGCCACAGCCGATCATGGTTGACGACGACGGGAAAGAAACCCTGGTTTCCTCCGAGAAGGAATTGGAGGCACGTCTGGAAGCATTGTCGTCGTTCCAACTCACTCTACTGCTCCACGCTTTCAAGTTCCCCGCCGCAAAGAAGATCACCTACTCGACCTGCTCGATCCACGCCCAGGAGAACGAGCAGGTCGTCCTGAAAGCTCTCGGCTCCGACGTTGCTAAGCAACGGGGGTGGCGCATCCTGCGGCGAGAGCAGCAGGTTCGGGGTCTACGCGAGTGGCCGGTCCGGGGATCCGTCGAGGCGAGCGACGGTGACTCCGAGGTCGCCGAGGCGTGCATACGGTCGTATAAAGATGACGGGCGCGGCGTGATGGGCTTCTTCGTCGCGGGCTTCGTTCGCGACGTGAAGCCTGCTTTCGAGGATGGGGATGGTCCGTATCTCCGTGACGAGAGCGGCCGCATTATTGGAGATAATGCCACGGGCATGCCGACTTTCAAGCCGGGCCACGGACCTGCTTCGTTGGGTGGTGGCGGCGGTAATAAAGTCGGCCAATCGACAAAAGATGGAGACGCTCAAGATATCGACTCTGGGGAGGCGAGCAGTGCTAGTAGTGACGACGGACGTAGTCAAAGCGATAGTAGTGATGGGGGCGGATGGAATGGATTTGACGATTGAGTTGGAATAGCCATTTCCGAAGGACAATACCCAGTTGAGTTTCATCTTACGATATATTATAAATATAGAACAACCAAGAATTGTATTGGCTACCTACCTAAGTTAGGTAATTACCTTATTAGTACATCCGAGTCACTTGTGCATCTATACAGACCTCCATGAAAATCCGGGCGCGGGGCCTGACATCGTGATTATATCTACCTACAGCCAACTTCTCTACACAGTTTAATATTGGGAATAGAACTCACACTCCTGAGAAAGTCGAATATTGATGGAGCCAATCACTACATTACACGCCAGTTAGGTAGGTAGATATACAGTACCTATCCCTTATAGGAATGATATGCCGGGTAGGTGGTATAAGATTGTCGATTGCTAGGCGCCTGTACCTGATTCCTTGACTATCCGCATTTAATCACGATAAACACGGTTTATAAGACAATACAAAATAGCGGAAAATGCAAAAACTAAAAAAAAACTTAAGTCTAGAGTTATTCTCTCACTCTGTTCTATGCAGTAGGTAGTTATATATATAGGTCAAAATCGAACAATCATGTTCGTAGTTTTTGCATATGAATAGGTTAGGTTAGGTATGAATATAATTACATCAAGAAGCGAACATGAGCGTGCGCGCACAGCATACGTGGAGTCCTCGCGAGAGCAACTACCACATACTTGACCGCCCAATTTTTATGTATGCCTCCCCGGTTCAAGTAAGGTAAGGGTATCGGATCAAGATAGCGAAGCGTTTTTGTTGGAGCTGGATCTTGATGTGTATATCTCGGAGGGACGTTTTCCTTCTCCTTCTCTGCCTTATCATATCCAAAAAAGCATGTCCAAGAATAAAAATAATAAAAGCAAAATCGCAAACAATCCTGTATATCACATGCCCTCCCATGGATCCTCTATGATGCGACCAATCCTCGACAGCGCCACGCAATCCCTAGAAAGTCGTGTACGGACATAGAACTAAATAATCAACTGGATAGCTGGCCACTCGCTTGCTGTTTATTGGCGGCCGTGAGCGCCGTGCTGGTGGCGCTTCATGTGGTCGTGGCCGTGCGAAGCGCGGCGTCGGCGGGCAGCAGGCGTAGGCTCGACTACTGCCGTGGTGGTCTCGGTGACGTATACGGTATCCCAGACGGTTGCGACGTTAGGGTTACCCTGCTCGGCAGGGGCCACGGCGGCAGCGGTGACGGCAGGGGCAGCAGCCTCGGCGGATGAGCTGGGTTGTTCAACAAAGACATTTCCGGCAGAGGTTGAATCCGACTTAGCAGAGTTTTTCTGGGGCATCTAGAGTTAGTAATGTTATTCTATAACTTGATCCTTATTCGGGTACTAAGTCACATTCAAAAGACAAAGGGCACCGAAACAGATTGGAAAGGAGAAAATATAGATCTAAAAGGTTACTCACAGTCGAAGAGGCAGAGTATTCCGACGAGGACGAGCCAGATTCAGAACCAGAACCGCTGGAAGAACCGCCCTTGCCCCAACCGGTGACAGGAAGGTTGAGAGGGAGAGACTTGAGCTTCTGGGAGGCCTTCACCATGGTACCGATAGCAGGCTCAATGGTGCAGTCCTGGTCGGTGTTGACACCACCGGGAATGTTAGGGCAGTGCTCCATGCCGAGAGTACCAACATTGCAAGTGTCGATAATGGTCTTGAGGGTGTCCTGGTCCCAACCAGAGATGAAGTCACCGTGCGAGCTGTATCCAGTAGCATCACCGTTGGAGAGGACGAAGGGTTGAGTCTTTCCATCGGGGGTCCACCTGTCCTTGAACGAGGGAGTGTCCCAATAGACTTCGTAGAAGAGGTGAGGGATGTGGATCCATCCGGCAGGGCAAGTTAGTAGTCCGTTCACAGGGGTAGGCCATGCCACGTTGTTCTTGTAATCATCAAGACCGACTTCCGGGTTGTAGCAAGAAGGAAAGTGGATGTCCTGACGAAGGGGAGAGTAAGTGCCATCACAGTCATAAAGGGGGAAACCAGCACCTGCGCCCTGGTTATTGGGGTCCTGTAGACCGGCCGTAGTTCCGTCCGAGTCCACGGGGTAAGACGGAGGGTTGTAGCTCTGACGGGGGCAAGTCCATTGAACGGGCTGGATCGGACCCCGGGTAGGGTCAACATTGCTTCCACCGCCGAACTTGGGAGGATCTCTGGTGTTGGTATCACCACTCATCATCTTCAAGCCAACGGGGAATGGCTCGATAGTGCCGTTAGTGGGCTCGAAGCTGGGTTACACGTTAGTCAAACATAAACCATCTCGATAGGTACTAAAGCCGATAGGGAAAGCGTACAAGTAGTATACGTTCATGTAGAACAGGGGAACCTTTTCGAAGGTACCATCCTTAGGGTCCTGGAAGAAGAGAGAGGGAACCCAATAGTTGCTCTTGTCATTCTTGATAGTAGTCGTAGTACACTTAGAATTTAGAAGATCGTCACCTCGAGTGTTCGGGCCGAAGTTGCTGCCTCCCATAATACTGTGATAATGGGTAGCTTGCGTTCCGGGGTTGACGACGGGATCTATGGGACCTTCGGTCAAGAACTTTTGTTGACCGGTGAAATGGAGGACGGCGAAGGTCATGTCCGTCTTGTCTGCCACGGCCGTGGCGGCCACGGAGGCCAAAGCACCAATGGTAGCGTACTTCATTCTTTCGATATGCCTTTTGAGTATTGTGTAATGGGCAACTGTAACTCTGTCTCAAGAGAATGAAATTCTTTCAAGTGCTGACACCGACACAAGCTTTTAATAAAGATTGTCTGACGTGTAGTCTATGGGGTCGTGATTCAACGGTCTCGACTTGAGCGCTGACAGGGGGACCGGTCCGGGAAAGAGGGGACAAACAAAAATTTGTTTGGTAAATGAACGGTAGACTCAGCCGGCGGAGCACTGAAAGAGTGTGTGAATCGACAAGCAAATGAACGAACGGTTGAAGCCCAGGTGAAGAGGCGGAGAGAGGTAGAGAAAGGGAAGAAAAATCAGAAGATAACCGAGGAGGTTCGTATATTAATTAGTGGACCATCCATGATCTTTCAGCCTATGGGCCATTTTGCTCTACCTACTATGTATGGGTGTGTGTGTGGGTGGGCAGCGATGGCCAGGCCCGCTCGGCAAGAAAATAGAAACCATCTGGCATACTACGGTAGCTATGGTACCTTATGCAGGTGCAAATTCAGGCATGGTACAGGTTGACGTGAAGGTGGAGATAGAAAAGGGGTTGGGTGGACTTTGGTAGGTCGAGCTGGGCTGGCTTGGGTTAAAAAGCATTACGTGATAGGCCAGTTTTCCCATGTCCTTTTTCACATCTTCCCATGCCACGCCTGGCACGCTAGGCGAAGAATGGCTGGCGCGAAGCTATTCGTCGATTCGTTATGCAGGGGAATGGCAGAACTAGCGGCAAATCCGCCTCGAAAATGACCGAGAAAGGGACGACAAGACATTCGTCTTTTCTCAATCAATAAAAATATTGGTGGGTAAGAGTACCTTATCCTTTTCTTTTTCTCCTTCTTTTACTGTGTAAATATAGGTACGGGTACCTATCATATGTGAGTATGATATTTTGTATGCAAGTAATTGGGGGAGGGAGTGAGTTCTACTGCTGTAAGTAACACTTTAAGACCTACATCTCATCTCCCTTATTTTAATGCGTGATTATCGTTCGCAGGAGGAGAAGAAAAAAAAAGGGTCCCCCTTCATCTTGTTCATCCTGTCTATTCCCCCCGCTTAGCTCCTTTTCTCGAATGAACGGGTGAATATTACAGAGGGACGGAGGGATCGATAAGGTCCGGGATCAATTGACTAACCGTAGATAGTCGATGACTTGGCTGGGATCAAGTTTTGTTCTGTTCTGTGTTCTGTTCTGTTTCTATGGGCATTCCTGGCAATGGATTTGAACTTGAGAGCCACTTTTTGTGGGATGACGACAAGAAAGGTGTAGGTACTAGTGCTGTCTACGTATACTCGACGCCGCACCCCAAAGGGGTGCTGCGCTTTAATTAAGGAAATCGGGCAGTAATTAAGCTAGCGTACCAGACTTCAAGCACCAGTAAGAGGTTACTCCGATCCCTGTTACCTGCTAAAAGCGGAAGAAGAATAACAACATTTTATGAAATTTTATGAATGTTGGAAAATACTTTAAAACGCGTAGGAATTACACTTGTTCGGAAGTACTTCGGATCAAATCCCTAATCTTGCCCGTTTCCTTAATTAAAGCGCAGCACCCCTTTGGGGTGCGGCGTCGAGTTATACGTAGACAGCATTAGTACTATGTATTGTACATAGTAGATCATTTCCCCCTTTTTTAATTAAAAGCATCCAACGCCTGTAAGGTACCAAAGCCAGCCAAGCAGCCAAGTCACTCAGTACCTACCTCTTTTCATCCCCAATAAAATCGGGCAGGATCTGAAACGCACTAATGTGGGTCATTATACTTGTTCACATTGTCCCATTGGTCCTAGAAACCGGATGCTACCGCCATTGGTAGGTGTATTGTACCTGACAGTCTTTCTCCCAGCCCTGGGCCCTGGCAGCTCAGCACCCTTTTTCACTGAAGACTGTTTTTACAAGGTGCCTGGGTGCTCAAACCTTGAGGTTACATAGGTACCTACCTCCTAACTATCTGGAAATAAATGTGAACTATTCGAAAAAGGCAGATTGGGAGATTTCATGCCACTTTCTGGAACTTGCCAACCTCCAAACCAAGGTACTTAGATGATAGTGTCTTTTACTATGTATTAACAATATTTGCTTACCATATCCCAATTTACCTCGGCAAGGAGCAGGTACCTGACGAATCCCCTTGCAGCGGAAGAACAGCTGTCTCTCGTCTTTAATAACCTTTTTTTATTAAAAAAAAAGGTATCGAATAGGGGGCAAGAATGGTTAAAAGTCAACCACCAAGCCGAGAGCATAGGCATAGCCATTATGAACGCGTACGCATTTCTTGAAAACTAGGAAGGAAAAGAAGAAAAAACTTGAAATAGTGAACGACCCTTAAACACATTCAGTTTAGCACCGACGCAAGGCCCGCTAAGGCGACGGGACACGATGTTACACCGGCTATTGTTTACCGTCCCGATGGAAGCTTCCCAACATCGTATTATCCCAGCTTAGTGAAGCTAAAGAGGATCAAAATCAAGAATTGAAGAAAAAAAAAATCAAGGTTCCTTACACATGCATGTCACATAGGTAGTACTCTCTTCCGCCTTGTCGTTGCGCGCGCGCAGCAGCTGGGAAAACCTGATCTGTGCACCAATCGAATTTTTGATAAGCGCTGATCTTTCCTTGGCGCGAAAACGCATTGCCCATACAAGTGGTTGACAAAATAATTTGCAAATGAATTTTCGAAATTATTTTTGTCGCCCACTTTGCCGTAGAAAGGGGCGGACGGGGGCGGAAGGGTGGTGCATAACCAACACTCATCTTAAGCTGCTACACGGTAGGTCGCCATCTAAAGCGCTTCACCGACTGGATACACCATAACCAAATAGCCGATTAACATACGGAATAGTTGATACCGCTTGACATGAGTTCAGGTGACGCATAGTAATAATAATAATAATATAGGTAACAATAATTATTTCTATAATTATATCGATAGCTCTCCTGTTGCGCTACGTTATACCGAGCCATGCCGTACTACCTTTGGTAGACTCTAGTATATAATTCGCGTGTCTACGTAGATGATATTGGTTCTAGGAAAATAAAACTACAAGGTTAGTATCGGAAAACGTAAATTGGATAGTTATTCTAATATATCGTATGTCAGTTCCCGTACTTGAGATGCTTCCGTTAGTTACTCAGAACTTAGGGAACATGTGGGATCTGTCTAGGCTGGCAATGGTTGGATGGTTCGTATACAGAACCCCTTTACTTGAATTATCTCAAGTCAAATCGGCTTTTTAATAGCCATACTTGGTATCTAAACCCTTTGGGCGATAATAAGATACCTACTGTACCTAAGGTAAGCATCACGATAGAGTTTTGTTAACATGTGTCATCGCTCATTCATTAACTTCGAGACGGCCATATCAAAAGTATTCTGCCGTGACGAACAAACAATCTAACTATGTCAAATGGTATCCTGTATCGTGTATCCCTTTCCCTAACCATAAAATTCCGTAGAACGATGCCTATCCATATGTCCAGTCCTGTACCTTAAACGCGCATCTAACCCCTTAAAAAAAACCAAAAAAACCAACAAACTAGCCTCCGCCTCTATCCTCCTCGTCGAGTCTACGTAGCGTTCCGTTGTCGGGGCTTCCTAGGCGACCTTCTCAGAAACGCCTCCGCAAAAGTCTCCTCGTCGATCTCGTTCGTCGTCAAGACCGACAGTATCGACTTCTCGACCTCGTCCCTGACGCCCATCAGCTGCTCCTCTTCTATCCACCCCGACTCCAGCGCGAACCTCACGATGTCGCTGGCGCTCCCGAACCCCGGCACGTCGTCGGCGGCGTCGGGGTCCAGGTACGTCCAAAACTCCTTCGTGGCGCGCCTGAACGCGTTGGCCTCCTTCTTGGGCCCCTTGAAGTGCTTCACCATCCACTGGTAGATGTATGCGAGCCACAGCACGTTCGTGTACGGCTCATGCTGGGCCCAGCATATCGGGCCTTCGATTCCCGATTCGTAGGGTATCTTGTGGCTCTTGGGGGGAAGGCAGACTCGGTCGCCTCGTAGCATAAAAGACCTCATGCGCCTGTACACCTCACACTGAGGCGCATGCTCGCTGGTAAAGATGCTGAGGTCTCGTTCCAGATCATAAGCAATCGGTAGGGAATCTTCGTTCTGATAGTCGGCGTGAGCTCGGGAGAGTCCGTAGTCCAGTATTGTCACATCGAGACCGGAAAATCCAAAGCGGCTAGAACGACCCCTATCTTCTGCGGGAACTGGCTCTGCTACTCTACGGATACACAAATTTCCCTCGTGCAGGTCCCGGTGCTAAGTGCATGTTAGTTTAAAGAGTCGAAACAAGGGAGGGGGGGGGGGGGGGGGGGGCCAAGAGATAATAAAAAAAAGACAAATTAAATTATGGTACGCCACAAGGGGCGCAAAAATAAAATATAAATAAAAATAACAAAAAAAGGA